CGGATATTAGCTTGGCACTAACTTATTGAGCGAGGAGGGGCCGCGAGGAGTCACGCGACGTGTCACGTGACGTGTCACCTCGTCACGGGGCTCGTCGCACGGCGTCATGCTTGTTCATTACGGCGGCACGGACGCACGGTCCGGCACTTCCCCCGGGACGCCGCGCCGCCGCTCCTGGAACGACCGCCTGGGCTGCCGGAACAGCCGCGACGTGCCTGGAGTCCAGGCCGTCCTCCAGGCCGGAGTCCTGGTGGGTGGCGCGACGAGCGCCGTGCACCGCCATGCCTTTGGCTGCCTCGGCGCGCACGCGGGAAAGAGAAAGACGCATTGCACTCGTCCCACTGCGAATATTTGTCCACTGTGCGTCCTTGTTGCCCCCGCAGTGCTCGGCAACGCGATGCTGGTCATGTTTATGTCGCCGTTCCGCGCCGCCGCGCGGCCCCCGCTGGCCGAGGCCGGGCCGAGGCCCCCGTCGAGGGTCTCGCGGCGGCCAGAGCCCCCCTTTGACGTTAACATATCATGCTAAGGGCAGCCGGAATTGCGCGGCGGGGCGGGGCGGAGCGAGGTCAGAGGGAGAGAAAATGTGCGGAAAACTCGGAAGGCGCGGGGCGCGGCGCGGCAGGGCGGGACCCGGGGTGGCTTTGGCTTTCTCTCGCATGCAGAAGGACAAGCTCGCTGCAAAGGAACAAAAGAGCCCCGCGGGGTAGAGGCAAAACGCTGCATGCACAGTCGCAAATTTTCCCCACCCCCGCAGTTCCAGCTGTTTCAAGGGCGGCGACCGAATAAACTAAAAACGGCTGCCATTTTTTTTTCGGCAGGCAGCTAGTAAAACTCGTCCCCGGTTTGCGCGTGTTTGTGCATGCAGTGGCGCGGAAAATGCAAGCAGGCGAGGCAAGCCGCAGCAGCAGCCCAAGCGCAGCGCCGCTCTGGAGACGGGACGCTGCGACGCGGTGCGCCAGACCGGCGGCGAGCAGCGCGCTCCCTTTCAAGGAAGTTTGATCGTCACCAAGCCCCGTCTTTGCAGTGGTGCAGTCTTCCAGGCCCGCAGTCTTCATCGCGAGACCCGTCCCGTCCGGCCGGCAAGCGAGCGGCCGGCAAGCCTTTTCGGGATGCCTGCTGACTGGCGGCCGGCCGGTCAGGGCTCTGGCTCTGCGGGCTCTACACTCTTTGACGGCGGCGCGCGGTGCGGTCCACCACGCCGTCGTGGAGTCCTCCCTCAAGGACCACGGCCGCGTCCAAAGGGAGGACAACGTTTCCCGGGCGCGGCGCGGTGGAGCGCTGCCCTCCTCCACCCAATCCGTGTGCTTGTCCATTAGGCTGCCGCGGACCGTCCCGCGTCCGTCCACATGTCAATTTGGCCGCCGTGATTGGACATGTGATCATGAGGGGCGGGCGGCGGAGGCGGTGGCGTTGGCGGCAGGCAGACCTACGACGGTACACTGTAGCCGAAAACATTTCACAACTTTCTCTCCGTTTCATGAGGCGATGGCTAAAACATGTACTAGCACGTTATCACTCACACCCCCAACGAAAAACGAGAAGGAAATCATTTCCCCCACCATTCGGTCTTTTTAAAAACAGTGTGCCCGGTTCCCTGAGGACGGGCGGACGGAAGGGAGGCTCAAACGGGAGTGGATTGCGGGCTTTAATTGGTGTTTCGATACAGGCCGTGCATTAATAAAAGGGAAGTCGGATAACGCGCGTGGCGGGGAAGGGAGGGGAGAGGAGGGGGAGGGGACCCTAAAAAGAGTATCGATGCTCATCCCGGTGAAGGATTCGATTGCACCGAGTCTGTCCGCTGAAAAACGGGTGAAAACGAGGGAAGGGGGGGGGGACCGCTTGCGGATAACGTAGATCGGGAAGCGCGCACGCCGCGCACGCAGCGCAAGCGAGGGGCAGAATCGAGCCGAATCAGCCTCGCGCTGCGTGCATTCGCCACTTTGATGGCGACGGGCGCGACAACGAAAAAACAACAAAAACAACAGTGTGCCAAAGTGGAACGCGCCTTGCTGCGATAACGCGGCACGATGTGACAAAACGCTGCGAAGCGGGCAGGCCGTCCGAGCCGATGACAAATTTAGTCGGCAAACAACTGTTGCAAATTGCTAATGACCCTTCCCCCCTCCCCTCTCCCCTCTGCGACAGCAGGGCGCCCCTTTTGCTTTTGTTTCAGAGCCAGCCTCCTTGTGGCACGGCAGCGCCACGGCAGCGCGGAAGGACATCGGCAAGCCCCTCACGTCGCCGGACTCGTCCTGACAGGTGGGACCGGACAGGTCCTGCTTCGAAAACCTTTTTTCGGCAGTGCTGGCCAGGACCTCGGCCAGGACCTCGGCCAGGACCTCGGCCAGGACCTCGGCCAGGACCTCGGCCAGGACCTCGGCCAGGACAGCCGCGCGCGCATTTCTTTTTATCGCGAAAAGGGCCGATGCCTCAGCCGCCTCTGGCTGGACCCGTTTTCTTCCGAGACTTGCCTTCAGGATTCGGGGAGTGCACTGCCGAATTCGGACACCGGCTGTCAACGCACCGCGCTTCATCCCTCTCGCACCTGCACCGGACGTCCCGAGAGATAGTTAGAGTGACGAAAGTTTTGAATCAGTCTGTGCTCCTCCATCAAGACTTCGTCGGCCCCGAGTGCCTCGAATCCGTTTGAAGACCGCACTCAAGTGTCGGAAGACCAAATTGTTTTCGCGATTTTCAGCACAATTAATTTAGGAAAAGTTGCAAGCACTTATAGTTTGCGGTGCTGCTTTGAAATGTCGCCCCCTACTCCCCTCTCCCTAGGCTGGCCTGGACGGCCTAAAAGCTTCCGCGGCGTGCCGCGGCGTTCCGAGGGGTGTGCGCACACTGTGCGGGCCGGGACAAGTTTTCGAATAACGTTTCAATTTATTATGAAGGGTAATGACGGCCGGGGCGCACATACTCTGGTAATATGTGGCCGCCGCATATTTCACATTCCCAACAGGGCTATTCTAAGAGAGATTAGGGTGGGAGGAAGGGAACGGTTTGTTCCGATTCTCTGCCTCTCTCCCTTGTCCCCTCTCCTCCTTCACTCGCTCTCCCCGGCTCTTCTTTCCCTTGAAATAATGTGCACGGTTGGGAGGCTTCATGGCAAGGGAGAGGGGGGCGGGGCGTCGCCTGCCAATAATTTCTGATGGAGTAAGGCGCCCAGGTAAGCCCCCCGGGGGGCCACACCAGGCCCCGCACAGCCCCGCACAGCCCCGACGGGTTCCGCGTGTGCCCCCGGCACTATTTGCCCCCATCATGATCCCATCTCATCTCCGCCTCCACCCCGTCGTGCCCGTCGTCCCCCTGTCTGCCCTGTCGAATCCCAAACCATCATCAGCCCCGCCGCCACGACCGCCACGGCCGCCGCCGCGGCCCGACACCTCCCCGATCTACATATGGCGGGGCGCGGGGCCGCGTCCTCCCCACGCCGCCTGCTGTTCGTTTCGCTGGCCGCAGACTCATTCCGAGAGCCTTCTTCGTCGCTCTGTCTCTCTCGCACTCATGAGAACGCCCCGCGAGTGCGAGAGAGACAGAGCGACGAAGAAGACTCTCGGGATGCTGCTGGAGCTCCGCGCACGCCGCCAACACTGTTTGGATGCGTTCACCCGTCCCGCTCCGCCGCCCTCGCCGACACTCCTCGACAATCAGGTGGTCCGGGAGGCAAGAGGCCGTACGCTGCGTCTTGCGCGGGAGAGAGAGAGAGATAGAAGAGGAGGGGGGGGGCACCCGATAACACGGGGAATGCCTCGCCGAGACTTCGCCGAGGACGAAATTAGCTTGCCCGTGATTTATCGGAGCTGGAGGAGAGGAAAAGGGGGAAAGAGGGGGGGGGGAGGTGCCCCTCCTTTTAACCCCTTCTTGCTTCCCTCGATGTTTCGGATTCTTGCCAGCCATCGCCTTGCCCGGCCTTTCAAGGGAGAACTCTATTTTAAGAAGGCGGCCACTTTACATGGAAAGCCCGGCGCGCAGCAGCCAGCAGGCAGCCAGCAGGGCCTCGGGGGTCTCTCTCCCTCTCTCTCAGTCCCGGGGGCGAGGAAACAGGAAAATGCAGCGCGATAAACAGCGACTAACAGCGACTGCCAAAAAGAGAGAGAGAACGCTGACGCGCAACTTTGAACCGACGCAAGATTTCGCCGCCGGCCAGTCAAGACAGTCGAGACAGTCGGGAGGCTCTCCCCGCCCCTGGAACGAATCGCTGCCGTGGACGACACGCCGCCCAGCCGTGCCGCGCCGTGCCCCGCCACACCGGGTTTACAAGACACACAAAAAGAGGCAGGGCCGAGTGCACGTGTGCCGTGCCTGGCAGGGCAGGGCGCGCCCAGGTGTGCCCGGCACGCCACGCCACGCCACGCCACGCCACACAGAGACCAAGGTGTTGCAAGGTCAGTCCAGCAGGGTACGCCAGGATGCCAGGGTGCCCCCCGGGGCGGCCCGGCCCGGCCGCCCGACGGTCCTGTCGGTCCTCAGGGACTCGGCCCGGAGCCTGGCTCCTCTAGGACGGCCAGGACGGCCCGCCGCCTACAGGACCCTCCTCCAGGACCCTCCAGGTCTCCCCCCCTCCCCGGCCCGTCCGAGACGGTATGAACACACCGGAGCGGCGTCACAGAGCGACCCGTCGTCCTGGTCCTGGCTGGTCCTCGCCAGAGGCGCTCTCGGCTCCGTCGCAGCGCCCACAACACGGCAAACCCTTCCCTCCGTCACGAGTCCGCCGTGACAGAGGGCGGTCGGAGGAAGACCGGTCATCTGGAGATTGCTTCCGTCGTCACACCGCATGCATGCACACTGCAAGGGGCACTGGCCGGGCGTCGCTGCACTGGCTGCATCGCTGCACCGCTTTGTTTGGTTGGGCGCAGCGCGGCGCGGCGTCGGCTGCTCTTCGCGGTCTTCTCGAGTGCCGCGCCGCCGCGCTGCGCCGCGAGGGAAGCACTACCGCGTCCGTCGCCACACCGCGGCCGCGCACGCCGCGCATCCTCGGCGAGGACAAGGAGACTCACCTGACGGACGTGTAGGCAATGCGTCCAACGGCGAGGTCCTCGCGTCCTGCGCTGCGCTGCCCCTGCGCCCGGTGCGGACACGGCTCGACACGACGGGCCGGTCACCAAGTCCTCACTGGACTCTCAGGACGTCGTCCAACGTCGTCGTCGCGGTGCTGCTCGTCTCGTCTCGACGCGTCGCGCTGCTGAGTGTGTGCAGCCCCGCTGTACTCTGCTGCGAGCCGCTTGGCTCGGCTCCTGCTTTGCTCCTGTGGCTGCCTGCCTGCCTGCCTGCTACGCTGCTACGCCTGCGCCACGCTCTCCTCGCCTCTCCGCCCGTCCGTCCGCCGCCCCCACCCCAACCCCCACCCACACTCCCCTACACTCCCCCACCCCCAGCCCGCGCCATCTCTCTCTCTCTATTGATCAAACGATCGCGCGGCGAGAGAAGGAGCAGCCCCGGACCGCGAGCCGTGCGAGCGAGAGAGAGGGATGGCGGGAAGGGAGAAGGGCGGAGAGAGAGGACGAAGCGGAGCGCGAAGCGAGGCGAAGCGGCGCGAAGCAGGGAAGCTGTGCACAAAGCCTGCTGGAGCTGGAGCCTGGAGTACGCCTGGAGTACGCTGGAACGTGGAGTATGGGTCCCGCTCGGACGGGAAACGACGTTACAGTTCAAACCATGAGTCTCCCACTCCCTATCGGAATCTGAAACAATAATTAGGTCCACGGTCCAGTCTGAAATCTGAAGAAACGGTCAATTATTACAAAATTAAAGATACTTGTTCTGAGAAGTGGATATGGCGATGAGAGAGGGAAGTCACAGGTCTCGTCGGCCCTCGCCTCGGCAGTGTCGCTTTCTTAAAACAAATGCGTGTCTTGCATGTCAACAGCAACCCTTTATACCACTGTTCAGTCATTTTCACATTCAGTGAATATTTTGCCTTGTTTATCACCAAATTTCGCGAGTTTCGCAGCATGCCCTGTGCCTAAACGCGTTTGAAAACGACCGCGCAAGTGTCTGCACGGATGTCCGGTCTCCCTTGCAGGTCTGCCAACTCACCAACCACTCCACCAGCACGCGAGCAACAATTGCACTGCACCATGCGTCGCCTCCCTCTCGCGTTCTCGGCTGCACAGCAGTGCGCAGCCGCATTGTTGCGGCGTCCAAGACATCGTGGTGAATCAGGGAGGCTAGTGGGGCGCGACAAGTGAAAAGAAATCGCCAGACGAGACGGGCAACCTGTGAGACTGACAGACAGACCGGCAAGCGACCAGCGCGCAGCGCGCGCTCGACGTGTGGCCGGGCCGCGGAGTCATTTGGCAGCCGGCCGCAGCTCTCGTTGAAGCTGACCGGGTCGTGGGAAGCGGACGTGGACTCCTTGCGTGACAACAGACAGCGTCGCTACGGCAAGACTTGACTCCAGTTCCAAGTTCAGCCATCGAGTAGAGTCCGTCCCGTCGCTGGTGTTTGCAGCCATGACCAACTCTCCGTGGGCTCAACCAGTCTTCATGCAAGGCGCTGGCAGCACTGACATCAAGATGGAAGCCATCCTGGCCAAACTTCTCGTCGCGGACAACGAAGTTATTCAGAAAGTACGTATTTTGGAAGTGATGGCACGCCCGCGCGCCGCATCCACGACGTGGGGGCCACGGCCGTGCGCGGCGTGCGTGCGGGCGCGGCCTTGCCTTGGGTTTGCTGCTGGACAGCGAGCCGGTGCCACACGCTCTGAGCCTGGCCCTGGCACGCGGCATGGCGCAGCATGGCCTGGCGGCTGTCAGGGCAGGCCGCCCCTCGCCCCTCGGGGGCCCTCTGAGGGTCGGGCGCCACGCCCTTGCGCCGCGTGGAGGGCGCCCCGGCCGCCGGCCGCCCCCGCCACGGGCCTGGCGAGCCCAGTGCAGAGCCGACACTACGTGACGCGGGTTATGTCGTCCAGCAACAGGTGCTGGGAGGGCAGGGCAATGAATGAATGAATGAGTCTGCCAATGACGGATGACATGACTCGCTGTGTGAATGACCTCATCAGGCATGTGAGCCGGAGCTGTTCCAGATGTAACAAGTCTGACTGACTGATCTACATTCCTCTTGTTCATGAGAGCTATTTTTATGTTGGCAGGGTACCGCAGAACTGCGAGAAGCATTCCAGAAACCAGGTGTCATCCTAGAGTTGTGCAACGTAGTTGTATCATCCACGGACCCCCAGATCAGGCAATATGCTGCAGTCTTGCTACGTAAGAGGCTCTCGAAGTCGAAACACTGGGCCAAGCTCTCGCCGGAGGAGAAAAATGCGTAAGTATTTTTAATTGGCTTCCAGCAGTTTTACATGCCAGTTGCTGTGCGCTGTGGACGATTTACATCATTTTTGTTTGTTTCCAGTGTCAAACAGGGTATTCTCCCAGCGCTTGTCAACGAATCTGAAAAATCTGTCAGGAACAGCATTGCCCAATTCATTGGCTCGATCATGAAGCATGAGCTTCATAACAACTCATGGCCTGAGTTGCTGCTGTTTGTTCAGCAGTTAAATACAAGTCAAAATTTGCAGGAAAGAGAGGTATGTCGTGGTTGTTGATTTTCTGGATTACATTTGTTCAAACATTCAAGTAGTATTTAAAATTTATTTCTCTTCTATTTAGCTGGGGATGAGTACCTTAGATGTTTTTACTGAAGTAGCGCCGAAACAGTTTTTGGCCCAATCAGCCGCTCTGTGTCAATTGATTGGTGCCACATTGAAGAGTGCAGGAGAACAAGACCTGGCCTCTCCGATCGTCTATCATGCCTTTAGGACTCTTACCAATATGACAGTTGTTGCTGACCAAGATCAACCTGTAGGTATTTCCCTGTTACTGTTGTGTTTTGGTTTTAAATCATTTTCTATATTTTCTGTTTTATTTCAGCTAATCAATATGTTCAATGAGGCAATTCCCCTCTCTTTGCAAGTTGTAGCTGCTCTTGCTCAAGTTGATGAATCTAAAGCTGTGAAGGTGATGGAGTTTATTGATGGGCTACTTGACTGTGTCATCCAAGTAGTTTTACCTCATGTGAAAACCATAGTTACAACATGCCTTCAGATTGCTAAAGTAACAACCATCGGCGATGAAATTCGTATTAAAGCTTTGAGCTTCATTGGCGAGATTGTTTCAAGAAAGAAAAAGGTAATTTCCTTTGCATTTTCAAATCATCCTTCAAGGACATTTTTTCATAGTGTTTTGAAATTTGTTACAGGTCATCATTAAAAATAATTTAATGAAGCCTATCATTGACGTTCTCTTTGAGTTGATGAGCACTCCACCAGAAGATGACGAGCAGGAAGAGTACTTTGTTGATGATGATGACGAAGAGACACCCACAACAGTTGCCAATCAAACCTTGGACATGTTAGCACTTCACTTACCTCCTGAGAAATTCCTTCCTCACATTGTAAGCTGCTTTCTATATATTTTTATTAGTGAGTGTATTAATAGCCTGTTGATAATTGTGCAACCTCTTTTTCCAGCTGGAACATGTGGAGCCTGCTCTCACTGGAACCAGCTTGTATGCGAAAAAAGCGGCTTATCTTGCCATGGCTGTTCTTGTTGAGGGTTGCAGTGAATACATCCGCAACAAATACATTGAGCAGTTCTTGAAGTGTGTTTGCACAGGGATTACTGATAATGCAGGAGTTGTTAGAAATGCTGCCCTCTTTGCTCTGGGTCAGTTCTCTGAACATCTTCAGGTATATATATTTGACTTACAAAGTGGGTTTTGCTCTTAAAAATGTCACTGTTAGTCCTTGCATCCTTACATTGGGAAATATTTCTTTCAGCCGGAAATTGCTGAGTATCATGAGCAGCTCCTTCCAGTGCTGTTCCAGTATTTGCAGCAGTTGTGCACCAGGATTAATCAGCAAGGTGAAGGTTCCAAGGAGCCTGCTGGCATAGATCGTATGTTCTACGCTCTTGAGATGTTCTGTGAGAATTTGGGCGACAGACTGGTGCCTTACTTGCCAGTTCTTATGGAAAGCTTGTTCGTCTCTCTGACACCTACCAACTCAGTGCATCTACGAGAGCTTGCCATTAGTGCTATTGGCGCTGCAGGTATGTGTTGTCTTCATTTCTACAGTTTGACCAGTTTATTTAGTTCTGCTTAACAAAATTTCTCATATACAGCCAATGCTGCGAAGGAAGAAATGGTTCCGTATTTCCCAAGAATTATGGAAAATTTGAAAATGTACCTAGTGGAAGAGCAGCCAACAGAAACCTTGTGCTTACAAATTCAAGCTGTTGGTAAGTTTCAGATGTTCTCTAGTTAAATGTTATCCCATGTGGACCATGTTCTCTTTACTTTCATGGTTACAGATACCTTGGGGGTGCTGGCTAGAACTGTTGGTGAAGACACATTTAAGGCACTTTCTCAGGAAAGCTTACAGTTGGCACTTGCTCTGCTGAAGAAGGTTGATGATCCTGATTTGCGCAAGAGTGTCTATGGGCTTCTGGCCTCCATTAGTTCGGTCATCAAATCAGAAGTGGGCGTTGTTCTGCCAGAGGTAGTACAAACTATGTTGAATTCCATCAAAAGTCAGGAGGGCATTCTCACCGAATACAAGGACGATGAAGAGAATGCAGCATTCCCTGTGTACGATGACCTCAGTGATGAAGATGCGGAAGAAGATATCGAGAACTCTGAATCAAGTGATGACGATTTAGATGTCAGCTGTTTCAATGTTGAGAATGCTTTTATGGAAGAAAAAGAGGAGGCCTGTTTAGCACTTGGTGAATTGGCAAGACAAGCTGGAATCGCATTCATGCCTTACATGGATCAGTGTTTCGATGAAGTTCTTAAAATGATTCAATTCCCTCATAGTGATATTCGGCGTGCAGCTATTGATGCATTGGCCAATTTTTGTATTAGTTTAACATCAATACAAAATGAGCAAGGCAACCAGGCTCTTCTAAAAGCACTGTCCATTCTTGTGCCCAAGTGCTCAGAATTGATTCATGCTGACCAAGATCGTGATGTTGTCATGTCTGCTCTCGATGCCTACTCTGAAATGCTTTCCGAGTTGAAAGGCACTGTCCTAATCGGTGATGGACATAGAGAGGCGATAATAAATTGCATCCGTGATGTTTTAACATACAAAACAGAGTGTCAAGATGAGGATGAAGCTGGAAATGTCCCTGATGAGGATGATGAAGATGCAGAGCAAGATGAGTTGTTGCTCCAATATGCTGGTAATATTGTTCCCCAACTGGGCAAAGCTATGACTCATGAAGAATTCGCTCAGTACTTCAAAACTGTTCTGCCTCTGTTTTTGGCCAAGATGGTTTGTACTGTTATTCGTTTTTTGGTTTGATCTTTATTTTTACAAGCTGAACACTCCAGAGCTGACTTCTTTTTATCTTTGCAGAAAAAAAACAGCACTGTAGCACAGCGCTCATTTGGAGTGGGTACGATTGCTGAATGCATGGAACCACTTGGCCCATGTGCTGGTCATTTTATTCCCGAGTTGCTTCCACTAGTTTTGCAAATGTCCCAAGATAACCATGAGGAAGTGCGTAACAATGCCATTTACGGACTGGGTGAACTTGTCCTGCACGCTAAAGAAGTCACATATCCGTATCCTTCTCTTCTGCATTCCACTGTTACTAATTTTTTCTCCCGTCCAAACCTCTTATTACTGTACTCCCCAGTTTTGTATTTTACTTAACTAGCTCAGATACTTCCCACAAATCCTCCAAGTTTTGTCTGGTGCAGTTGCAAATGAGAAGCATCCTGGAACCTTAGACAACATCTGTGGAGCTCTCTGCCGGATGATCATTACAAATGTCGAAGCTATTCCCATCAATGATGTTAGTAGGAACACCTTTGCAGAAAACGAAGTAACTTTTATACTTTGTACTGTAATTTCACTATTGTCCTTGTTTAGGTCTTCCCGGTATTTATTCAGCATTTGCCTCTTCGCCAAGACTTTGAAGAGAACAAGATGGTATTCAAGTGTTTGAGTCTTCTCTATGAAATGGGACATCAAGCATTACTGTCCCAAATTATCCCTGTTCTGAAAGTTACAATGGTGGTTTTGTACAAAGCACAGCATCCTGATAAAGGTATAGAAATGATCTTGAACTCTTTGGTATTCTAAGTAGAGTTTTTACTTATGTTTATTTTCATTCTGCAGAAACTCAGGAAAGAGTGATTGTCCTGTTGAGCAACATCAAGAGAGACTTCCCTGCAGAGTTTAATCAAGCTCAAAGTGAACTTACACCAAAGCAACTGGAAACCTTAAGCAAACGCCTTGCGGCTGCTTCATCTTAAGCTTTAAATCATGTTCTTTTGGACATTTTATCTGTCCATGTTATTTATTATGTGTTAATTTTGTTAGGAAACTGCTACCAGCAGTTGTTTTATTACGCTTTTCTAAATTGTTATAATAAAACATCATTTAAAAAATTCCACTGTTTATTTTCCTTGTCATTAATACAGATGTATGATTTATAACTGTAGACCTTATTTTATCATGTCAAAGGATCTCTAACGAAATATGATATTTTCACAGTTTAAAACTTCTGGTTTTTGTAATTGCTTCATTAAATACCCTTGTTCCAGTTTGTAGTGCTACAGCATCAGTGCTGCAAAAGAAATCATTTATCAGCTACTGCAAAGAAGGTGGCAAAAAATTCAACAGACAACAAGTTTTACCTTATTTTGCTCATGCTCACAGCTTCTCTCTTATGAGCAATATTGTCTAACTCTGCAGAAGTCCTGGATATTTGAGGTTGATCGGCCCCATAAGTAGTTGAAATCATTTCCAAGGAGTGAAGCAACTGGTTTGTTGCATTTCTGAAGTGGCCTAAAAATTTGGGTATTATATCAAGAGGTCTTTCCAGTTTTCCAGTGTCCAAGATGTTGGTGATGGGGAGGGTACTCACCAAGTTCAGTTGGAGTCTCTGGGAAGGAAACATTCTTGCATGGCATCTGGTTTTTAATCCTGTCAATTTCCACCATGAGTTCCTGAAAACTTTTCCCTTTCATGAATGCAGGTTCATCTGTAAAATAGCGATTTGGTTCAGTGATTCAGTCAAGAGTCAAAAATTAACAAGAATTTGTCTCAAAAATTGCAAGCTTACTTGAAAAGGAATTGTTGGCTGCAATTTGATGAGCAAGAAGATTGCTCTGCTCCTCGACCAAAGATAGTACATTAAGTTTAGACCTTGTCTTCTCCAAGGCATCTAAATTATCGTTGACACGTTTCTGAAGATTTGAAATTTGTTTCTGTAATGTAAGTTTTACAGTATTTAGACAAATAAAATAACAGCAGCAGCGCTTGGAAAAATTAATAAAAACTCACATCAATATCACTACTGATCTTGTGCTTTGATTTGTCTACTAATGCTTTCATAGCATTAGAAGTAATATAGGAATTGAATGCACTATCAATCTCATCCAATTTTGCCTCTTCCAACTGTTGTTCTGCATTGATCTGACAACAACAAAATTAGAAAGTTAAATGAGTTTGTCTGATAACTTTTTGTCTCCAGCAGACCATATTAGAATACATCCTACCCTACCTCATTTAAGTTAGCATAACTGCGGTATTTTATATCTTTATCTGGCAAACAAAAAAAAACCATTGCATTAATTCAATGATCGCAGCAACCATTAAGTACCCATAAAAATGTTAAACTTACTTCTGCATTTTCCTGATGAATTGGTCGGTGTGCTAGAGCTCACCCTAGTCGCAGATGGAGGGTTTTTTATTGTAGTTGATGTTCTCCAAGATGATTCACTAAAAGCAGAACACAATCAGACAAGCAGTTAGTTTGAGCGAAAGTAAGTCCATGACACATAGTATGAAAAAATTGTAATTAACCTGGAAATATCTCCTTTGGTTTTAAGGGACGAAATACTTTTAGCTTTTGAGAGAGGAGCCCTGTGAACAAGATAAGTGCAAATTAATACTGTAACCTCCGTCCTGGAAGAACAGGACATTGTTCTAATGCAGCACATCATGAGTGCCTACATGTTCGCTTTTTTCATATTAAGACTGCGTTTAGCATCCATGGTAACTTCTGTTAAAAACTGTGCACTTTGTGGAACTTGAATACTATTTGATGGGGCCGGCTACGGGAAAACCGTTCATAAAATCACATCTTTTGTCAGAGCCCGTATCCAAACATCAACAATTTTCTTCTGCTAGTTGCCCAGGAGGGAGATCAGAGAGCTCACCTCACTCACTCACGTGAGTGAGTGAGTCACTTCGAGATCATTCGATTATATGAAATAAAACGTGTCTGCGGAATATTTAGGTCATTTAATTGGCTATTTAGTGAAGTAGTAGGTAATTTTTACCTTTTTACCCAACTTTATCCGTGGATTTGGCTTCCTGAAGCCGTATTTGTCTCTCTAAATAGCTACCTCGAAGTGAGTCACTCACTCACGCGAGTGAGTGAAGTGAGCTCCCCGATCTCCCTCCAGGTTCCCGCTGTAACTACTGCCAACTGCACAAAGCTAAACTATGCATTTATGCCTGTTTCCGAGAAATTTCTCCGAAAAAAAAATTCGTATCAGATTATAATTTTTATTTGTAGATGCACATTTTACAGCCTTTATAGACTGTTTCGTCGATGATAGGAACCATCATACTTCCAGCCAGACTTGTACCAGGAGAATTAACAGTTTGACAGCCAGTCTGCCCCCTTGTGTTTACAAACACGTACTCACCGACTCCTTGCAAAGTTGAAATGGAGAGTATTTTGGAACACGATGGTTCCGACTCTTCAGACAGCGACGATTCCCACCATGGAATGGATTTCGACGCAGGGGAAAGTGGGAGTGACTTGATTAATTCTGGAAGAGAAAACCAAAGACAAGATTCTGATGGAGAGGTTATAGTTGGCATAGACACTAACACATTAGTTTTTGGAGACAATAATGATAATGATAATAGTCAATTTGATAGAAGTGATAATTTAGAAGATGATCTGAGTCAGAGAATGGGCTCCAAGGAAGTCCCACCTGCAGAGCTCGACAACCTAGAAGTGCAGCCGATGGAGATCGAGCAAATGGGCGGCGAACAATTTAGTTTTCTAGAAACTGACATGATGGGTCTATTACCAGATTTATCTCTAGCTCGGGCACCACCAGTACAAGAAAAAGACAAAGAAAAGGAGAAAAAAAGGGAAAAAACTAAAAGGGAGCTCGAAGAGGAAGAACGAGAAAAGATGCAGTAAGTTAGGAAAATTAGGGCTTAAAGACTACAATTGTCTTTAATATCTTCTCTGATCTTACTCTACAGTTTAACTATCTATCACTTATCCACACATCAATTCTAGCACTATACTTTGCAAATTTTTTACAGGGTTCTGGTGTCAAATTTCACCTCAGAGCAACTCGATCGATACGAAATGTACAGGCGGTCAGCGTTTCCCAAAGCTGCCATCAAAAGGGTACTCATTCATTTTATTCTTATTTCTCCTCAGAATTCTAGAGGCGCAATGAGGTTTTTAAATTCTTCTTGCAATTAAGTGTTGTTTTAATGTTTCACAGTTTTACGGTAGAAGTACATAAATCGTTTTTTGCTTTATGAAACATGCAGTTACTTTCAAACAAACTTATCTGAAGTTTTTGTTTTGATTGGTCAAACAGAGTCACTGAAAGCACTCGCACGCCTTCCAGCACGTTGGTTTGCCTGTTGTTTGTTGCCTGTTGCCTACTTTCCGGCGCTGCCGAGTTCAGCCTCCTCAGTTCACAGCCTCCCTAGCGCTTGGCGCAGCTTGGCGTCGGAGGTCAGGCAGTCAGGTCCATTGCAAAGTCGTTGACCGCGCTCCCTTCCGCTCCGCTTGTTGCAGCTGATGCAGACCATCACGGGCAGCTCCGTGTCGCAGAACGTGGTCATCGCCATGTCGGGCATCTCCAAGGTGTTCGTCGGCGAGGTGGTGGAGGAAGGTGAGTGGGCTTCGCCGTGGCGGGCAGCGAGTGCGAGAGAGACGGGGATTGAGACGGCTTTGCCTTTTCCTGTGTGCTGCAGCTCTGGACGTGATGGAGACCTGGGGCGAGTCCGGCGCGCTGCAGCCGAAGCACCTCCGAGAGGCCGTGCGCCGGCTGCGCCTCCAGAACACCATGCCGGGCGGCAAGACCAAGAGGAAAGTGTTCTGAAAGCGGACCAAATAAATCTTATATACTTTAGTGCAACAGCGCGTTTATCGTCCATTTCCCCTGCCATGAAAAAGCACAACTCAGCTGCAGTGTAGGTTTGGAAATGGCTCGCCTAAAAGGCAGTCGTCTGGGGCTTTGGCTTTTCTTTTTCGAATTCTCCGAGGGTATTTATCCAGTTGGTAGACGCGTTGCTCACGCTGCTCGTCGCTTGGCGCCGTCCTGTGCCGTCGCGCCGCCCCCTGACCGCCCCGTGACGCAACGCGGAAGGCAAGGGGGGCGGGTCAGGAGTCAAGACCGAGACAAGACCGCCTAGCCGCCGAGATGTCGAATCGAGATCGAGATATCGCTCCGAGCAATCAAGTGAGCGGAAATGGAAAAGCCGCCGCACCACTTGCAAGATGCAAGGAAGACTCAGGGTTGGCGCGTAAAACGCCAGTCGCGCTGACCCTCTGGCTGGTCATTCCCCGCCAGGGAGACAGAGACAGACACATCGCGCGCTTCTGTTTGCATTTGTTGCAATCGGCGTTCTGAAGTAGCAGTTCTTTCCTCTGCTCGTTTTGTTTTCGATTGCCGATAGATGCCGTCGGCTTTATCTCCCTTTCCCGCACAAAAGTCGAAAAATTGTGGCAAAGGTCTGCGGCATCGTTGCCCGGCGCGCCAAGTCGACGGGGAGCGCACCCAGAGCACCGCCCCGAACAACAAGATGGGGATGGCGGTCCTCAGCAGGGTCCTGGCCGAACCGCCGAGCCGGGCCGCACGCTCGGCACGCTCGGCCTGCGCCGAATGGCCGAATGAGAGCGTTGTCGATACGGGGCACGGAGTTCAGCGACCTTCGTCGCCTTCTTGGTGTGGGCTTGGGCCTTGGCTTGGCGGCTGCCTCGCCAGGCTTCGGCACGCCGAGGAAGGAACTCCTTTCCGCCCGGTCGTGTTTGTTGTGACGCGGGCCGGACCGAGCGGTCGCGCGGCCGAATTCACTGACAGTCGAGCGACACTGCGCGCCATTTCAGCATGGATTATCGCGTGCACGTATCACGTAACACTCGCACAGGGCGATGTCTATGCCTCAGTCCGATCTACCCGGCTCGGTGGCTCGGTGCCCCATTCATTCTACAGGGTCGTTCACACACGCATGCACGCACAGCCCTGCAGCGACAGTCGTGCAACCCAGCCGAGCCGAGCCCAGCGCTTGGATGGAGCCCAGTCGGGGCCGGGTTGAGCCCAGCCGCGGTGAGCCGAGCCGACGCGCGCCCCATGAGTGCGAGAAAGACAGAGCGACGAAACGACTCTCGGAATGAGTCTGCTGCCGCCGCCGCTGCGGTGGCTGCGGATACGGCTCGGGAGGCACGAGGGTGAGGGAGCAGCTGCCCGACGCGACGGGGCCAGTGGGGTGCCAGCCGCACAGATAGGCCCTGCTCCGCCGCTCCGCCTCCGCCCGCCGCGTAGCGTAGCTAAGCGTAGCGAGCGTAGCGACCCCGACGTCCCCGACGCGCGACGCGGCACCAGGCAGCAGCCGACGGCCAGACAGACGCCGACATGCAGCGAGCAAGCAGCATCGCCTTCGCAGTCCTGCTGGCAGCGGCCTTCTGTAAGTTCACTCAGAAACTTGGTGCAAGTGTGTCCAGCTCGGGCGGGCGCTGCCCTGCCCGCCGGCAGGCACCTAGCGGGGAGCGCCCGCGAATCGCCAGGTAGGCAACACCTGCGCAGGCGTGCGCACCGGGACGCGGCGGGGTGCCTACCTGGCGGTGCGCGGGCGCCAGCCAGGTCTCGGTCTCCAGGCCGGTGCCCGTCCTGCCCTCGCGGACAGCCATGAGCTGCATGAGCCGAGGCGTGGGCCTGGCGTGGCCGAGGCCGAGGGAGGGAAGGGTGACGGAGGGCCTGTCGCGTCGGTATCAAGTTGTCCGGGCAGAAGGCGCGGCGGGCGCAGCGCCCAGCGCGATAGCGCGGCGGACAAGCTTCATTTCCGAAACAAAACAAACCGACGCGCGCGGGGAGAAGGGGCTGCACCGCGGCGGTCATCGACTCGCAGCAACCACGGCGACGGCCTGCTTGGCCTGCTTGCAGGTGCACAGCTGCAGCTGCAGGTGTCGGCGGCGCGGCCCAGCTGCGACGTCGGCCAGCACCAGGCGGGCTGCCGCATCCACGTGGGCATGTGCGTGTGCGGCATCGGGTGCCGCAACGAGTACCAGTACTCCGACAAGGAGGAGTGCATGAAGGCCCTCAAAGGTAAGCGTGGAGCGCCAAGCTGGGCCTGGGCCTCGGCCTGGGCCGCCCTCTGTGGGGCGCGACTGCGCGACCGGCGGGACTAATTTTGGAGGGAGCTTCATCCTCCGTCTGCTCCCTTCCCTTCCCAGGCCAGCGGCTCAACCAGTGCGGCGAGACCCCATGCAAGCACGGCGGCGCCTGCAGCCAGACGACCATGGACCCCGGCTTCAAGTGCCGCTGCGAGGGCACGGGCTTCTACGGACCGCGGTGCCAGTACCGTAAGCAGAGGGTTGTCTCTCTCGCACTCCTAGGGCACCCAGGGCGTCTCGTGGGGGTGCGAGTGAGACCGAGCGACGAAGCACTGTTTGTGCATCGTGTGCCCTGGTTCTAACGCCTACTCGCCCTTTGCAGCGTGCCCCAGCCCCGGGTCCCCGGGCTCCGGGAGGCCCTTCCCCTACGAGTGCGTCCTCATCTGACGCCCTGGGGGACCGTGACGCCCTGGCGACGCCACGCCCTCACTGCACTCCACTCCCCTGCCGTCTTCAACTGCCGTCTCAACGGTGTCACCCCAAGACGCCGCCCTCGACGCCCTCGACGCGCGCACTGCGCAGGACAGACAGTCCCAGGACAGGTGGCAGGCCAAGCCCTCCCCCGCCTCCCCTTCCACAGGCCGCAGGTGCACAAAGGATCGGCTCAGCCTTGCCTCCCATCAGGTGAGGTGAAGAGCAAATCCAGTAATGTTACACTTTTGGTTGAAATGCTGAAGACAGAGACTGACGAATGCACAGGAAGGGAATATTTTGTATAATGTGGTTTCGAGGGCCGGCATGCTGACTTAGACTTGACACTCGACTAGTAAGAATTTGAACGTAGCTTAATGTTATCATTCAGTGACTGCAAGCTTCAAAATATAATTCTATCTCAATCTATTTGTTTACTAGTAAGATTGGAGAGGCACGTGTAGTTTTCTGACCCTGCCAACCTTTCAACAATTATAAGTGGTGTGCATATTGTGATTGTTATTTATTTATGTCTACTAAGTAGATTGACTGACATGTATCATTGAGATACTAAGTGAATAAATGATCTACTTCTATTCTATTGGCACTATGAATGATACTGGATAATGAAATATAATTGAGGTTTAAAAGGAATGCATCTAAAAGTATAGGAAAATAGCAATATTTATTATCTGTCTCTTTACAAAATTAATAACACAAGCCTCAGAACCTTTACAGTATCACTTATGTGGTGACAAACAAGACAAGGGGACAAAGATCATCATGAGAGTAAAGAGATTTGTTGAATCTTGTTTTAAAGTTATCCAAGTTATTGCTTAGTTTGCATAATGTAAAGAATTATGTTATTAATAAAATAAAAAAAAAACATAAAAAAAACTTGTCAAGGTAGACTGATATTAAACTGATTGAAACAAATCTGCAATGACCCAACAAGAGGAAGATAGTTTCTTAGGAGTAACAATAACAATATTTCTAAATATAACAACAACAACAAGAATGAAGACATGAAGGAAATAAGCACCCTGTACAACAGAAAGATTAGATAATGGTGCATTGAGTGAAAAGGGTGAATACCTATTTGGTTGTGAAAAGTTTCATACCCTACACAAGACCACAAAACCATATCACATCATACTTACAAACTGAATATCAAGTCACTTGGTAAAAGACAAAGGAGCAAAGCCAAACTTCTAGAGTACAATCCGAAGCATGTAAGCAAAGTTTTGGGTTTAAATGGAAGAGCTATATACCGGTAAGTTAGAAATTATTACAGGAAGACAGACTTTCTTGTTAACAACTCCACATTCTAACACTTTTGATTACAGCCAAAGAGATTTAGCAAGTCATAGTCCTTAACCATCAGATTAAATCATCATTAAATTTTGAAACAGAACACTATGCTAGGCACACAGAGAACACCATATACTATACAATATGTAACTATCATGTTGAGGTACTGTTGCTGGAACCTTGAGAATTAGCTTTTTCTAAATATCTCAGTCTCCTTGCACGGATTTCGGCGAGATCTTCATTATTTGAGCTAGCAGGGGGTGCATTTTTCCCAATACCTGAAGTAAAATGATGAAAGGTTTAAATTTGAAGTTCACCCTGGTGTATTAGTATGAGGTACACAGCATAATAGGAAATCAAAATGTTGCTTACATTCTAAGCTCATTTGTAATGCTTTTTTCAAATCATGGTCTGATGAATTATTTTCTTGCTGGAGGCTTAGTTGAAGAGCTCTTTGAAAGTCATCATCTTCATCCCCGACAGAATCAACTATTTGAGAGTCATATTGTGAGCTGTGATCTTTGGCACTTTCTTGAAGGACTCTCTGCAAATCAGCGTCCTCTTGCTCCACACCACCAATTTGCTTTGGTTCCTCATCAGTCTGCAAAGAGGACCATTGAATTAATCAGTAAATGGTTCCACAGGTCATTAGGAAAGAGAGGAAATAAAAATAGTAGGTTACCTGACCAAGGCTGATACGTAATGCCCTTTCCAGATCAGGATCATCAGATGCACTCCCACCACTTGCTGCATGTTTTGATTCCATGTCATTTGTCTAAAAAGGGACGGTTGATTTGATCATCAATTTGTCCAAAACTCATTGGAAAAGAGAGGAAAAAGAATAATAAAGTTACCTGACCAAGGCTGATACGTAGTGCTCTCTCCAGGTCAGGATCATCAGATGCACTCCCAAGCCTGTATCCTTGAGATTTTGCACTCTCCACTCTTTGAGGTTGTGTCACTTGCACTGCAGGTTTAATAAGAAGCATCTCATGGGCTTGACAGTCAGGAAGAGCCCCAAATACAACAAAAATGGAATATCCTAAAAAGAGGGAATAATTGTATATTTTGTGGCCATAGGTCATTGAGCTCATGGGTCATTCAATAAAAGTTGGTTTACATCATTAAAACATAACAATTACCTTCATGCTGTAACTGGGCTAAATATACTGAGAGGTAGGTGTCAGAAATTAATTGAGGTCCCGATAACATGGAATTAAGATTGAACCACTGGCGCCCTAGTCTTCGAATTGTAAACCAATGATCATGATAGTTACAGATGTAAGCCTGCATATCACTGCAAGACAAGGGAATATAAAAAATTACTGGAAAGGTGTTAATTCACATGCAGTGACACTGTTGCAAGGGCAAAATTTGACATAAAGAGATTCTGGAAAAGAAATAAAGGACACTGAAGATGACTCAACTTACTGTGGAGAAGTTTGAGCTGTAACTGCCCTTGGCTCTGTGCTGTTATATGGGACAAGTTCTAAATTCCAAACATTTAGTGCTGATGCAATAACTTGCACAGAAAAATAGCCACTATCATCCATATTTCCTGATGGTTGCTGAAAATAAAATCAGATAGCTGTCACACAAGACGCAAGAATAGCTACCAATAAATTGAATTTATACAAATGGCCAACCTGTATAAAGTTGCGGTATTCTTCGCTGTCAACACCATTCTCTGCCATTCGCTCTCGTTCTTGCTCATCCATCTGTTGTCCTAAAGTGGCTAGATCAACTGCAGAAAAGTATGGTCCTTGGAGTAGTGCATTCAAACAGTGTTGAGCACATAGGTAGCCCTCTTGCTGGAAATGACAGATTCAAGGTGAGGCGTGATAAACATCCAATAGCTGCATCACTTGAATAAATATGTTTTTATTTGAATGAGTGAGTAGTCCTCACGATGAAAGCTTATGATCATTTTGGTAATTATTCCGAATAGCGGCTCCACCTACTCGGGGCATATATTTGGTATCGGTAGATAGGTATTCATGAGTGCTGTGCGAAACGGCAAGAAATATGCGGCGCTCTTGAAGGATATCGCTGTAAATGCGTATCTACGTCTCTCACTTTAACCTCAAACAGCGCAGCCGTTTCGATGAATGTGCCAGTACCGGCCACTGACGACGTATTATTGTCTAAGGAAAAATATAAGGGGGGAAGAGGTCTACCTCATAGGCTTAAAATACGCTCCAAATTATTTTCCCTTCTATTAGTGCGGTGTAAGTGACAGGGCTGACGCACCTGCAGAAGCCGCTCAAAGATGGCGCCACTGTTAACACAGCAGCCGGGCCCGGACACTTTTCACCGCACTAATAGAAGGGAAAATATTTTGGTTCACATTTTGGGTCCATGAAGTAGTCCTCCTCCCCCCTTATATTTTTCCTTAGACAATAATACGTCGTCAGTGGCCGGTACTGGCACATTCATCGAAACGGCTGCTCTGTTTGAGGTTAAAGTGAGAGACGTAGATACGCATTTACAGCGATATCCTTCAAGAGCGCCGCATATTTCTTGCCGTTTCGCACAGCACTCATGAATACCTATCTACCGATACCAAATATATGCCCCGAGTAGGTGGAGCCGCTATTCGGAATAATTACCATCATTTTTATTAAACAAAAACAGAAAGCAATAAACAAATTGATAATTTATTTTTAAGATTCAAATATAGTGGAAGGTCACAGACGTAAACAGAAACATTTTGAATCCACTCCACGGTGAGGAAATTGTGTCAAAAGTGCGACGTTACCTTCTCGTGGAAAATAAGTTCCATTTCAAGTACAGACTCAGTTTTCTCCTCCAGAAAATGGTTATGTCTGTGTTGATGTTGTTGACGTCTTGTCACAGCCTTTCTTTCAGCCAGCTGATTTCCAAGGGCGAAAACAAAAACAAAAGATGAGGCTGAGGCTGCACTTGACCAACACACCGGTAGTTTAGTGGAAATGATCTTCAACTAAAAATCTTTTATAAATCTGTTCTGAACGAAAGAGTCATATCCGAAATATCCTATTTTTATGTCAACATTTCCTTGGCCGTGGTTTTAGGTTTAACATATCACGTTTGTGTTGTAGCGTTGGCGACTCTGCGGACCCGGGACGATGTTTTGAAAAACGCGAAGAAAGCTGGATGTTCACGAGGGCCGACTAATAATTCAAGTTTGTGGTTAACCTGAATTAAACGGAGCTCAAAATGACTGGTCCTACTGACGAAATGCTAAACACTGTCGAGCGGTATAAAAAGTTGGCAGAAAACAAGGATAATCAAGCCGCCATGATAAAGGTAAAGCAGGCCCTTATGAACAATGGACCACTGAGTCCCATTTCTTGGTCGTGTTTCTTTCCTTGTTACCCTTAGTTAATCAAAAATGGCTAATCCCCATGGTAAAAATCCTTCTCAGTTTGCTTTTTTACTCGAAGGCTTACGACTCTTGTGTGAATTTGACCTTTTAGGCTGTGTTACAAGTGTGTTTGTGCTATAACCTCAACCATTTGATAGCAAGTTGATTTTGTTGCTAACATTTTCTTCAGCCCGCTTATTAGTTCCCAGATTTGGTCTTTGATGCTCACTGTTTTATCTTTCTTTTCAGGACTCTGCGGTTGTCCAGTTCCTTGTGTATGCTTTGGAAGGAACTTCAAGTGCTGTCAGAGATACTGCCATGACAACTTTAGAATTATTTGGTGATAATGTTACGCTATGTCCAACTTTGAGAAAGACATTTGGAGTGATGGAGTCCCTTGAAGCTATTGCTCACAGGTCGGACCACATTTTAACTTGAATTAATTTTAAATTACGTGTGTCTGTGACAACGCTTTGCTAATCTATTTTCATTCTGTAACAGTTCTCTGCCTGAAAACATTATTTTGGCTGACCGAGCAAGAAAGCTACATAGCAAACTTGAACAGTCCAATAACTTAGTGTGGGAAGTCCCAAAGGAAGTAACATTGCGGATCCCTGATTTGACCCCAGTGAGTAATGTCATCTGTGTCAATGTTTTCTTAGTTAAAGTTCTGCTTTCGCTTTCCAAAATATAACCTTTTGCTTTCAGGAGGATTGCACAGAGATATGGCAAGCTCTTGCTTCTGTTCGAGGTGTGGTTTCCTGTCAATTTAACCTGGAACTGAGCACATGTACCCTGACTGTGTTTAGCAGCATGAATCCTCAAACTTTGGTACAAACTCTCTCCAACCAATGCAGCTTAGAAGCAGAAGTTGTCAGGCCAGGATTTCAGGTAAATTAGCTTCAAACATTATCACCATCTTTTGTTTTTATTCAATCATGCTTTAAATTTGGTTTTCATTTTGTTCTTGTGTTCATTTTTAGGCTGATACTGGCTCCCATGATAGATCCATTCGTGACCTTCCTGCATACCTGCCAGAGGAGGATTCGCCCATTGTTCAGAAAAAAGCTGTTGCAAGGAGGAGACCGAAGCGGAGAGAGAGCAGTTGGTTTACCAGAGCAGCCAGTGTTTTAGTTGATTCCTTCTTTTGGTGATGTTGTATGGTCTGCCACCATTTTTTGATGGATGAAGCATTTTCTCCTGAGCGTTCAGGCAGTTTGAATTATTTAAATGATTCTCTCAATCTTGTTCTTGTAGCTGTCACTTGCTAGCAAAGCAAGGGAAGTTAAATTGTGATAAGTTACAAAAGAATCGCTTGATATGTTGTTCTTTTTAATGGTACTGGTTTTATCTGCCTCAAAAGCAAAATGAAAGCAGTTCCACTCTTAAAACTTACTGTTAACGAGTACATTACTTTAAATTTTACATTTTGAAAATAATGTAGATTGTTAGACAGGCTTGTGTTTTCCTGTCCTATATGTAATAACTTATTTTAGAAAAGTAGACATCAGACATCATTTGAGACCCTTTTTATTTATCATTTTATGAATTTTTGTTTTGGAAAGTAAGACTGAGTTCAAATAAATTGCACCCGGCTACTTTCAACTCTGCAAAATCAAAATCCATATTTTAAAGACTATTTTACATGTTGAAGTATAAATTCAATTTTGAAATCAAAACCATTCTACATGGATCAACTGCCAGACATTGTTCACCTCACTTATGATAGTGAGTTAGTTTAAGGTCTAGATTGTGATTTTTAACTCTAAGCAGGGTTTTCACCTTTTGTTGTATTATATTTTTAGTTGAATAAATTCTCCAGCTGAAACCAGATTCAATCATGGGTTCCATTAATCGGTGCCCTTTCCCCTCACTCACACCAACACTGAATGCAGTTTCTTAGTCAGGAGGTAATCTGCCTGACTGTCATGAATCGTAGGCAAGCAAAAGGGGGAGGGGGCAAAGGGGGCACCCAGGGAGCGAGAAGGCAGTGCAGTGCAGCGGCTCTTCAGCGGGTCCGGCGGGGCAAGCGGCGAGCAGGGCATGTCTTTGAGGGGGCCCCACCAGGCCCCACTCCGCGACTACCGCCTGCCCCGGCCCGGAGCCTCCAGGTCCTCCAGGCAGCGGCCGAGTTCCAGTCTGGAATCGGTCTCGGCTTGAGCAGGACTGCCGCGGTCAGCCACACGCAACGCTACGCCACGGCACCTCCGCCTCCCGCGCACGCCGCGCCCCTGGCGGACTCGTCCTCGCTCTCATCGGACGCGCTGACGGACACACGGTGAGCCGAGACGCAGTCGACTGATTCCGAAGATCGTTGAAGGGAGATTTTCGTCCACCAGTGAGAGCCCCTATCGACCACTAAGAGACCTCCTTACGAACCTCGATATCTTCGCCGCTCGCTTCAACGCGATCTTCGGAGTCAGTCCGCTGCAATGCCCCATTCGGGGAAGTCCCTCGCGCGCGCGCGGACAGCGGACACGTGAGGCGGGCTTGCCGACCGTTTGGCGCTCACTTGTTGGTGCCCGATTGCTCAGCGCATCTCAGCAGCCTTTGAAGGGCTGTGCAAATGCCTCCGTACGGCGAGGAAAATTCGGGCACCGGATATGCCTGTCGCACCCACAGTGGTATGCGGCGAGCAGTTGCATAACGATGACAAAGGAAGTTCGAAAATAAAAAATCGACTGTTACGACATTTCCCGCGAAATGTTCCTGGGACTCGCGCTAACCATTGGCCCTAATTGCCTTCCTCGCAGCCCCAGCCGATTTCGAAGGATCGTTACGTCGCTCTGTCTTTCTCGCACTCGCGGGCCGGCCCGGAGCGGAGCGAGAGAGACAGAGCGACGTAACGTCCCGCTGTTTGCTGTAGGCTAGCCAAAGCAATTCGCCCATTCACTCGCGCAGCCGGCAGGGCAGAGCGTGTTGCCACCGAGACGTGCCGGGCTGGCAGTCTGGTTCCGAAGAGTACTCTCGCCGCTCTGCCCCTCTCGCACCCCTACGTGGCGCCCCATGAGTGCGAGAGGGATAGAGTTGGGCGGCCTGCTGGGCCTCCTGGGAGCGGCTGAGCGGCGGTATTTAAAGGGTTGCCAAAGTCGGACGGGTTCAAATTAACCGTGCAACTTGTTCTGGTGTGTGCGTCATTGGCTAGCCGGCTAGCCGGGTCGTGGAGCGGTCGCCGCCACGCCGGAGGCGCGAGCCAGCAGTCGGTCACCGGGCGCCGTTCCAGGAACGGGCAGGATTTGCGACGGCGGAGTGGTTAGAACCGACACCCGCGTGTTGTTGTACCGGGAGGGTCAGTTTCCTCCCCAGTGCGCTACTTCGAGTAATGCATCTTTGATTGGTGTGTCTCAAGGCTACTCCACTTGGCGGTGGCCGCCAACACTCCACATTTTTATCCGCCTGGATCCCGCTGCACTCTAACCATACCGACGTCACCGTTGCGCCTGCCTGCCGTCGTCTCGTCGCTGTCTCTGTCGCACTCACGGGGCTCTCCGCAGGGTGCGAGAGAGACAGAGCGACGAACCGATCTCCTGAATCGCTTGGCTGCCTGCACCACTCCAGCCTCGTTGCTGGTTACGATCGGCGCGCCGCCTTCCTCATTCAAATTCGTTATTCAAATCAGGGTAGTTTGCAGTGCAGCGTGTTTGCGACTGGAACAGAGGAACCGCGCACGGGGCGCACGCCAACCGCCGCGGCGTCGATGACCTGCCGGTCGGGACAGGTTAGGTTAGGTTAGGTTTGGTTAGACACACGAGCCGAGTCACACGCTCCGAGCTCCGAGCGATTTGAAGACTCGTTTCGTCGCTCTGTCTCTCTCGCACCTCGACGCGACGCCCACTGCCCACCGAGCGCGAGAGCGATGAAGCGACTGTTGGCGATCAGTCTGCGAATCGTACAGGAGATAAATGGAGGGGGAATCCCCAACGGCAGGCGGTTGCTGTGAGTTTTACCGGGAGTGGCGCTGGGACGCTGGCAATATTTGTCCTGGCCTCGCGGCCGCGAGCCGCGCCACTCGGCCCACCGCGCATCAACCAACACGGCCGAGTGGTGAGTGCCTAGCAAGGAGCCTAGTGCCGTGCGTGGGCAAGCAGTGCGTCGACCTGGGGTCGGCCTCTCGGAACGCACTTGCGTGCGGGGCTTGCCGCTGCTTGTCGACTTCGGCTTGCCAAGCCCGGGGCGTCTCGAGAGGGCACTCATTCCTCGCTTTCGACGCGTGAATACGGCGAAGACGAAGACGTGATGAAACGGAGATTGCAATCCTTTATCACTTGTGGGGATTTCTCCCGCGCGGACGCGGCGGACGCAACACCTCTCGTTCACAGAAACAGGGAAGCGGCCAAGTGGCACCGCGGTGCATCGGCCGGCGTGCCGATGCCCAGTAAAACGCGGAGAGCCGGCTGCCCGCGGCTGCCTCGCGGCCTCGTGTTGCACCGGCGGGCTACGGCGGGCATGCCGACGGTGCCGCGGCGGACTCGCGGACTCCGGGATCCGCTCGGCCCGTCGTGCGCCCGGCGGCGGCGCGGGTCCCCCAAAGAGCCCGTTGCGAAGGCGAGGCGCCCCGGCCCCGCGTAGCCCCCCGCGTAGCCCCGCGCTGTCTGGCAGGAGGTCGCCCCGCTGCCCGCGGTGTGCAGTGCGGTGTCCCCGTCCTGGTCCAGGCAATTTGGGACTCATTAACCACGGCGCCCCGCCACCCTGTACACCCTGCCGACAGTCGACAGTCCACGGCGGGTGAGACCCTCGCCGCAGTCACCGTGCGTGCCGGGCCATCGGTCGCCGCCGATCACTCGTTGTCTACAACGAGGGCGCTGGAAAAGTACGGAGCCATTCCGGCCATTCCGCGCACCGCGCACGCCTGGCGCACGCCATGCGAGGCATGGGCTCGGTGGGCGCGCTCGTTGCGTGACGAGGCGGGGCGGGGCGGGGCGGGGCGGGGTGGCGCGGCGGGCGTCCCGGTGCGGCCGGCCTCTCTGTCAGTGGTGACCTAATACCGCGCACTCGGTACTGCAGCCTGCAGGCGCCAGGCCAGGGCTGCCAGGGCGACGCCGACCCGAAGTGGCGCTAATGGCGGTGATCCACGCCGCGCCACGCCGCGCTGCACCGATAGGCCGATAGAGTCCCCGCTTTGTCCCAGGCCGTGTCGCGGCGGTCCTACCGGGTCCCCACGATCAAGACTATCGCCGTCTTTGAAATAGAAAGTCGGCGGCGGCTGGCCTGCGCGGACAGGGCGTCCTCGGCCTGCAGCGCCTGCAGGCGGAAGACGGCGGCGCGGCGCGCACCGAGCGGCCCTTCGGCCGGGGAAAGGGGGGGGGGGCAGAATTATATCATCATAGGGCCCTTACACCTGGCTGCATGAGCGCCGCCGAGGCATACCCTGCTCAACTGAGGAAGTCGACCTTGAGTCGAAAGTTGGTCGGGAGAAAACTCCGGGCGCCCGCTTCGATGTCTTGTAGTGAAGGCGAGGGGGAGGGGACGGTCCCGGACAAAAAGGACACACACACACTCACACACTGGCGCCGCGTGGGGTCAAACTGGGTCACTGTACCAAGCCGAAACTGCGAAAAAATTTTCCTGCGGAGAGAAGGATGTTGCTCCTTCATTTGCTGAGCCAAGCCACGGAACGTAAAATCCACACGTAAAGCTATTCTTAGATCTCGGAATGCAAATGAGTGACGTGACGGGGGGGCTCGCTAAAGTCGGCTAAAGTGATCCGATGCTGACGCGCAGATCTGAGTCGCTCGGGTAGGTGCGCACCCGGAGGTGGCCATCCCTCCTGAGCCTCAACCTCATTCGCAGCGCGGAATTTTTCGGGAATTTTCCTAGCCCGCACCACCTGGGCAGCGACCGTAAGGACCGTTCGATCCTAGTCTGGCCACGGTGTCGGCCCGTCGGCGCTGGACTTCCTAGTGTGTGAGTCTGTCCGACTGCAGGATGTTTGTCTGGACTCGGTGCAATTTTCCGACCGCGATGGCGCGCCGCGGCACGTCCTCATCGCCTCGCTCGAAATTATAAGGTGTTAGTGTGTGTGTGTGTGAGCAAGTGTGTGTGCATGTGTGCGTGAGGTATGGACGGTTCTTTTGTCTCTCCGACACATGCATGGGACCCGAAGCTTTAATAGGCTTCGGCGTTGTCAAGAAAAGGCAATTTTCAACGAGCCCGGACTCCCCGTTGCAGGCTCACCACCAAGATGGAGGACATCGGCGTCCACGGGCGCGGCGTCGGCGACGTGGCGGCCTTCTACGCCGGCCGCGGCGTCCTGGTGACGGGGGCGACGGGCCTGCTGGGCAAGGTGCTCGTCGAGAAGCTGCTGTGGGCCGTGCCCAACGTCGGCAACGTGTACATGTTGATGCGCCCCAAGCGCGGCAAGACGGCCTCGGAGAGACTCGCCGCCATCCAGGCGCTGCCGGTAGGACTGCGTTTTGATTTTGCTTCGAAACGGTTTTGTGGCGGTTTGTCTGTTACTTGTGGCGTCGTGTCATTGCAGGTGTTTGACCGCGTCCGGAGGGACTGCCCCGAGCAGCTGGACAAGATGAAGATGGTGGCCGGGGACGTGGGCCTGGACAAGCTGGGCATCGGCGCGGACGACATGGAGCGGATACAGGTGAGGGTCGCTGCCGCAACGCGGTGCCTGTGCGCCGCGCCGCGCAGTATCATTCTCTTCTTCCGCTGTTGCACGCCGCCGAGCAGCAGGAGGTGTCCGTGGTGGTGCACTGCGCCGCCACCCTCAAGCTGGACGGCTCCCTGAAGGACGCCCTGCACCTCAACACCAGGGGCACGCAGCGCGCCCTGGAGGTGGCCAAGACCCTCCCGCACCTCACCGTCTTCGTGCACACCTCCACGGCCTTCTGCAACTGCGACTTCGCGGAGCTGGCCGAACGCGTCTACCCGCCGCCCATCTCGCCGGAGCACATGATGGGCTGCGCGGACCTCGTGGACGACGTCGGCCTGGAGGACGTGACTAAGCAGTGAGTATGTCGCGGCCCTGTCGCAGCCGAATTGGGGAGAGAGGACGGGACACGGTTTCCACTCCTTTTCGTACTTTTCCGTTCCCACAGCCTGCTGGCGCCCCACCCCAACACGTACACGTACTCGAAGCGCCTGGCCGAGGACCTGGTGGCGCGCCAGTACCCGGACCTGCCCGTCTGCATCGTGCGCCCGTCCATCGGTACGCTTTCGGCCTCAGCAGCCCGCGGAGGGGAATGGTAACCAACTCCTGGTTCTGTCGTCTGACGTTTCCAAACACCTTCCAGTGTGCCCGTCGTGGGAGGAGCCCGTGCCTGGCTGGGTGGACAACCTGAACGGCCCGGTGGGGGTGATGGCGGCCGCGGGCAAGGGCGTCATCCGCTCCATGTACTGCCGCGCCGACTACAACGCCGAGGTCATCCCCTTGGACTTCGCCGTCAACTCCACGCTAGTGGCCGCCTTTCGGGTGGCCACCAGCCCCAGGTAGAGGGCAGCCTAGGCAGCGCGAGGAGGAGGCAAAGCGTACTCGAACCTGGGTCCAACGCGGTCTTGGCTCTGCGCAGGGAGCCGTCGGTGCCCGTGTTCAACCTGACGAGCGGCAAGTGGCGGCAGGCGACGTGGGGCGAGGTGCTGGACCACGGCCGCCGCGCCGGCTACATGTACCCCTTCGAGATGATCCTGTGGTACCCGGACGGCAACATCCGGCCCAGCCGCCTGTCGCACGACGTGCACGCCTTCTTCCAGCACTTCCTGCCCGCCTACTTCATCGACTTCATGATGTTCATCTTCAGGCAGCCGCGTTTGTGAGTATGGACCAAGGGTTGGCGACGCAAAATGCTTTCGAAACGTTTAACCGCGGACCCTTTTAAATAGAAAGCCGCGCTGGGAGGTCTGAGAGGTCTGGGAACGCCGGGGCTAGTTCCAACAATTCCCTTCGTGGCGTTGTCCGGCAGCGTGCGTGGAAAAGGGCTTCTCGTGCGTAGCCGTCGCCGTCAGGCCGGCGGCTTGTCTCCGCAGGACCTGCCAGGACCGCCCTCCCTGCCGTCCTGGCGGCGCGTGGCCGCCACACTGGCCACGCCAAGGGCCACGCCCCCGCTCTGCGACAACAATCTCCTGGAGCGGCCGGCTGGACAGCAATCTCTCATCATTTCCCATAGAGGACCTTCCCGCCGGGCCCCACCTGCCCCGCCCGCTTCTCATCCACGCCTTTTGCGTGTCCTTAGAGCGGCTCGCTGCTCCGTGACCCGCCAGACCCGTCAGACCCGCCGGCTCGCACACAGGCACCAAAACAATAAAAAGCAAAAAGCCCGCGCGGCTCGAGACTTGAGAAACGCGCTCCAGAGCCGCGACAATGCCTCCCGCGTGTGTTTAGTGTGGGGCTGTGACATGCCCCGACGATTGCAGATTGCGCCGGGCCGCCGGCTGCGTTGCGCAAGTTGGGGAAGACCTGCCTTATTGATGGTCTTGTTGTTGTGCCGCAGCATGGTGCGCATCTACAAGCGCATCGCCGTGGGCCTGGAGCTGCTGCAGTTCTTCACGACGCGCCAGTGGGTGTTCCACAACGACCGCTTCATGGCGCTGTGGCGCGACATGTCGCCCGCCGACCGCCGCCTCTTCAACTTCGACGTGACGGAGGTCAAGATCAGCGACTACATCGACCGGTGCCTGCTGGGCGCGCGGCAGTACTGCCTCAAGGAGGACCCCGCCACCATCCCGCGCCAGCGCCGGCTGCTCAAAGTGTGCGTGTCTTATTTTGCTGTTCCTTTCCTTCCGCCGGGATGCGGGGCTAATTGGGTCCCGGTGCTCGTTGCTGCTTGCAGGTATTACGCCGCCGACCGCCTCATCGCACTGCTGTTCTACGGCCTGTTGGCGTGGTACGTGTACGGCCTGTTCGCGTCCGCCGCGCCCGCCGCCAGCACGGGCCCCAGCCCGATGCTGGCCGACAGGCTCTAGGCCTGCTCCGTGCCGATACCCCGCGCGCAGGCCTCACACCGGGTGCCGCGCGGGGTAGCGTCGTGCATCGCCATTCGCCGCCACCGCGTACCGCCGCCCCGGTGCCCCTGGTGGCGAAACGCCGCGGTGTCCCAAGACTGCCCGCGACCGGTGCCGCGGCGGCGGCGTCCTTCCTCGTATTTGCAGCGCGAATATGGGCGCGGGCCGCCACCGCCACGGCGGCACGCGTGTCGCAACACGACGGATTTTCGCATGGGTGCGATCCGTCGCCGTGCTGGCGGAAGGTGCGATCGGTCACCAATAGGTGTGCCCCAGCCGCGCTCTGCTGTGTCTGCGCTTATTGTGGCGAGGAGAGGACAAGAGGTAAAGCCAAGCAAACAAGCGGGGAGTTGTTTTTTGTTACGTTATTTTCTGCATTTATGTAAGGTATTTTCAATAAATTTGTGTTATCAAATTCTCTTTATCCGTTGATGACGCCCGTTTACTTCTCCTTAATTCTTCTTACTTATCCTTAATTTTTTTTAACGTCTCCTCACTTTTTCTTACTTTTCCTTACTCCTCCTTACTTCTCCTTTACTCTCCTTACTTCTCCCGAAATCTCCTTCCTTCTCCTTAGGTGAACTGGAGCCGACTGGAGCGCCTAGCAGGTATGCACGTGCGGTGGTTCGGCACAGGGGCGTGCGGCGGGCTGGCCTACCCGCCATTACCATTACCATTAAGGGCTGCGTTCCGGTCCGCCGTGCGGCAGGCAGCCCGGCGTCCCGGGCCGCGCGTTGGGTTGCCTGCCTGCACGGCGGCGTCATCGCGGCGCCCGGCTCGTCCGCCTCGCCACGGCCCGGCCGACGCGCCGCGCTGATTGGCCCGAGTCGCCACGGCCCGGCCGACGCGCCGCGCTGATTGGCCCGAGTCGCCACGGCTCGGCGACCGCGCGTGTCTTGGCGCGAAACGCGGCGCGCCGCACCGCGCACCGCCCCAAAGACGAACCTCGCCGCCAGCCTCGCCAGTGTCAGCTGAGACGCGCCGAGCCGAGGACAGTTTGACCCCCGCCGCCTAGCCGCCTGCAAGCGAGCCGCGCGAGTAGACTAACGGACAGTTCGCCGAGGTTCGAGTGACACCCACCACCGCAGTCAAGGTGAGCACCTGGGAGGTTCTCAATCCAGGGAAAACAAGAGGACCTTGCGGCTGGGCTGCAAAAATAGCAGTTTAAGTTAATAGAAAGCGTTTTTAGGAGCAGACAGAAAACCCGTTTTGGGGACAACAATTAACCCCTAGTTATGATTTAACTGTCATTAGTAAGTCATCCATATTACAAATGACAAGCTTTTGATTCCGCCTGTAAATTTTTCGTTCTATTTCAAGTCGTTTTCTGTGGATTCTGTCCAGATTAAAGAAACTGTCATTTGAGGTGACGCACCAATTTCTTTATCAGCCCGGGCTCTAGACAACTAGACTAGCAGACACTCCTGCTCGAGGCGAGTAGCCAGCGCGGTGCCCGAAATGACTCTGCCGTTATCGACGCAGAACAGCCTGGACTCGAGGTTCGAGTTCGAGATATGAGTCTGTTTACAGGGGACGGCCGCGTGGGCCGCGTCGTGGACTCGTAGGCGAGGAACCAAATGGCACGCCTCATTTAGCTGATGGAGCGGACTGCTCGAGGCCAGGCCGTCGGCCAGGCCGTCGGCCGCCGTCGCCAAGGGACTGTGGCGCCGTAGTCCACGCGGGCCGTCATGTCCGTCAGGTGCTGGCAGGCAACACAGCGACACGCGGCGCCGGACATTCGGCAAGCGAATCCCGCTGTCCTGGTGGCTCGCTCGGCGTGCACTGTCAGCCAAAGCGTCGAACTGGACTTGAACCGAGCGTGTGACCACACCAATGAATTCCTCGTTCGGAGAGCAATCCATTGGTGGGGTCACACGTTCTTTTTGAGTCCTGTTTAGCGACTCCAGAGCTCAAAACGCGTCTGGGATTTCGACCGCCTCCACCGGTCTTCGAGGTCCGACGCGGCCCTTTCCAGTGGGACTATGCATTCAGCCTAATTAAGGGCCCGGCAGTTCATTTTTCCTTTCCCCGAGTCACCTCGTCTCATGCGCCTCGCCTCGCCTCGCCTTCCGCGGGGTTGGCCGGGCCGGGTCGCACGGCCAGCGCGCTGCGCGCGGCTCGACTAAGCCCGCGCGGCCCGGCGTCGCGTCGCCGCCGCGGCGGAATGGTGAAATCACGGCGCCTGGGAACGGCCTCACGCCGCGCTACGCCACGCCGCGCTGTTACTGCCGAGCCGAGCAAGTTGCGGGTGCAAAATGAGCACCGGCTACTCGAATTAATTTTAGCCCGGGCCAGTCCGGTCGGTGGGGCAACCAGCGAACGGGCCCCACAGCGGGCGGCAGGCCGGCCAGAGGGAAGGAAAGCACTCCGCGAGGACCGCGTCAACCACCAACCACGCCCGTTGGCGTTCGCGTTCACTACTGGAGTGGCGTCGCGTCGCGTCGCCGACGGGGCGATGCGCCTTGCCGCCTTGCCACGCGCTGAGCGCTGCACCGCGCCGGACGGGACGGGACGGAGAGTTGAACCCGGACCCGACCCGGCAAACCGCTTTTTCCTTTAGCTTCGCTGCGTCGCTGCTTCGCTATCAGGCGGTGCGGAGAATTCGGAAACGCTTTACGACCTGGAGCTTAGGCCCGCGGTCCTGAAGCCCGGAGCTTGGGCCCGGAGCCGGGCGTCGAGCCCGGACCTGGGCCGTCCAAACCCACCACGTAGAGAGACGTCATTAGTTCCAGGCATCAAACATTCGGACCCTGACATTTTAACTGTGCTCTTTCACTTTTGCGACACCGCGGTAGGGCTTTGAGGCGCCGAGGCGAGCGAACAAACCAAAGACACCGGGGCGCGGCAGCAAACTCGTTCCATCCGTCCACTTTCGACGTGCCATTTCTCCCAGAGCACAGTCGGTCCCCAGTCCCACTCGCGGGCCTGGAAGTGCGCGAAGCGGTAGGCTGATTTGGAACAGCGGGAGTCGTCGCTCTGTCTCTCCGTCGCGACAGGCACCACGAGTGCGAGAGAGAAAGAGAGAGCGCGAAGACGCCGCTGGACCAGAATGCGGTATGATACTGCACAATCGCCTCGCGCGCACGTCTCGACAACGCGTGCGTCCGCATCACGCGCACTGCAGCGCGCTGCAGCGCACCGCCGTGTCGTGCGACCCGAGGTACCCGCAGTACCCGCAGCAACACGGCGTCGGCTTCCTCCTCTTTTTTACTGTCGCACCTCTGGGACTAGGACTAGGTCGCCGCGTATAACACTTTTTATTGGTGCGCGTGTCGCGAGGGGGCCCCCTCGGCCCCCGCGGCCAACCCGCTCTGGCCGCTCTGGTCCCGCGGGGGTCGCCCAAAGGTCTGGCGTCTAGGCAGCGCCCATGGCTAGGGCGCCCAGAGCGGCGTGGGGCTACGCTGGGAGGGTGGAGGATTAGAGAGAGGGTTCAGTCATTTTGTCCTTCGAGAGAGTGCACTCTCCTCCTGGAGCGCTCCGTCGCAGCGGCGGGGCATGCCTGCAGAACGCAGGACATTCCGCTTCAATTGGTCCTTACTGCCAATTAGGACCCCCATCCCTGCAGCCTGCGGGGCCTGCACTGCAAGACTCTCGCCGGCCGGCCGGCCGGACTGCCAGCGCTGTCTTTTTAAATCCACTGTCAAAAATGGCAACGGGTCTGTCGCACTGTAAAAGTCTAGAGGCGGGTGTCCGAGTGTCCGAGTCGCTACTCGCTGGCTGCCCCTCGGGCGGCCCCGTGCCTGCTGCCCGCGCTGCTCGCTAGTGGCTGTGGCTCGAGTGTAAACAGGTTTGCATGGACCCAAGTGCCGCGGTGCCGCGGTGCCGCGGTGCCGCGTGAGGCCGCACGGACAAACAGCTCGCGCAAGTGCGTGTGTCAGTGTGTCAGTGCGCGAGTGTGAGTGCGTAAGTGGGGGAATGCGTCGCGGGCCGCACGCAAAAACAAAGACGCTCGCCATGTTGTGGCGCCCGATGACTGAACGGCTCGGCGCCGCTAGGGGGCCGCGTGCCCCATCGCGAGGCCTGGCGGGGCGCGGGGCCCCCATCCCCAAGGGTAACGGCCGCGGGCCCACGCGCCGACGCCAAGCCCCGCCCCCGCCGCCCCCGCCCACACGCACCCCGTCTTCATCTTCGTCTTCCCTCGACCGGCGTGACGTGGATTCTATTTTCCCCCGCGACCTGAAGATGCCCCTGCAGCACAAGGCCCTTGTCCTTGAGCCGGTCTGACGTCCGTCCGAGTCCTCGACGCCGTGCCCCGCCCTGTCGCCGGCCTGGACCCGTCCTGTCCCCGTCGGCGGTTATTTTCTGCGTGTCCCTCCGCCAAGCTCGCAGCACGCCCGCCAAGGCCCTGCAGGTCCTGCCGAAGGAGCCCTGACCTATCTCATCAAGAAGCACGCCACGGCCCCCAACTGCCCCGACGCGCTGCCAAGACCCTAACGCGCCAGCGGCCCTCTGCCCTACTGGCCCTGCCCGCCCCGCCCTGCGTGGCGTGGGGCATCGCAGGGGGCGCTTTCATCGGGCACCTCATAGGATAGAGGCTTTCGCGAGCGCGGTGGCTGCGCCATTTTCACAGTGTATGTTTTCATGCCGCGGCCACCCTCGCAACCCGGCTGGTGCACTGGTGGACTGGTGGACGCCGAGCGCTGCGGGGGCTCTTTGTGGCGGCGGGGAATGGCATGGCAATTAGCCGGACTCTGTCTCTCTCGCACTCACGGGGCGGGCCTGCGCGCCGTGGGGCTGCGAGAGAGACAGAGCGACCTAGCCGCCCGAGTGCACTCCGCCGAACAGTGGCGGGTGCTGTGCGCTTTGACCGCGCCGCGACGCCGCCACGCGCCACGCCGCCAGGCCGACATTCGCCGCACCGAATTTATGGCGGCCACACGGCGGCCACGCCGCGGCCACGACGCCCTGCACGCTGAGTCCGAGAGTCGCTCTGTCTCTCTCGCACCTATACGGCGCGCCCATGAGTGCGGGAGAGACAGAGCGACAAGAACGACTCTCGGAATGAGTCGGCTGGTGCACGCCGCACGCCAGGCCGCGCCAAGCAGGCCGTGACCGCGGTATTATCGCGGTGCGTTTCGCTGTCACCACCACAAGGCGGCCAAAGGCGGCATCCGCGGATCACGTGCGGCGCGGCCAAGGAAAGGAAATTGCCGGACTCGGCCGCGCTCTTTGACGGCGAGCTCTTCCTTGGGCGTGGTACCTTAGCGCTGCATACTGCCCTGCGCTGCGCGCCCCGCCCCGCCCTGACCCTGGGAACCCTAGGGCCCGCGGGCCGCCCCCGCCCCGCCCCCGCACGCCGGCACCTTGGCTCGAGGCCGACGCAGGGCGAAGTGAAGCGAGAGAGAGAGAGAGACGGGCGGGGCGCCCCACCGAAATAGCGCCGCGACGCGAATCTGGCTTCGTGATATGCCCCCGTTCTGTTATTGCGCTGCGTCTTTGTCCTGGCGACGGGCGCCTCCACTGGGGCATGCCGTGCACTCCGGCTTTTCAAGTGGACAATCCGCACCTCGGCGAGTCCCCGTCGTCGTCGTCGTCGTCGTCGTCCTTGGCCCCGTCGCGAAGAGGAAAATGCGCGTCGAACCTCAATCTGCCATCTGCAGTGTGCACAGAGGTGCGCTGTGTCGACACCGTCGCGTCGCCCTTATCATTCGCGCTGGGGATTTTCCGATGACCGCGCCGCGGAGGGCTCTTCTCTCTCGGTCTTGCTCTCTCTCTCTCTATCTCCCTCACCGAGGCGCAGGCGTCCATAACTTAAGACGAGCCACTGAAAAAAAAAAAAATATACGAAAGAAATCCGAACAAATCCCGACGTTTAGTCGGAGCGTTATCGAGACGGTATCTGTCTTCCTTCCTTCGGTCATGTCGAATCCGGCCCAATACCCACAAGGAGTCCTGATAACACTAAAAAAAAACTTTTCTCTTCAAACTCATTTAATTTTTTCAGTTTTTACGACTTTGGTAAGAAGACCAGGTGTTGCTGGGCCGCTGGGAGCGGTGGCTCCGAGGGGGTATGCACTCGCGTAATAGTCGGTTCACTCTATCTGTAATAGCACGCGTAATAATACGCGTAATAGTCGCGTAATAGCCAAAATTGTCAAAATTTTATCAATTTTGGTGTGTTTTAGGCCGTTTTTATCTAAATTCCGATTAATTTGTGGCGTAATAGAGCGTAATAGCGTAATAGTCGGTACACAGGTTCAGAGAGCGCATACCCCCTCGGGTGGCTCTTCGGGGGCGTGTCCGGGGTGTTATCTTCGGCCTTGGGCGCGCCGTGCTCCGTGCTGGCCGTGCTGGTCGTTAGGGCGATAGCTTCCACTCCGCACCCCCTGGGTCCCCCTGGGTCCCCCTGGGTCCCCCTGGGTCCCCGCTGGGTCCCCCTGGGTCCCCCTGGGTCCCCCTGGGTCCCCGCTGGGTCCCCCTGGGTCCCCCTGGGTCCCCCTGGGTCCCCGCTGGGTCCCCCTGGGTCCCCCTGGGTCCCCCTGGGTCCCCGCTGGGTCCCCCTGGGTCCCCCTGGGTCCCCTGGGTCCCCGCTGGGTCCCCCTGGGTCCCCCTGGGTCCCCTGGGTCCCCGCTGGGTCCCCCTGGGTCCCCCTGGGTCCCCCTGGGTCCCCCTGGGTCCCCGCTGGGTCCCCCTGGGTCCCCCTGGGTCCCCCTGGGTCCCCGCTGGGTCCCCCTGGGTCCCCCTGGGTCCCCCTGGGTCCCCCTGGGTCCCCCTGGGTCCCCTGGGTCCCCCTGGGTCCCCGCTGGGTCCCCCTGGGTCCCCCTGGGTCCCCCTGGGTCCCCGCTGGGTCCCCCTGGGTCCCCCTGGGTCCCCCTGGGTCCCCGCTGGGTCCCCCTGGGCCCCCCTGGGTCTCTTGGGGGCGAGCGCGAGCAGTCGCCCCGCAGTCTCTCGGCCCGCAAGGCTGACGCAAGGCTGACAGGATTCTGGCCACTGCTTTGCTTATTCGCCTTTCTGCACGCGTTACTCATTCGCGTGGCTCGCGCGGCGCCAGCCAGTGTGTGTGTGTGTGTGTTTGTGTATGTGTGTGTGTCTGTTCTCCGCCCCGTCTATCTCATCAGCACGACGAAGACTGACGCCGGCCAACACCCGAGCCGAATAGTAGTCGCGCCGCGAGTCAAGTCGAAGCAAGTCGAAGCACCCCAAGGTCAAGTTGAACGCACCCAACCTATTTGCATCGGGCGCCATTGAGATGCTGCGAGTGCCGGCGTGCGGGACGTGCGGGCAAGCGGACAAACGGGCAAACGGACGGGCAGGCAGACAGACAGGCGGATGGCGGGAGGGAAGTCCACGGTGGGACGGTCTAGTTGCTCTCGGTCCTGGTGGCCTGGCGTGGCGTCTGGCTAGCGTCTGGGCTCACGGCGGCGTGGCCTGACGCCTGGTCGTTTCGGGATTCCGTTCCCGCGAGGAAAATGGTGGAAATGGCATGGCCGGGCAAAGGCCCCGATCGGCGTCAACGCGCCGCACCGCGTTGCCATGGCAACCGTGGGGCTAATTGCGCGTCGCAGGCGTTGCAGGCGTTGCAGGCAGGGGCTCATTGTCGCGCTGCAGAGCTGCAGTGCTGCAGCATGAGGCGCAAGAGGCCGCGAGAGTCACGCGCTGGAGCGGGCTGGCTCCGAGCTGCGTCTCTCTCGCACCCCTGCGAGACGCGCCTTGAGTGCGAGGACGACAGAGCGACCGAGACACTGTTCGGAATCAGCGCGCGGTAAGGGGAGGGGGAGGGGCGGGGTGCTCTGGAAGGCTCGGCGTGCAGCTCGCTCGACATGCCATCGATTCTGATTCCTAATTATTCCACTGTCGAGAGATTACGCGAGGTTCGGCGTCGTCTGCTGGCGTCGGCGTCGTCGCCGTGCGGCCCGGGGGCTTGGGGCTTCGTCGGGAAGTCGGCCGCGGTGCCCTGGCGGTGCCCTGGCGGTGCCTGCATGCACGGTAGCAGCCGGCCGACCGCACAAAGCCCGCGGGCCGTCGTGCCTGGCGTGGCCAAGTTGACCGAGTCGAGCGTGGCGGGGCGGGGCGTGGCGGGGAGGAAGACGACGCTCTTGTGGGACTCCCCGCTAAACCGCAGACTGCCGTGCGGCTCGCCGTGCGGTGGCTGTGCGGCGGTGCGGCGGTACGGGACCCAAGGCACCAGGGCGACGCGGCGACGCTGCCGCGCGTCAACTAGAGCGCCGTCCCGCCCGGCCTGCGGCGCCAGCGGCCAGGCGTGCGCTTCCACGACGCATACATTGCTCCGCGACTGCTGGAGCGGGCGGGACGCCACTGGGAAACTGGAGTCAGGACTGCGTGCGGAAACCGCCGCCGCCTTTCTCCTCTCTGTCCCTCTCGTTCAGTCCTCGCCAGTCCTAGCCAATCCCAGCCGGGTGTCGGTTTCGAACGCGCGGCGCCCCCGAATACCAAACGAGCCAGTCCGCGCGGCCCGCGGGTCGGCCCGGAATGGGCGGGAATGGCTGTGTTAAGGCGCCCGCGGGCCGCGCGCCACGCGCCACACGCCGACGTCCTGGCGGTCCTGGCCGACCGGGTCGTCCTCGGAGGGAAAGTACCAAGTAGGGGATTCGGGCCGCAGGCTGTTCGGCGGGGCGCGGGGCACACGGCCGTCATCGCCACCGCCGGCAGCCGGAGTGGCCGGGAGAGTACGGCGCCAAACTCTCCCCAACACATTCCGAGTCGCGGACACGCAAAACGACACCGCGCTGGGTGGGCCGGTCCGGGCCTTGGTCCGGGCCGGTCAATGGGGCTGGGCCAGCGACTCGCTATCGGCGTTCACCGCGTGATTACCTATGGCCGACCGTCGCCGTGCCATAACGCTTCCTCATCGGCAGCTATTTGAGTCCCGACTCGAAGCCGAAGCCCGGCACGGCCCGCCCACGGCACGGCGTGGCGCGGCGCGGCGCCATGCGCCCACTTAAGCCTCAACGAACGCGCACTTTATGGAGGCACGGCCGGCGCCCGTGCGGGGAAGGCGAGGAGACGAGGAGACCACCCACGACACCCTTCCTCTCGCCCTGCGCCTGCCGGACGGGTGAAAGATGATGAGCCACGCGTTTTCGTTTTCGTCGCGGTGGTTCAGCAGAGTGCCGTCCGAGGACGCGACGGCCCGCCTGGCTCGCGGCCCGCCGGTCGAAGACAGTCCAGCACCCCGCGGGGCGCGCCCCGCCCTGCCCTGCCACCCCGCCGGCCCGGCGCGCTGCACATGTCCAAGCACGGCTTCATCCCGAAGCCCCTTCGCCCAGCCCTCCGCTCTGGCTCGGCCTGGCCGAGCCGACACTGCGAAATGACTACGTTGCCTCTGACTCAAACGCGCACTGTCTTGTTGCAGATGATGAAGTCCGCGACCGCCCCCGCCGCCCCGGCCACCTACTCGCTGGCCGCGTCCCTGGCCCTGTCCTGCCGCCTCAGCCCCGAGCAGGAGGCCGTCCTGGAGGCGTCCTTCCAGCGCGCCAAGAACGTGGACCCCGTGGAGATGGAGCTCCTCGCCGCCGAGATGGGCGTCCCCGAGGGCGACGTGCAGGTGAGGTGTTTGTTCCGAGTGTACCACCGCCGAAAACGAAAACGAAACCGCGCCGGCGGTCATTCATCGTCGGGCCGCTGTTTGGCGTTCCTTCTGGTGCGCTGTAAACAAACGCCGAACGCCGCGACGCATTCTGGGGCGGGTCGTGCTTGGTCGTGCGTTGTACGTTCGACGCGCCGATAGGCGCGCGGCACGCGGCCAGCGCGATAACGCGTCGCCGTGTCGTCGTCGCGGTGGTGCAACCGGGGAGGCCGGGGACGGCGCCAGCGCGCCAGCCAGCGACACCGCGGCGCACGCCAAGCAGGCCCCGCGCATCCTGCCCGGCCGGCCCGGTGCTCAGCCCGGTGGGCCGAAACGGCCGCCCTCCCTTTTGGCTCGACGGCCACGGCCAGACACGGCGCGTGCGCGCGTGCGTCAGCAGGATGGAGGATGCAGGATGCAGGTAGACGGGCCGAGATAAAACCGCGAGTAAACACTCTCGCCGACGACGAGGACGCGGACGTTCGCTCCCCTCCGTGCCCGCGCCCCCCGTGCCTCCCGCTCACCGGAAGTTGAAGGAGCGCCTGCGAACTGGGCGATAGGCAGTCCCGCCGAACTCACGTGCGGCCGGGCTGCCTACCCGCCATTACCATTACCACTAAGGGCTGCGGCGCCCTGCCCTGCCGGCGGTGCTGCCACTTTCCTAACGTGTCGTCTTTTCTGTTGCAGACGTGGTTCACGGCGCGGTTGTCGCAGTGGAGGAAAGAACAGGGCCTTGGGGCGAACCTCGGCGGCCTGGTTTGAAGACCGACTCCATAATCCTACTATTTTTATGTTATCCTTTTATGATTGCTATTCAACCCCCTAACTGCGAGTACGCAAAAAATGTTTGCTGTTTTCTTGATTTAGAAACAAACTATCTGAACGGCTCTTGTACGATGGACATTGTAATTCAGTAATCCCTAAAGCCAATTCCAAAGCATTTATAGTCACGGGGTTGATTTGCATGAAATGTGTACCTGCGAAGAAGAAGTGTGAGTCAAGTAACTTTGATGAGGCCATTAAGAGACCATGTTCGGTGTGTTCGTCCTGCGAGTTGCGCGCAATCAGAAAAGGCGTGTACCATTCTGATTGGCCGAGTACTGGACAGTGCAATAAACATGTTATACTGGAAGGACTATTTATGTTCTTGTATGCATCCCCACTTCTTTCCTACACATAACGAGAAGAACAAAGATCAATGAAAAAGTCTTTGAAATATAATTGAAAAAGAGAGAGAGGGGGGAGGGGGGGAGGTAATATGGAAGACATGACCTTAGGGAAGGGGAAGTTCCGAAACCGTTAACACAGAATACGGGAATATCACAGCTTGCAATGAAAACCACTGCCAGCGTCGACAAACAAAACGCGCAGTCCACCTCCTTGACTTTCCGACTCGCTTTCCGTCCGAGCGCCTGCCAGATAGGCATCCCTTCGTGACCCAGCAACTGCCAATAGCCATTTTGAGTAGTTATTCGCAGTCAGCGTGAGCTGCCAGCAGTATTTCTCATACGCAGCACGTGAGCTGCCAGCAGTATTTCTCATACGCAGCACGAACATGGTTATTCGCAGCAACGCACGCCACTGTTCGCACAAAGACGAGTGTCTGTCTGCTTGTGGAGTTCCAACCTAACTTATCTCACGTCCAAACTAGTTTCTTTTTCAATTAGCTGGCGTTGGTTGTCCTCTGTGTGGCAGTGTTTGCTTCAAACACTTTATAAAGTTTTAGTTTTGCATTTTGTAATTTATTTTGATCATGGCGTTGTCCCTTTTACGTAAGAGCCCCCTTTTATTATTGCGCTACGCCCCACAGACTCGACTGGTTGCACCGGTAAGAATTCATTGAAACAATCGCTTTGTTTCAAATTGCACCACTTTTCGACTTAGCACAACCCTCAGTATCAGCGCTTGTTTGCATTTAACTTAATTTTTACTTTCATGTTTTCAGACACCAAGGTGTTTAACTCTGTCCAGGCTACTAAGTACTGAGCCTCCCAAAATAAGCGAACCCAATAAAACAGGAGAAAAACCCCTAGATTTACCCAAGAAGAAGCCTAGCATGGGACAGAATAAAACACCAATGACGTGGAAGACTCTTGGTGCTACTGTCATTGTGTTCAGTGTATTGTTGCAAGCCCTGTGGTACCTGAAAAAAGTCAGGAAAGAAGGTCTGCCATAGGTTTTAAATGTCCTTTTATCTATCAATCTCTGGTACTTTTAAATTTTCACTGTCTGTATAAAACTTTCTGTTTCAGAAACTGACAAGAAGAAAGTGATGAGTATAGGGAAAGCTGCCATTGGAGGTGGTTTCGAGTTAATAGATTCTGCAAGAAAGACTGTTAGTGATAAAGATTTTCTTGGGAAATGGATGCTCATCTATTTTGGTTTTACCCACTGCCCTGACATTTGCCCTGAGGAGCTTGAGAAGATGGCAGTTGTGATAGAAAATATTGGTAAAGCATTTTACATAATTTGATTTATAAAACTGGTTCCTAATAGATTTTCTTTTGAAGCCAAACAAATTGTCTTTTAATGTTGCAGACAAGGCTGAAAATGCTGACCCTATGCAACCCTTATTCATCAGTGTAGATCCAGAACGAGATACTCCAGAAATAATTGCCAAGTATACTGCTGACTTCTCTCCTAAACTTAAAGGACTGACTGGGACAGTTGACCAGGTTAAAGATATCTGCAAGAAATACCGTATTTACTACAGTGCTGGACCAAAGGAAGATGGCGATTACATTGTAAGTCGGGCTTTTTACCAACAATCTATATGTGTATGAAGCATAAAATTTGGACTTTACAAATATTATTTGATCTCTTTAAGGTTGATCATACTATCATCATGTACCTCATAAATCCAAGTGGCGAATTTACCCAGTATTATGGCCGCAACAAAACTGCTGCGGACATTACAAGGGACATTGTCGTTCAAATGGGACTCTACAATGGTAAACATAAGTAGCACTAGTATTATACAGTTCTAATTCCTAATTCAAAATAAGATATTTTTGTTGTTAGTTTGTAAAATGTGCTTAAATATTCTTGTTAAACAACTCTGGCATTTAGTACCTAAGAACTGTAGTTAGTGCAGTCTTAGTTTTAGGAAAACGTTAGTATAAGGTATGGTAGGTAATGAAAGACGTCATTTTCTCAATTGTCTTTATTCAATGGCATCATGGAAAATCCTTGCTTCATCTAGCACCTTTGTAGCTGTCGTGACTCTAGAAAAACAAATTTAAAAGGGAAAAAAACGGGAATAAATTAAAATTTGACGTTTTTTGTAAGACTTTTAGGTGTTGGTCTAGTTACATGTTTACCCACCTATTCATGCTGAAAATGTGTGCTCCTGGGCAACTTGAAAGTTTCATCAAATCCACAACTAAATTTAGGAAAAGGCACTTTCCATATTCTCTTTCTTTGTTTTCATCTTTTATCTGTTTCATTGCATCCAGAATTTCTTTTGAAACTAAAATGTTGCAGGTCCTGATTAATTTCTCAAACATCTTGTATGACTATATAGAAGTAACAATTATGTATAAACAAAACCAAATTGTGATAAGTTAATATATAAGCTTGTCTACATTTTTTTTACCTCTATTAAAAACAGTCCTGGAATGATAGGAATTCTTATCTCTCGATTGTCACACTCTTGTTTGAACAAATTAAATTCCTCCGCAGAACTCACCATTTGAGTCAGAATGAAATCTGCTCCAGCATCCACCTTGAGATAATCCAAAATTCTGCCATAAATTTTCTTAATTGATAGCACAAATATAGAAAGACTCACCTTTTCTTTCAAGTGGACAAAATTCATCTCTCGCGACTTTGAGTCAGGATGCCCAGAGGGATAGCCTGCGACACCAATTTTGAATTTGTCGCCAAAGTTCTTCCTTATGAAATGCACCAGATCCGACGCATGGGGAAAGTCTGCATCCGCATTCACTTTGTAATCTGCAAGGTGATCGCACCCACACGCTCAAAATTAAAATGGAAACGAACAAAGCGGTTACAAGGGGGGTCTGGGTCTCGCTCCGCACCTCCTCTGAGTGCCAGTATGTTGGTGACGCCCGCCACCAGGCAGGCCTGCAGCACGGCGTGGACGTGCTGCTTCGCCATGCGGCCCGCCGCGAGGTGCATCAGGGCGGGAATGCCGTGCTCGTCCTGCAGCCGCGCGCTCAGCGCCATGGCGGGGTGCTCGACCTGCTCGGGGCCGTCGGGGCCGCGCACCGCCAGGTGGTCCACGTGCCAGGTGACGGACGCGAAGGCGGGCCGATGCCGCGCCAAGTGCTGCAAGCTGCAACAAGGGCGACTCTGTAGCCACCGCCACCAACCCCGACAAGACCGACGCCGAGGGCGACGTGGGCGAACCGAACCTTTCGTCGAGAAGGGACCGCAGAAGCGGGGTCGTCCCCGGGATGAGCTCCACCGACCAGAAGAACGTCTCGGACTTGATGTTGTCGGCGATGAGGTCCGGGATGCCGCGGCGAGCGGCCTCCAGCGCGGCTGCAGTCGGCGTGGTAGGTCGCGGACCGCCGCGAGGGGCCTCGGCGGCGTCCTGGACCTCGGCGGCGTCCTGGGCCTCGACGGCGTCCTGGTCCAGGCACAGCTCGCGCATGGTCCGACTGCGCTGACCTAGTCGTGGCTGCTGCGGCCGCGGGGCGGCTCGGTGGGGTCCGGACTCGGATTAGCACGAGGGCCACTACCTGCACAGGTGTCCGCTACGCCGCTACCTGACGCGCAGGTGAGAGCACGGCCACCCCGACGGCCGATCAGCGGACGCGTTCTGGGGTTTCCCAGGACGGCAGACGCTGGGCGCAGCCGCCGTAGGACGCAGCCGCGGATGCAGACAACCCAACCTACACCAGCGTCCGAGCGCGAGAGGCGCCAGAGGCCGGCGTTGAACCCGTTCGGCGCCCCGCAGCCCGCAGCCTCCGCGGCAAGACTCGAGGCGCAGTGGCGGATGGACATGGCGTGGGTCTTCCTGGTCCTTATCACGACGCGGCGCAGCGACTCGATCGGACTCGATGCTCAAAGAGGCGAAACGCGATACCGGACTTTCATCGGTCATCGCGGCGCCCCGCGGGGAGGAGGTCTAGGGTGCACTTCGGCGGAGAGGCAGGCGAGCATTGGCCTGCATCCGACCCGACCTCGTCGACGTGTTCGCACCCCCGTCGGCCGTCACGCCCCGCCACGCTCGTGCTTGCATCGGCACACCTGCCGACCTGGTAGCTAGCTGAGAGTGAGACGACCACGCTTTGGTGACGCTTGGCGCTGTGATCTCGGCTCGCCGTGCCGAGCGAGCACCGAGCAAATGTTTTGCCGACGGCCTCCAGACCCTGAGACGGGCGCTGATGCAGACGCCCTCCCTGCGCCCCGCGCGTGCTCGTGTGACACACGCACTCATACACGCACACACGCACCCACACGATCGCCGGCCAACGTGACCGCCGGCGTTATCAGCCGCTTGTCACGTGGCCGATGGCGGCAAGGGCGGCAAGTTCCGGACTCGCGGCGTGGCGGCGTCCCCCAGTCAGTCTCGCTATTTCGAGCGGTGCCGGCGCCGCCCTGAGGGTCCGCCAGGCTGCAGCACGCCGCACGCAGCCTCCAGCGCGACGCACTCGGGCGCCATCCGCGTCGACGCCAACACGGGCTACGGGCTCCACCGCGGCAGCCGCGGGCCGCTGGACCACCCCGCGGCGAGGCTCGGCGGGGTGCGCCACGCTGCGCGTGCGCTTGGCGGCCGGAGACAGCGCGGAGCCGAATCGAGCGGCGGGGGGTGGAGGGGCTCGCTGCCTTCGCTGCCTTCGGCCTGGGCTCGGCCTGGGCCTGGCCTGGCTTGGCCGCGCGGAGCACGGAGGCGGTGCGGAGCGCGGCAAGGCGCGGCTAGGCGGGGAGAGAGCCCGCGAGCGTAGAGCGCAGGCGGCACTGGCACGGCACCACTCAGTCGGTGGTTGTTCGCGGTCCGGAGCGCTGAGCGCGGTGCCCAGGACGAGACGAGACTAGACGACGACCAGCCGGGCCGGCTCGCCGAGCCGACATCCACGACCGCGTGGTCCACCAGGGCAAACAAGGACCAGGGCGGCGCCCTCTAGGACCCAGCTCCCGCCTGGAGTAGCCTTCCAGGAGCCACCAGGGTGAGTACTTCCTGCCGCCCGGCGGGACGAGGGGCGCGGGGCAGGGGTTGACGAACTCGGTCCCCTCGGCGTGGCGTGGGACCTGCACTGGTGGCAGTGGCAGGAAGGGCGCTAAAATTTCGTTGCAGTGGCGTGGCCACGTGGTGCACTGCGGCATGGGCCGCAGGGTGTGCTTGCCTCGGCTCGCCGTCAGTAGAGTACACCCCTCCGAGCCCCGCGGGCGTGGCCACGCGCCCAGCGCGGTTCAACGAGGGGCTCGCTGAGGCCGGCAGGCTGGACCGCCATAAAGACTGTACCAGGGCCGCCGAAGTGTCATGGCCCAAAGGGTAAAGTTATCCGTCCGGCAACGACTACAAGGCGCGGGTGGGCGTTGACCCCACCGTGCGTTCCAGTGGTGTAGCGGCCTCCCCCGGCCTCCCCCGCCTCCCCGCCAATCTCCGATGGTCGCCCCGCCCCGCCCCACCACGCCACCCGCGCGGTTTCGGACGCTCAGCTGCACCACCCTCCAGCTGCTTCACCCTACCCCAGCCCTCCGTGCGCATCAGCCCTTCGACGCGCCGCGACAGCCAGGCCCGCAGCACAGCGACAGCTTAACCAAACTGCCGAAAAGGCCCCCCAAATTAAAATAAAATGTCACGTCAGCGAATTTTGAGGCTCGCGTTGGAGCCCATTCGTCGGCGTGGTTGCTTCCAAGGCCTGCCAGGCAGGGACGAGGCCGCGCGGCGGGGTGGCGCAATGCTCCGGTTCCGCTGTGCTCCGGGGGTGTGGGGACGACTTCACGTAATGGAATGGCAGCGAGGACCCCTTCACGGCCTGCTCGCCGCTCGCTCTCTGAATGCCGCCGTGCCGCCTTGGAGCCGCGCACCCCCACCTCCTCTCGCCATCCTGCGGCCGCCTTGAGGGTCCCCTTTGGCTTTGGCGGGCGTGGTGGAGCGGAGAGGGTGACCCGGTCCCGCGCGTCCGGTTCTTGCTCTTGGCGCGCTCGCCGCTGCGAGTTGGCGAGTTAGCGCGCCTGGCAGGTAGGCAGCAGCGCGGCAGCGGTGCGCCGCAGAGCGGCGATTGCCTACCTGCCGGGTGCTCCACTCCGGCCAGCACGGATTTCCCCTGGAAGCACCGCGCCTGTCTGCATCGCGTTGCCACACAAGCAAGGCGACCCGTTGGCCCAATGCAGTGCTCGGGGCACCGAGCGCCCCCCCCCCTCCCCCGCTGCAATGCTCATCAGGAAGATAAGCGACCACAAAAAGAAACTATCGCGACGGGGGAACGAAAATTGCATTGTTTGCAACGGAACGTCCGTCCGCCTGTCTGCCCTCCGCCTCGCGCGGCCGTAATTCATACATGAGTGGCGAATGCCTTATCACTTCCCTCTGCTCCACAGAAAGTAAAATCCGAGTCTGCGTGGTGGTGAGTCCGAGGGGAAATGGGCTGCAAGTGTTTAGGACCACACCCACGCCGTACACACACATCCTTGCCTGCCATTATTGCTGATTTGTCTTGATTTACTCGGTTTTGCAGGGCACAGCCGCCGCCGCCGCCATGTCGCTCAAGTCGCGGGGCTCGGCGGGCTCGGGGGGCATGGACGTGGTGCCGCTGCGGGACGAGGGCAAGGACGGCAAGGGCGACGACGACGCCAAGCCCGCCGACGACGCCATCTGCCTCAAGGCCAAGATGTCCCTGCTGAACGGCATCACCGTCATCGTGGGCTCCATCATCGGCTCGGGCATCTTCGTGTCGCCCACGGGGGTGCTGCGCGAGACGGGCTCCGTCAACCTGGCCCTCATCGTGTGGACCGTGTCCGGCATCTTCTCCATGGTCAGTGGCGCCCCGGTCCGCCCTGGTTGGGGGGAGGGGTGGCGGCGGCCAGGCAATAACAGTGACCCTTGGTGCCGCAGGTGGGCGCCTACTGCTACGCCGAGCTGGGCTGCATGATCTCCAAGTCGGGCGCGGACTACGCCTACATCATGGAGACGTTCGGGCCCTTCCTGGCCTTCATCAGGCTGTGGATCGAGTGCATGATCGTGCGCCCGTGCTCGCAGGCCATCGTGGCGCTCACCTTCTCCGTGTACGTGCTCAAGCCCTTCTACCCCGACTGCCAGCCCCCGGACGAGTCGGTGCGCCTGCTGGCCGTCTGCTGCATCAGTGAGTAGTGTTGTGAACCATCCAACTCCCCCGGCCGCGGCCGCCGTCCACGCCCCACGTCCCTGGACAGAACGTGTTGCACCGCCTGCGGTGGCTGCCCTGGCTGTGGACTTCTTGTACAGCACCCGCAGCACCCTGCCTCAAAGAACAGGGGCAGGATGAGGAGGATGAGGGGGTGCAGGAAGTGGCGAAGAGCGGAGCGCCTCCAGCCAACCAGGAAGGGCCCCGGCCGCCATGGCCAGCCCCGGCAGCCGCGAGGGAGGGGGAGGGGAAGCGCCGCTCTAGGCTCTAGGGTTGCCATGGCGTTGGCGGAGTTCAACGTCGCCCGCAGAAAAATGGAACCAGGGCAGAGATGGGAAAGCCCGCGCCTGACCCCCGAAAGGTTCTCCTTCATTTTCCCATTTTCCTTCCGATTCGGTTCGCTGGCCGGGCGGGGCGTCCCACAGTGTACGGACGGGGAAAGGATGAGTCCGACGGGACCGGCTGCGTGTTGACGCGTTGACGCGCGTCTCCCCTTGTTTATCAGTGCCGCCACCGCCGCCACCGCCGCCACCGCGACGTCACCCGTCCGTCCCACAAAACGAAAACATTGGAATAATCTCAGCCGGCTCTTTCTTTTTTCGTTTTTAAATAAAAAATTATCTGGCGGCAAGTGCAGTGAAAGCGCCTCGCCTGCCCAGCGCCGCGGCCTCTGCGTTCCGTTTGTCGTTCGGCCTTTTGGGGCTCGTGTGTTCTCCTGCACATCCGGCTGGTCCAGCAGACTCATTCCGAGAGTCGTTTTCGTCGCTCTGTCTCTCTCGCACCCATACGGGACGCCCCATGAGTGCGAGAGGGACAAGTGATCGACGGCCGGGTGATAAGTGGGCGTCTGTTTCGCGCGGGAGAGGAGAGGAGACTCTTGACGGGCAGGCCGGGGAATGCCCCCTGGCGCCCCCTGGCTACGTGACCTCTCCCACGAAATCACCAACATGCGGTATCGCAGTTATTCTTCCGCGTTTGATGGAGGAGAAGCAGGAAGAGAAGCACGGCGAAAGGGAAGGAAAAGAAAGCAAAAACCTAATCAGTCTGATGCGTGTGAAAAATCCCCAAAATTCGGGGAAGGCGAGTGTACGCTGCGAACGTCCGTCCGCAAGTGCTGTTCTGTGCGACAGATTGCCACCGGTTTACCCGCCCTGTCATCACCAGCCCGCCCCGCCCCGCCCCGCCCAGTCAGCGCATTGAGCCGTCGCCCCTTCCCCTCGCCGCGTGGGGGCGTACATACATTACGGCAAGGTAATTCAGGCGCTCTTTGCAGCCCATGAAAAAACAACAACAAGGCAGTTAGAAACCGCCCCACCGCGACGAGCGTTTCAGCGATCCCGCTACGGATTTCACCCCCCAAGTTCACCGCCCTTCCCCGATGGCCCGGCGGCAGGCTGATTCCGAAGAGAAGTCCCGTCGCTGTGTGTCTGTCGCACTGATGGGGCGGGTGCGAGGAAGACAGAGCGACGAACCAATGCTCGGAATCGCTCGGCAGATCCACCCGGTGCCGCCGCCCCCGCCGCCCCCGCGATCCTCCACAATCCCCCTGCGCCGGTCACGTGCTCCTTGAAAATCAATGAGTGGGGGAGGCGAGGGGTGGGGATCGCGGGAGGGGTGGGGGTGCGCTCGGAAGCTGGGGGTAGGGGCGGCAGGTCCATGCGGCGTGGCCGGGATGGAAGAGGGCAGAGGGAAGAGGGATGGTTCTCTCCGTAATCCATCTCTCTTTGCCCTTCCCCTTGCCCGCGGTGCTTGTTCTTCTAGAGCAGTCGGCACGCGCGTTGCGTAAAGCCACAACGAAACCGCTCTGCGCTCCTGAAAGATGGAACAGCCGCAGTCGATGGCGATGAGGGTTCCAATCCGTTCCACGCGCGGGGCACGCCGTCGAAGTTCGATTCGCCGTTTGGCCGCAGCCTGTCTTTCCGAGTGAATAATGAAATGAGCGCTGGTCCGCTCCCACGACTCTCGACCTCGGCGGCGTCGATGACGCGCCTCTGCTACACAGTAATTAATTTACCGCCCCGTCGTCACGGGGCTCTGGGGCTGCTCCCGGCGCCCCCTGTGCGCCGCCCTCCTCGCGCTGGCGAGGCGCTAGCAAGGCGATGACCGCACTGCCTCGACTGCGCCGGGTGGCTTGCCGGGTGGCTTGCCGGGTGGCTTGCCGGGTGGCGCCCGCTGGTCGCTGGACCGGCCGCAGATGATAAGACCGAGACCCCTGCCGGGCCGCCGGCCAGCAAGTGGGTGGTGGAAGGTGGCCGTCTTAGGCCCAGAGACATATCTAGGTCGGATCGGGGACTCAAGGAAGGCCAAAGGGTGCAGTCGATCCCCCGAGGGCCCTCGCCTTGGCCCTCGCCGTCAGACTGTCCCACGCACACGCACGACGCCCGAGCCGTGGAGAACGCCACGCTACGCCGCCACCGCGCCGCGCTCCGAGTCTGAATGGTCGCGGTAGCTTTACTTTTGCGGCTCAGCCGGACCCAGGCCGAGAACGGCACGTACGTGCTCGCAAGGACACGAGTAATGACACTGCATGTTGCTCAATGCTCGCAGCGCGTCGCGGAGCTCGCACTTCCACGTCCAGGCTGCTGCGGACCCCGACGCCAGGCGACGCCCAGGCCGACGCTGCCGGGCGCCTGGCGCGGCGGTGGGGGCGGGGCGCGGGGGCGGCCCGGACTCATGATGAGGCGGAGTGACATAGCGATCTCCGGAGAAATGCGGGGAAGTGCCCGACTGACGCCGGCCTCCCGTCGGCCTCGAGACTGCCTTGACCCGCTTGCCGTCCTTCGCCTGGAATGGCGTCGGACGCGTCTGATTTCACGACGCCGTTCGCCGTCGCCTCGTCGCCAGGCGTCGTCCTGGAGGCACCGGGCTCGGCGCGGTGGATCACTTTGCCCCGGGCACGCTGGCGCGCCGATTGAACGTTACGAGCTGCCTCCAAATCCTCTACCCCGCCGTCGTCCCGTCCCGTTCCCCTGCCGCTGCTGCAGGCCGTAGCTTCCAGAGCCCGGCGCAAAGCGAATTCGCAAGGACAACTAAATGGACGAATGGCTGCACCAACGCGCCGAGCGTCCCAGCGTCCCACAGCGTCCACTTCCGGCCTGCCGGCTGTGGCGCACCTGCCATGCTTTGGCCATGCCGACGGTCGCCTGGTTCGGCCTCCACACGCGCGGTGGCCGGGGCTTAATGCAGGACCCTTGTCGCCGCCCACGTACCCTCTCACCCTCTCCCTCTCGCCCACCCCACCCAGCGCTGCCCTCGGACCGCTCGCCCTGCCCGCGCGGCGAGGCCTTGCCTCACTTGAACGCCCAAGACTTTTCAGAATCCGCACCGATAAATTGTCACGTGTTCGATGTATGGCGCTGGTTGGTGCCTGGTGCTGCACACAGAAGGCCATCGTGACCCCATCTCGGGAGTGTTCTGCGCTCCGCCAAGTCCCTCTTGCACTAGCTCATTGTGCTCACCGTGGCTGGGCCACCGCGCCGCGCCGGGCACATCGCTCAGCGGCCTGCGGGTGACAGGCTCGACGCCGCCGTCTTCGCCGTGTCTCCAAATTCAATTAAAATGGGACGCCGCCCGCCGGTCGCTCGCCTTCGTCCCTCTGTCTCTCTCGCACCCATGAGGCGTTGCACGCGTTGCACGCGTTGCAGAGAGGTGCGTGGGAGAAGGAGCGCTTTGCGGAAACCGGCGGCTCAGGTCGGCGGATTGGTTCCCGGAGGTCCACGGAGTGCGGATACTAGTGTAAGCGGCGCGTGCTGCCGCCGATGCAGCCCGCTGCAGATAGAGGCGGCAGATACGTGCGGTGTCGCGGAGTGGCGCCGTGCAGCGCCGTGCCCACGAGGACATCGTGATGCCCGTCCGACGCGTCCGACGCCCTCCTGTGTCGCTAGTTGCTAGTCGCCGCGGCATTGGCGACATGCTTGCGTGGCGACGGCGGCGAGCTGCTCCACGCCGCGCTGCGTACACGGCGGACACGGCGGACAACGGCACAGGCCGCCCGGTCACTCACTCTCCATCCCATTTTCCACACGCGCGGCGGCCTTAGGGCATCGATCCTGGTCCAGTGGCCCAGGATCGCGTCAGCCAGCGGAGAGGCCCTCGTCAACGCCCCGCCCTGGGTGCCCCCCGCGACCACGCCCCCTCTCGCCCCTTTCCAGCGCCACTACGCGCCGCCACCGCGCACGCGCTGGAGCTGGAGCAAGCTGGGCTGGAGCAAGCTGGAGCGCACGCAGCGGCGGTCGCTACGTACTCGGTGCCGCCGTGTCCAAGGACACCGTGACCGAGCAGTGCTTCCATTGCTTGGCGTGGCGCGGCGTGGCGAGAGCAGGCAGGAGTTCCGCCGACGGAAAGGACCACTTACCGTAACCAGGAGCGTATTCCACGAAGTCGGCGGCCTCAGCGGCCCCCGCCTCTCCCCGCGGGAAGAAGACCCCCGCCCCCGCTCCAGTTCGAATACGCGTTCGTTCTGCCCGCGACGCCGACGCCGGTGCCTTTGTCACATTTCCCCGGGGAGATCCCTGAGGGACGGGTTCTTATAACGAGATTTTTATTTTGTCTCTGTACCGGCTCCCAGCGGCAACAGGTGTGACCGTAACGGACAGAGCTATTGCCAGGCTGATTCCGAACATTGCTTTCGTCGCTCTGTCTCTCTCGCACTCATGCGGCGGCCGGTGAGGGCGCGAGAGAGACACAGCGTACTAGCGGCGCGTCGATCGCCTCCAAGAAGGCCAACAATTATCCAGTTCTGGTGAATGGGCTGGTGCCGCGCTGCCGCCGTCCACAGTGATGTGCGTCATGTGCGTGGCCGCGCCGCGCCTCGCGTCGCCACGACATGACGACACACCGCGCGCCGATTGCAGCCTTGCAGCTCGACAAGACGCCCCTCGCGGACCAGCGGCATCGACAGCGTCGGCAGCATGGGCCAGCACTAAGTCCGGGCTGATTGGCGGCGCCCTCCCCGGAGCCTGCCGCCCCGCCCCGCCCCGCCCTCCGTCGAGAGGTTTCCCGCCCCGAGCAAATTAGGCCCCGGAGTCCTGGGGGTCAGGCCCCGGAGACAAAGGCCGTCTTCTTAAAGTCGACTTCGGCCGGGCAAATTGATGACGGGAGCGTCGTCGTCGCCGGGCACCACTGACTGAGCCCCCGTCTTCTTTTCGTTTCCTCTCGGGGAAAACCAACTTTTGGGGGCGGCGTGCGCGCGGCCCGCTGTCCCACTTCCATCGGCGTCGCGCTTCTATTTTCGGCATGCCCTCTTGCGGGTGATAAGCGCGGTGGTTTTGTTTTGCAGTGGTGCTGACCTTCATCAACTGCTGGGACGTGGGCTGGGCCACCAAGGTGCAGGACACCTTCACCTACGCCAAGCTGGTGGCGCTCTTCATCATCATCATCACCGGGGTGTACCAGCTCACGCAGGGTACGTGTGAAAGACTGAAAGAAGGCCGACCGCGGCAAAACAAAGCGCAGTGTGTTTAAATTGATGGTTTCCATTTCAGGACACACGGAGCACTTCAACTTCGAGGGCAGCAAGCATGAGGTGACCAACATCGCGCTCTCGTTCTACTCGGGGCTGTTCGCGTACAACGGCTGGTACGTCTCTGCCCCCGCCAACCCGTCGTCATGCTGCCCGTCGTGACGCAGCCCCGATCCCTCAACACCGTGCGCTTTTATACCCCCAGGAACTACCTCAACTTCATCATCGAGGAGCTCAAGGACCCCGTCAAGAACCTGCCGCGCGCCATCGGCATCTCCTGCCTGCTGGTGACCGTCGTGTACGTCCTGGCCAACGCCGCCTTCTACACCACCCTGTCGCCGAGCGAGGTGCTCGGGTCGGAGGCCGTGGCCGTGGTGAGTGCGCCCCCGCCCCCGCCTCTGCCGCTACGCGTGCCGTGCCCGTCCATCTAACCCACTGTGCCGTTTCGCTTCCCCCTCGCCTCTCCGCAGACGTTCGCCAACCGGCTGTACGGCAGCATGGCCTGGATCATCCCCGTGTTCGTGGCCATGTCCACGTTCGGCGCCGTCAACGGCATCCTCCTCACGTCGTCCAGGCTGTTCTACGCGGGGGCGTGCGAGGGCCAGATGCCTGAAATCCTCACCATGATCCAGATCCAGCGGCTGACGCCCACGCCCGCCGTGCTGACCATCGTGAGTGTGGAGGAGGGACGACGACGTGGGGGCAACGCGTGACCTCGGCCGTCAGTCACGCCTGCACATCAATTTGCAAATAACGCCACTCGAAAAAAAGTCATCGTAACATTTTCAACAATGTTGCAGGCGCTGCTCTCCCTGCTCTACCTCACCGTGTCGGACATCTTTGCCCTGATCAACTACGTCGGCTTCGCTACATGGGTAAGCTCTCGCTCGCCACCACGCCGGTTCGGAGCGTCCCTCCCCCTCGCGTGGCCTTCTCTCGGTTCGTAACGAGTCGCTTCTCAAATCGGCAGCTGAGCATCGGGGTGGCCGTCCTCTGCCTGCCCTGGCTGCGCTGGAAGCAGCCCGACCTGGCGCGCCCCATCAAGGTCAACCTCTTCTTCCCCATCGCCTACATCCTCTGCTCCATCTTCGTCACGGTGGTCCCCATGTTCGCCAGCCCCTACGAGACGCGTAAGTTTGTGTTCCACGCCGGTTTTGAAGTAGTCACGACCTGGTGGACTCACATTTGTAACTCGTTTCCTCGTCCGTGGCAGTGTACGGGACCCTGATGATCCTCTCCAGCGTACCCGTGTACTTCGTCTTCATCAGCTGGAAGAACAAGCCAAAGGCGTTCCAGCGCGCCGTGGGTGAGTCGCATGGTCGAGGATTCGGTAGAAATTAGCACACTTAGTTAGTCTGATATTTAGTTTAGCGCTTCCTCATCCTGCAGAGGCGGCGTTTAGTGTAGAGTAGACTTTGATAGTTTGTTGGCCTTATCCTTAGATGCTTTTTGCTTATTTGTTTTCCCTGTAGCGCGCGCGACGAGAGTTCTTCAGAAACTCATCATGGTCGTGCGGCCCGCAAATAAAGTAAGCATTTTGTAGCATTTATTTTATTCTTTTATTTTAAAATATTTTTAAAATAGATTTGCTGGTGCAAATGTCGGAAACTTTCGTTGGCTTTTGTTGCACGTAAGGTAATTAGTGTAAGTCGTTGAGTCCGTGAGAGCGATCGTCGCTAGGTGGCGCCTTGGCGCGACCCGACCCAGCAAGAGGAGGGGAAGTCCCAAGCAGGCAGGCCAGGCCTAGCAGGTCCAATCTCTAACAACTTCCCTTTTGTCTGCTTTGCAGTAGAGGCAACGAGGTGCCTGCAGAAGCTGATGCTGGTCGTCGGAAAACAGAACCCGTCGAAAGTGTAAGTGAGATGATATCATCGTGTTTGATAAAACTGCGCTGATTTCTGACAAAAGTGCAGATTTGCGACATGCCCCTCTTTTGAGAGCGATCATCGAGAGACGATAAGTTGTTACACACATAATCATATTTACTGTATATATTTGCCTCATAATCAGTGAGCATTCCATTTCATTTTTTTTTTTGTGTGTGTGAAGAGATTTTAGAACTCAATTCGCTTTTCTAATCTCGGCGTCAAAAATCCTACGTCTTCCATGCTAGCCATGTCCACGGAGGGTATCTCTCCGTCACTGCTGCAGACGTATCGGTTGCATGTTCTGTGATTTTATTTTATCTTTCGTACAATAAGTTTTGAGCCACCTGAAAAGTGATTGTGTTTATTTTCGTTGCATTTATTGATGTATGCATTTAATGTTTTATATGTGTCATCTGTGTTATATTGTTGAACATTTTTTAGTTTTGAAAACTATACTAGCAATTTCATCAATTGTTTGATCTCGTTCTTGTCTGCTAGGCTGTTAGTGTTTAAGAGAATCAGTCCGTCATATAAACAAGCCTAAAAGTATATTTGGGGCATCATAGTAAGTTTGAACAATTCTTGGCAAATCATATGTTGGCCAGAAAGACTTAAGTAATAATTGTATTGAATATGAATTAATTGTTGTTCAGTTGATGCACATCACCCAACTTTTGTTGAGTGGGTATTTGTTTTAGAGCGAGACTTTGCAAAACTGGCTAAGTTTTCAGATACAATATTATAATTATACTTAAAACACCTTTGGTTTCTCAGCCAATTTTTTGAGGCAGTAAGTATGCCGAAGTCTCTGTTGTAAATGACTCTCAGCCCCTCCGCTATTCGGAGAGGGACTGACTGCTTGTGCCAATTGTTATTTTGCTGTTAACAATGTAAGTTTTTTTTGAACAATCATGCTAAAGTAAGGAAGTCTGACAAAAATGCGATCAATCTAGCATCATACGAAAGCAAGAATGTACTTCCTTTCAGGGAGACTGAATTCAGTCAACATACACTAATTCCGATGAGTGGTGGTTCTGTTTTAGCATAAACCCTCTAATATATCCTGCTACGTATGGACTGTACATAAAACAATAATATCTATACTATATAACGCTATGTGAGAAAATAATGACAATATCTGTAACTTAAGGAACAAAAATGTAGAAGAACATATAAATTTTAAAAAATAATATTTTATTGAATGCATTGATGCAATATACTTTGAACCTGTATTTCAGAGAGGAAATATTGTAGACTTGGCAAGAAAGCCTATGTACATGAAGGTTGACTGTCATTGTTTGAACTGCTTCATTGGCCTTGGGCTTTTATTTTTTGTCGTCTTTTCAAGTTTTTGTTTTACTGTCCTGTACATAGTTTCAGAACATTGATCAACTGGCATGAGTATTATTCATTTCATTTTTGGTTTAGCTCATCTCCTACATTTTTCTGAGCTCTATTGAATTCAGTTGTTTGTTTTGTTGAGGATAATAAAACAAAAGTTCTTATTATAGATTTTTTTTATTTTTCCTTTACATAGTAGTTTCCTTACTTTACACACTTTAAAACAACCATTACAACATTAAATATGACAAATGATACAAGAACAACAAGATACTGGGATTTAATTATCTTTTTTACCTGTATCTGCCAAAGGCAAAAGAAAATGGCTACAAAAGTTAGGTTTTACAAAACTGACCATATCATAGTTCATCTTATTCCAAGATTCTCAAATCCACTTTGCAACAACATAGCACCAATTACAGATTTTAGTTGTCTCAAAACATTATCAAAGTAAAAGAACCATAAAAAACAACAGTGTAATATTGTTTTAGAAAGCAGTCAAAACCAAACAGACAAAAACATGTCTTCTTTTTTTAAGTTGCAAGTAGAGGATTGAAAGTTTTAGGTGCTTATAAAATAATCAGGGCAGAAACAAACCTTGACTGAGATAAACTCATGGCTCAGAAACCTCATTAAAATGGGAACAAAGCCTCAGTTATCAACACTGATATGCATGAACCTGATGAAAGATGATTTGATTAGTGAAGAAGTTTGGCTAATTCACACATTTCATAGAAACTGAGGTGGTATGCACACTTGCTAACAAGAAAGTCATCAGACACAACTATGGACATCTAAACACACTTCTATTTAGAGTGAGCACAAGAGAGAAAGTGAAACTCCACCTATCTACACTGAAGAAATACATAGACAGACATTGAATAATTTGCAAGGTACTGTGCATACTCAACCTGCTTATCTCACAAAAGCACAAATACCTAATGATATCAATTTGGCCATAAAATTTGAACCACAGCAATTATACTTTACATTGGTAAATGAAGAAATCAGTCTCCTTGATTTACTTTCTGAGGACAGAGAATAGTTTGATACAAGTTGACTAGAAGGATCAAATCCAGAGGTATATAAATGAAACACACTATCTGCACACATAGGAGGCTGTGCCAAGCAACCAGCAAGCAGAGGTAAGGCAGAAATATTTCTCTATTTTGCTTCACCTTGCAAACCAATGTACTAGTCTTTAGTTCTCAACATTTCCATCTACTTTGTTGTCATGAATGTAAAATTGGCCAAAATATCAGTCTTGATGAGTAATGTCTCAAAATTTCAGGAGAAGAAATTATCTTTCTTCACTTTGGATTTGCCATAGAGTATGAATATTTTTTTGACAATCAACAGATTTTTTCACACACTATGAGCAATGCTTACATAAAATTATGCCCAGTCATCTGATTGAAGGTTACTCAGTTAGGAAAGGCCATCTTGGAAAGGCCGAAAATTTTATGAATCACCAGATTTAGGAACAAAGAATATTTTAGCCAGACCCATCAACTAGCTACACGAGAACTCCCGTAATGAGTAGCAAATCTCACCCTCAGTATTTCTAACACCTTAACTGACAATTAAGAAATTGTTTCACAAAAAAAACGGCCTACCATCGCCACAAACCATTTAAAATGTTAAAATGAAGTAGCTATGTCACAATCTAGATGGGAACCTCAGACAAACTATGCAAGATACAGTTACACTCCAATGTCACAGAAGCAGGAAAATCAGATTTCCATGGTACACACTTACATAATTGAAACACATTAGAAAATGGAATCCCCTCGCCACCTTTTTGGTATCCAGTCATGCAAACATAGAATTGAAAGAGACGAAACGTGTATAGTTAAACAAAAACAACATTTGGTCCAAAACCTTATGAAGGACAAGATGAACATACAAGCTATTAAGTGTTACGACATAATTGCAATATCATGTTGTGAACATAAAAACTGAAAAAGGTTTACTATGTACAGATTTCTGAATTAATCGGGATGACAGCTCTCTTAGAAAACACTTCAATCGAACCCAATCCAATCTAACTGTAACAACATACATAAGGTTTCAGAAGAGGATACATCACCTCACTTTAGAGAACAATCACAGGGTGTTTTTAAAAGCAAAGAGAAATAAAACAAAATAATAACCCTAGGTAAAATTTACTAACACAGTAAAAGGCAGAAACTGACCTTTTCTCATGAAGTTAATGGATTGGATAGCTCACAGAAGCCAGAGAAATTCAACAGCACACCAGACAAGCCTCATGGTAACTCACTAATTATTAGCTAGAGATTCACTCGTTTATGTTGATCTGCACTTGAAGAAAAACTCTTCAAACTCAAATTTTTTTTCGCTATTTTTCTTTCTGTTTATGGGAACATGAAGGTGATAAAGGAGGCTTTCACTGGAAAATGGACTAATTATCTATTGTAAATTGGCAAACCAGGACATGTAAACAACAAATTTCTACATTAATTTAATTTCTTTATTGGAAATATCCACAAAGAGTACTGGTGGATTGGCCTAGCATAAAAAAACATATGCTACATATAAATCCAGAACTTTTGACCACAAATTAAAACAACAATATGTGTCTTCACTAAATAATCAGATCTTTTGCATCAATTATGATTATTTGGTGAAGTATGATAAAACTTTTGATTCAAGATACAAAACAAAGACAAAGAGTCTTTCATCATATAAATAAGGGGAAAAATTATAAACATGTATAAGCCTGCAGATATCAAAGCTGGCATTTAATACATAACTCAATAAGTAAATCTATCTGGAGACTCATTTGGTTTCAGCAGCAAATGTAAACCTCTCAAAAGAAAATTAGTTTGTTCATGAAATTGGAACAAGAATCATTAAAATAAAATATGAATAGATCACAGTAATCGACTTGCCAAAACAGTCAAATTACACTGACCAAACACTTTGTATCTAATCTAACTCAATAAAATTAAAGGATTGGCTTTAATGGAGAGAATGATTAAGCCCTCTCCTTTGTAAGATAAAATGCATTAAAAACAGTGAATAAATAAATAGAAAATAAATAGCAACACAAGGGAAGAGTGTTCCCTCTGAAAGCATTCAAACAATAAAATAAATAACACTGATACATCGCGTAATAGAATGATAATGTGAACATCCACATTGATAGGTTCTGGCTAAAAACTGAGGACAATGAAACAATGTGGAAAACAGAGAAATTTTGAACTAAGTTTGTAAGCAAAGTAATATGTCACATGCTGACAAACGGAACAAATGCCAGCTTTGGAATCTGATTCTCAAAGATAACCATGAGCTTTGAGAAAGAAAATAAGTTATGCTCACACAAAGAATGTGATTGTTTAAGAGAAATACTATCTCAGAATAAAATGGACAGGCCCAGCTAGAACACACAACAATAACAAAAACTAAAATGATTTTCTCTTATAAACTCATCCAGTGTGCGTAACTTCTTGCACCAGAAATCATAATGCAAACCAAGTTTAAAAGTAAACATCTTTGCTGATTGTTACACATAAAAACTAGTGCAAGAGAAACAAATGAAATCAGGCAGACTCCAATATCTAAAGAAATCTGTAACTGAAAGAAGACTGTTTTGACTAAACTTTAACGTTAGCATAAACCCGTTTAAACCACTCACAACGAGTATCAGCATCTCTATAGCACACAAAACTGGTAAAATAAAATAAAAATACCACCACTAGCTACATCTTGCTTGAGACTAAACAACTCACTTAAATAAGCATATAATCCATGGCCTGGTTCTGAAGTAACAAGGTTCACTTTCATCGGAACAGAAGCATGACTCAAGACAATAAACCATCAAAACCAAAGCAAAAGTATCACAAAAGAGCTAAGCTTTTCAGTCTGATTGTCAACCTGGTGCAGAACAGCCTGACAGTTGGCTCAGGGAAATGGATTCTCCACTGAGGTATTTTACCACCTTCCAAGCCCTGCTACATGGCCATACTGTTTTGCAAATTATGAGAAAACTTTGGAAAAAAAATATGATGACATGCACAAAACATGAAGGAAATTTCGCTTGAGACTTGTTCCAGAAAACCTTTAAGCAAATACAACTTAAAAATTCATTAATCAGACCATGAGGAAAACTGGAGTTGCATTGATAAACATTATCATTAAATAATATGCTCTATACAACATCATGAAGATTTAGGGCAGGAATAGAGATAGCGAATATGAAAACAAAAGAAGAAAGCTAGCTATTTTAGAGCATGTTCATTCAAACAAGACCTTATACTGAAACTAAACACTCCTTAATCCCTTTACCACTAGCCCATGAGACTGAACTGATGCTACCATCAAAGTCATCTAGACACACACTGATGATTTCTACTACATTCAATCAACTACAGATAAAATTAATCATGTACAGTTATTTGGTTTTGTAACAAATAATTGACAAGATGAAGTAACAAATGAATATCCATGAGTAGATGAAACACTTCAGGTATAATATTAAGAAAATAAAGCAATTAAAAGCAGGCAAGAAACAATGTGCAGATAACAGCAGCTTTGTTTATTTTAAAGAAAGGATAACATCTGTGTCAAAACAAAGAAGGATGAATTTAAAAAGTGCAGCTTCCCAATTCTATTCTGGGTCTTTAACACAAATCACAATTAACATATTAGGCTTTGGCACTATCCTCAGAGAGCCCACTGGCAAGATCTTAGTTCCATGCAGTTTGCACAGATGTTTAAAATTTATAGAGGAATCCCTACATGGGCTCCGGTTTGTGTACATCATTGTTAAGCATATTTAAAGTAACAGGTACGCTTGATTCATGCCTTACAATCAAACAAATCTTAAATAGGATTGTTTTTTTCTCATTTTTGGTGCCTATCTTGGCTTGTGCACTAGACTGAGGTTTCAGGTTGTATGGAAGACTGAAAGTAAATAGTAGTCCGACAATAATAATTAAAACATGGCAAGTACCATCATTTGTAAAACACTACATGAAATAGCATAAAAGAAAGAGCCACAGCTAAATGAAGGGAAAAACAGGCTTACCGGCAAGTTGTGAAACAATTCTTACTATTCCTGAATCCTGGCATGTTGGCTTCATCTACACTCCTCAATATTCATTACAACAATTTAAACAATATAATACTGCAGTGCTTTTAAGAGTCATAAAAAAAGAAGAAAAAACTTAATGGATACTTGTACTCTCAGTGTTCATGACCATCAGCACATTCACACACTTCACCTGAATGAAAGAAATGCAAAAGAACAGTCATACCAGCAATGCACTTGTATATTGTTACATCACAATGAAGGGGATGGGAAAAGAAAGAAACAATCCATTACAAGTAAAAGCAACCATAATCAGGTCAAAAATTACAGAACACAGGAGCAACATGGCTTATCATTTTCATAGGGGTCTAAATAAATACTGGGTCCAGTCCACATTTGAGTTGAGGTTGTATTATACTTGGTAACAACCACGACTTAAATGTGGTCCAGAATAAATGACTGAGGAAACATAACTTTCTTAATCAGGGAAACAGAAGAAACGAGATAAGGTGTAAGAAAGAACACTTGATACACCATTGCATACAGGTATTCAAATTAAATAATGAAACATTCTATGAGCTAAATTTGATCTGAAGGAGAGAGCATCGGGGATTAGAGGAGAGGCTTCAGCAATTCTGATATTGTAATCTGATTTTGCATGGATGAGCGCAACCCACACAGGTACATCAGAATATCACAAATTATAACATGCATTTTAGGCCACTTTCAAACAAGCAGAAACCATCTGCTTATAATAAATATTACAAAAAATTGTATATCTTGTACTTTGAGCATGTGTTTGATTGGCATCTGTCAAAAATTACTCTAATGGCAAGGATGAATTTCATATTCGGCTATAAAACTTCTCCTAAGCACTCACACACACTTCAATAGCAAGAAAAATGGTCAAGTGGAAAAAAAACTTACTTGAATGAAGCTTCATAAGCTCCAGTCATGTTAAAAAGAGAGTTAGAAAAATAAAATTAAGAACAGAACAGAACATACTCCACCCATGCAACTTTGAAACTCATCTCCTAAGATAAATAATGTAATCAACCTGGTGCTCTCTCCTTAGCAGTCTGCCCAAACAGCTGAACCATACACAGTAACCATACCATTTGGCAAAATAGCCAGGGTCTCCAGAGCAATCATTCAGTCATTTTCCCCAATGAGATATACAACAAACTTATCATACATCACACAGCTATAGGCCTCCATCAGCTCACAGAATTTACAGCTATCCCTCCGCTGCCTGCAGATGAGACTGTCACAGAAGTTCCAGATGGATTGGATGTTGCGGTAGTTGAGGTCACAGGAACAGACATTGAGGTATTGGTAGTGGTAACTGTCGAATCAGGTGACACTTGCACAGCATTGGCATTTCTTGGCGTTGTCGCTGCTGTGTTGGGTATTGACGTATCCAAAATGGTCGGGGGAGGAGGAGGAGGAGTGCTGTCCACATGGATAGGAACAGGGCGCATACGAGCGGTCAACTTCTTCTGAAAGAGAAGAATAAAGTATAGAACCAGATCCACATCAAGTTCGCAAATGCCGCCTGAAAACTTACCTTCCGACGGAATGGAAAGCAGCCTGTAGACTCAGGCTCTGGAGGAGCATCAAGAACAAGATCTGGTGTCCTAGCACTATTCTGGCCAAAGTGATTCAGTTCTTTGAAACATTCAGTCTCAATCATCTGAAAAATTGGTTGGTAATAGTACATTTTAGGTACTGGGGAAAAAAAAATGGTTACAGTCTTCTAAGAAAGAGACTTGAAAGTGACTCACCTCAGTTTGCCATGGTATTGATACAGATCCTGTATTAAATTTAGTATAAAATGTATCATCAGTGGCATCCAGATTAACTCCCTTGACGGTGGAGAACTGTTCAATGTCCAGCACATCTTTAGCATACACAGCATGAGGCTGAAACAAATTATAACAAAGTAAACATTATAAATTGTATTCATAGAAATGAAACAAAGCTACAAGGGTACAGTGACTACGTTTTTCTTGGGTTATAAATTAAAAACAAAACAAAAAAACAACCACAAATGTGAATGCTTACATCTGGTACAAATGGTGGATCACACATGCCCGCCTCGAGTCGTTTCCAGTTCAAACAGCTGAAAAAGTCATGTTGCTTAACTTCTCGTGCACCTTGCCTTCCACACTGACAACCTAATCTAGTCTTGGGTGACTTCTTCAGAAGCTGCAAAGAAAAAAATACAAACAAATTAGAGGCCGCTAAAGGGTTTTTATGTTTACAAAAATTCAATAAAATGAAAAGAACAGTTCAAAGTTTAAAATGACTTACCTGTTGGCACAAAGACATAGCTTCATCACTGAATTTATGTGAATAGTTTTCTGTGTCTTCCTTAACTCGTCTATCTACCTCCTCTCGTTTCACCTGGAATAAAAAGCACAAAGCTCAGCAACTGTAGGCAATGGCATAGTAAAGTTGAGATTATGTGCATTTCATGTAGCATTTGGAAGAGCATTACCTTTTCTTTGCGAGCCCGAAATGGTGCCTGACCTTCAATCATTTCATAAATAAGGCAACCAAAGCTGAACCAATCAGGACTGAAGGTATACTTGTCATTGTCAATGACCTCAGGAGCTAAAGCAAGAATAATTTTCTAAAATGATAGATTACCAACATCACAAGAAACTAAAACACTGCTGCATCAAATTACTTACCCATGTATCCCACAGTTCCAACTCTACCCCGAACCATATCACCCTCAGGAATTTCAACAGCAAGGCCCAAATCTGATATTCTCACATGGCCTGTATCATCAAGTAAAATATTCTCTGGCTTACAATCTCTGTACACTATCCCTTGAGCATGGAGATGTTGAAGGCCACACAGAACCTACCAGAAGGTAGACATAATTATTAGATGTATCATGACAGAATATTATTATTAATCTACTTTGAACTAGTTTAAGTAAATCAGTCAAAACTTACCTCAGCGGAATAAAAACGAGCACGATTTAACTCAAAGCCAGGGTCCCCACCCATGTTATAAATGTGAAATTTGAGATCTCCTCCATTCATGATTGTCAACACTAGGCAAAGGGCATCTTTAGTTTCATATGCATATGCTAAGCTCACCTGCAAAGGCCACAAACACACATTAAAGATGTGACATAGTTTGACAAACATATAAGAATCTTAACACTTAACCATGACCACATACCACAAATTTAGAATTAATTCTTTGCAAAATCTGCTTTTCTATTAAGACCATAGCCTCTCCTTTCCTTTTCTTAATTCGTTTCTTCTCAAGTTTCTTGCACGCATACATCTTCCCTGTGGCTCGAACTTGGCACGCGCATACCTCACCAAAACCTCCTTTTCCCAAAACACGATACATACGGAATGTCTTGTGTGTAACTGGTTGGCTGGAAAACAAAAATAATTCATTAAACAAAAATGATGGATGAAACTACCAATAAAAAAATGAAGTAGGGAAATATAAAGTATTTACCTCTCCAGCCATTTCCACTGCAAGTAACGATGGAAATACATTGATTCTAGAAATAGATGAAAGGGTTCTCCCTCCAGAAATGCCTTAACAGCACTAGAACAGTCATCAAATACATCTTTGCTAGCAGCAGTAAGTTTCTCTTTACATCTTTCAACAACTTCTGCATTGAGAACATCCACAGCTTCAATAGCCTGATTAACACAAGTGAAAAAGTTACAAAGATTTAATAGAATGCTTTGGCATCAAATCAAACACAAAACAACAAAATAGTTAATGCATACATCTCTCTGCAGGTAACGTTTATAGACTGTCTGTGCCAAGTCAGATCGGTTTTCATCACATTCCAGTTCATACTGCTCCTAAAAAATGATCACACAAGTTTAATAAAAATGTCAGCAACAAAGACACCAATTGATGTTACTGATAAATGAGGCTGCAAGGATTTTAAGGTGGAGCACAAATACTTATAAGTAAGGAAAGAAAAAGGATATGGTGAAAGGACTTACAATTGAATCAAGGAAGATATTGTATGTGTGATACTCAGGGTGGAGATGTTCGCAAAATTGCCGGAACAACAACCGCCCGATGGGCTGCTGATCTACTACATAACTGTATCTTACATCTGTTAAAAACAAGGAAGGGAGCGATGTAGCAGATATATGGACAGTTCACAAAGCAACATTCGACGAGAAAATGTAAAATTGACAAGCATGAAAATTCAGCACTAGTTAAATTTCTTGCACTAATAGGGCAAGAACTATATGTACATAAACTCTAAGACATTAAAAAAGGATAATCAGCATTGGAATAAAATCTACATAATGCATACAAAACCATACCTATTTTTTTCTGGATGTCCAGGCACTGAGATATGTGTGGAAATTGAAGGATTTTCTTCCATTTTTTGCTTTTGCCCTTGTTACTATCTCCTCCTCCTAAAAAAAATAAATTGCATTGCTTAAAGAAGTAAAACACAATTCTTCTAAAATTCTATTAGAAAACAAATTTTGAAGATGAGCTTTAGGCGGGAAAGCCTTGAAGGTAAACATTGTATGATATTCAAAGACGATACAAAGCAAAGAAAATGCCACATAAACAAAAACGACGACGAAAAAAGGCACAAGTGGAATGATAGGAAATAGGTTAGGTACCTCCTTACACGGACCAAATTGTGGTCGCACATAGAGAGAGGAAGTTAGGAACTATAGAAGAAGGTACGGTCCAAACGCGAATGCAAGACGTTGCAGTAAATGCAACAAAAAGTGTAAACATTCTGTGCGAGCAGGTGATGAAGTGAGAACTGCAGACGAGATAGTTTTAGGCCTAACCTCACAACGAATAAAAATCCCTCTCACCTTCTCGTGCTTTGAGGTAGACAGTGTTGGCGACGATATTCTCTAATTCCATGAGTTCCAGCTTGCCCGATTTCCCGTTTTCCGGGCCGAAGTCGACCCGTTTCCATCAAAAAATATTTACAACAGTCGGGGTGTGGTACACAGCTGAATATGGCGGCGGACTCCACAGGAAACGTCAATTATCATTTCTATTAGCATATAGTACACTTTCGGTCACTTTTTACTGGGCTTTAACGCCCGGGCGTGGCAGGGGTCGAAAAATAGGACAAATCCGCACAAATATTTACTGTATCAGAGGGGAAACAAGAATTCAATTAATCATAACTTGAAAATTGATCAACACGGAGGCTGAGATCAACGCACACGCATGACTCTCAATTGTTTCTTGCTCCTTGCTCTTGCCACTGGACCATCACCCACTTGATCTTTGGGTGGATGCGAAAAGAGAGAGGAAAAAGCCTCTCAAGTTTTCTCAACGCTGTCTGGAAAACAGGAATGGGTCGGCAAAGTAAGATGGCAAAGGGAGTGACATCTAGCAGACGGCAAACTCGATGCGGAGATACGGGGCCGGGCGCCGGCTGTGCCAGCTCTGCCTTGCTCGCCTTGGCAGCAGTGCACACTGTTCCTGCCGGCAGATTCAAACGGTTCAAAACGCCTCGCGGTTGTGCTCCTCGCCCTCTTAAGGCCCTCCACGCTCGTGAACCGCCATTCCACGCAGAAAGGCGACATGGATTTCGGTGAAAATTTGGGGCGTGTGGGTATATTCACTTCAGTCGCGAATTTTTTTTAACACGCTCGGTTGTGGCCATGTGGAAACAAAACGTAAATGGCAAGGTGACATTCTATTCCTAGGCCTCAGCACCAGATGAGCCGCTCAGACAGAAGCCGGGAGGACATCCTCATGAACACCGTGGCCATCCACTACACCACTAGCGCCCCGGGAGTATGATGGAGTAAGAGCAGGCTTGGCCACATTGGGCAACACGATGTCCTCCCGGATCCCAGTCCAATATCATGACGAGTTTATCGCGGCGGTGGGAGGGAAAAGAAAAATAGGGAGCGCCGGGCCTATTCGTCGCCAAGGGGTGACTCACGCTGCAGACTGACCCTGTCTCTCTCGCACCCACACGGCACGCCGGAACACCCCGAGTGCGACAGGGACAAGGCGACGCAAGTACTGTGGAGGACGTTTTTGCATCGCTTATAGGTAGATTTGGTCTGCGGCCGCGTCCTTGGACGGCGGCCGAGCGCCAGGGCCCCGGCCAGGGCCGTGAGGGCCTTGAGGGACTGGGGCGGGGCGGCGGGGGCGTGTCCGGAGAGACACAAGACGGGGACGTGACTGTCATAAACAACGGGGCCACGGCGGCACCGCGGCACCCGGCGCGGCGGCGGTGCGGCGGTCCAGCGCGGGTGGAGGAGAAGGGGGGATGCAGATGAGGAGGTGTTGCGTGTGTGTGAGTGCGTGCGTGTGTGTGTGCGTGGCGGTCAGCACGTGGCCTGGACACGTCGGCGCGGTGCCGCGGTGCCGCCCTGCCCACCAAGTTGGGTCTGCAGTCGTGTCTGGCGCCACTACCGTGCACGGCACTACTCCGAGCCGCGAACCGCGAGTGCCGCCGCCATGAAGATCGTCGTGCTCGTCGTGCTGCTGCTGGCGGTGCTGGCGGTGCAGGCCGTGCTGCCGGAGTCGCAGCGCCACCGCCACCTGCGGCGCGACAAGAAGGCCGCGCTCGTCAAGAAGCTGCTGAAGAAGAGCAGGATCAGCGAGGCGACGGTGCGCCTGGTGGGCGGCCGGGCGGCGAACGAAGGTAACACCAGCCGGACGGCCTGGACGGCCTAGACAGCGACGCGCGGCGTCTGGCCACGGTCTGCGTGCTTTGCGCGCTTTGCGTCACCTGGCCTGCATGCATGCTGCATGGCGCGGTGGCGCGGCGAGCCCGCAGCGCCTAGCGCCCCTCAGGCCGCGCCAGCCGTGCCTTGGCCGGCCCGTGATTTATCGGCACGCTGTTGCATTGAATTTGAAACGAGCTGCCCGCCCTGCACACTGCCTTTTCGTGCTCGGGAAAAAGTAAAATTAAAATTTGGTTCTTTGCTTGGTGCTCGGTACTTTATACATCAATCTATAACGTAGCCTTAAAGTGTCGCCACTTTTCCTGTAGTCAGCCAGTTGTGTCTTCAAGGATCGACCCTCGACCCGGCAGAGGGACTTCCCTGATTTCGGCAAAGCTGTCCTCCAAGTCTTTTGCCTGGTGGCCTGCCCGGCCTGCCTGGGCTGCCGAGATGCGAGGCACTGGACCTTAATGGTGGTTCTCAGGTGTCCGGTGTCCCGGGCTGCCTTGGGCTGCCTTGGGTGTCAGGTCAACGTCAGCCCGGGCGCCGCGAAGGCCCACTCCAGCCACCCGAGCGCGACCGCGAATCCTTGGTCCCTGTTGCAGGCAACGTGGAGATCCACCACCTGGGCAAGTGGGGTGCCGTCTGCGACGACGAGTGGGACGCCCAGGACGCCGTCGTGGTGTGCCGCCAGCTGGGCTTCGACGGCGTGCGCCGAGTGACGCACAGCTCGGCCTACGGTCCTGCCCGGAGTGAGTGCAAAAGCAAAACGCGGAACGCGAAAAAACAGAGGCAGGCTTTGATGACTCCGTAGGTTTCTGCAGATGGGATGCGGAATCCCAGCGCGTGGCGTGGCGCGGCGCGGCGTGGGCGTGCTGCATTGCTGAGCCCGGCATGGCGATGGAAATGCCAATCGGACCAAATTCGCCGAGCGTTTTGGGATGACACGGCGACGCGGCGACGCGGCACGCCTCCGCACCGGCCGGCCGCCCGGCGCCACGCCTCGCGCCTAGGTGTACGATGGGCTGCCTACCCGCAGGGCGCTTCTGGATGGACAACGTGCTGTGCGAGGGCCACGAGGACGAGCTGGCCCACTGCAGGACCGCCGAGGGCTGGGGCAGCTCGGACTGCGACCACACCGAGTCGGCCGGCGTCGTCTGCCTCGACCCTGACCTGGACGGCCACGGGGACGGCCTCGGGGACGGCCGGCGGGGAGGAGGAGGCGGACAAGCAGCTCAAGAGGGAGCGGCGGCACCTCGACGGAAGCCCAAGACGCGCATCAAGGTGAGTAGCGGAGTGGGGGCTTGAGGCGTGGAAACGAGGCCAGGGCATCAGGGCATCAGGGCCAAGGGGTTACCCACTCAAATTTTTAGCGTACACAGGATTCGTGATTACCAAAATTACCTTGATTACCAGGATTACTAAGATTACCGGGATTACCAGGATTACCTAATGATTACTATGATCACCAAAAGATTACCACGATTACCAAGCGATTACCATGATTACCCAATGATTACCATGATTGCTCAGCGATAACAATGTCTATCAGCATTCTTGGATAATAACCACTTTCACTGGAATGGCTCGTCTCTGAAAACAGAGCTACTGCGAAAAATGCATAGTGTATTTGCCGGCCATAGCTCACCATAGGAGCCAAGGTGATGAGAAGTGACGGTGTTGCGCGATTTCGTCTAGGCCTGGGCGATTAATCGAATAATCGAAAATAATCGCGATTATTTTGTTAATCGTCCGATTATTTCAAACCCCCGATTAGTGGTTCGGTAATCGAAGGATTGACCGATTATTTAACGATGATCGATATCGATTAATCGTCTCATCATCGGATATTCTATCCATCACCTGTTTAAATTCTGAGCGGAAAAGTCTTGAAAAGTTTTCAGTGAAGGCACGAAAAAGCTGTCTCAGACACTCGAGGTTGCGCCAATGGTTTTCCTATCCTCTTATTACATGCTATTTTCACAATAGTATGAGTATTAAGCTTTGTTTGTCAATTTCCAAATAATCGGTTTCCCCCGATTAATCGTTGATTTTCGATTAATCGTGTACGTTTTCGATTACCGATTACCGAACTGCTAATCGACACCAATCGCGATTATTTTATTCATCGGCCGATTACGATTACAACCAATAATCGCCCAGGCCTTATTTCGTCTGCTTGGTTTTCTTGGAGTATGGTACAAGATTCTGGCGTGGTCGGGCGTAACAGAAGTTTATTTTGCCGCCATTCCACCCCTGACTTCTAAAGAGACTAAGTTAAAACAAGTTCCATTTTTTAGTTAAATTTGAAAAACTGCAAACAAAAAATAATTCTTAATAATAAAATATAGTGGAGAGGCAACTTCTTTGAGAGTCCTCTAAAGTAGTATCTTTATCAGCAATTGTTTTGGATAGGAAAATAATAGTCAATTTAGTTCACAAAAAATTTAAAATGTGGCACGAGGACGCACATACCAGACACGCCTTGGGTGGCTTCGGGTCACTTCAGGTGTCCGGGGAAGACACCTCCCCGAGCAGGGACTATGTCGGCCTCCACTCCCACACTGGTGCCTTGCGAGTCTAATCGGTGGCCTACCTTGCCATTGCCATTACTATTAACGGCTAGACCACACATGATCGTATGCCATTTCGGGCCCGACACATGCCCGCCTGCACTGCGGGCGTTAGACTCCCGCCCACACAGTTGCGATTACTAAGATTCTCACACGATTACTACGATTACTACAAGATTTACTCACGATTACTATGATTACTACAAGATTACCACGATTACCAAGATTACCACGATTACCCATGATTACCGAGTGAGTGTACACAGGATTACCTCAGTGGGTAACCCCTTGATCAGGGCATGTAGGAAGGAAAATTAAAGGGAATAATAGAATATGGGGCGCCGCCGCCAGCCTCGCCGCCAGCCCGAGGCCCACGTCGCCGTCGCGGCCTGTCGCGCCGCTGCTGGCGGTGACGCTGGTGACGCTGGTGGCGCTGGTGAAGCAGGGCGGAAAGAAGGCGAGATGAAGGGCGAGGAGGGCGCAAAGGAGATTGGCGGTTCTTTTCTCTGGCGAGGTGGGAAGGGGCGAGAAGCCGCACGGTTACCTCCTTGGCGACATGAGCGGGGAGGGGGGAGGGGGAGAGGGAGGATGCATAATTTAACGGACAAAAGTCACGATGAAATAGACGGAGGAAAACACGGCGGCGGAAGGAAGCTGTCGCGCTCGGCCCGCCTCCGCCAAGGCAGGGCGGCGGGTAGACTGATTCCGTTTTTGTCGCTGTCTCTCTCGCACCTGTACGGGACGCCCCATGAGTGCGAGAGACAGCGTCGCAATCAGTCCGCTGGTGGCGAGGCTCATAACGACGTTGGCGGGGTGACCGAAGAAAGAAGAGGAGAACGAAAGCGGAATCGCCAATCACCGAACCGTGGCCGTGCCGCCGTGCCGCCGCCGCCGTGCCCAATAGGCTTGGCGCTGCTGGGCGCCGCGTCGCGCGAGGCAAGACGTTTTCGCCCCTCCGTGCTGAAACTGCACAATAAATCCTCGTTGATTCACGACAACCGTTGAAAAGCCAATATTGCGCTGAGAGGCAAAACCGTCCGGACTGACACACCCCGCCGCCCCGGGCCCCGGGTGCAGTGCAGTGGACGACTCGCGAGAAGGGGTACTGCTAGAACGGGGAGGGGTTGGGTTGAAAAAACGCCGAGCACGGCGTAGAGCAACGTGACCTGGAAGTTAGTGCGCAATGAAGAGTTTATCGGCAACTCCTTTTTTTTTCAAACTTTTGCTTCCTCTTCTTCTTCCGGCAGAGGTCCGGGAATAAGGGAGCAGCCGAGAGATAGGAGGGGCAATAGATACTTTTTCCTTTGTGGCCGCGACCGCTCGCCCTGGTGCGTGCTGCTGCTGCTGCTGCTGTGTGTGTGTGTGTGTGTGTGTGTGTGTGAGTGTGAGTGCGCGTTGGTGTGTGTATTGACGCTGGCGCCGTTGCAGGACGCCGCGGGGGGCCGACTCCACGTCCGCCTGGCGGGGGGCCGCACCGAGGAGGAGGGCCGCGTCGAGGTCCGCGCCAAGGGCGGCGGTGAGTACGAGCTTCGTCCGGATGACGTCACGCCGCGCGTCACGCCGTCAGGCCCTCGGTCAGGCCCTCGGTCAGGCCGTCAGGCCGTCACCGAAGCCATGTCGCTTGTCCCGCCTGACCGCCCGCCCGCCCCGCGCGCCCTCTGGAGCGGCAGGGCGGCCCTGGCGGACTTCCCCGCGCCGAGAGGCAGAGGGCGGAGAGGCGGCACCCGAACTTCTCACCAGCAAACGAGACAATGGAGCTGTTTGGCGAGTGAATTCAAAACTGGGGCGAGGGGCGCAATTCGCCATTAGCAATCTCAAGCGCCGCCAGCCAGTTTAGCGCGCGGCAGCCCGGCGGCCCAGCGTCGCGGATAAACAAACTACGGCCCCACTATTCGACTGTCCACAAAATACCCCGGCAACTTTGAAGCGGGGCGGGGCGGCACCTCGCGATAAATAAAACACGACGATCCGGGCTCAAGCAGCTAAGCGGCAGAGGCCGGCCAAGTCGTCGCAGATAAGTACCAGCGCCCTGTGATGCTGCTCCATCTGCCTGGCGGTCGTTGCTGGGGTATCACGGCATCGGCAGCCGCGAACGGTTTTTATAGTGCACGCCGGGGGCAAGAAATGGCGGGGTCTAATCTGGCCGGAGTTTGTCGGAGCGAGGGAAAGGGGGGGGGGGGTGCGACCGCAGGTCAAGCTTCCGCTTGGCGGCCCCTGGGGCAGCCAAGTCCTTGTTCGAGGAACCTGAGGTACCTGCCTGCCCCACCCCCGCGCTACACTGTCTTTCCCCGACTTCTTCCTTTCTTGCTTTTGTGTCCACCGCGACAACGAGTTCCCCGAAGAGTCCCCGCACGGACACGGCCTCGGCCACCTCCACTCTGGCTCCGCGTTTCGCTCGGCCATATCGCCATTTCTCTTTGTTGAGACCGGAACGGCGTTCCTCCACCAGAATGGTCCGCGGTGTGCGGCGACGGCTGGAGCCTGCTGGAGGCGGGCGTGGTGTGCCGCGACCTGGGCCTGGGCTACGCCAGCGCCGCCGTGCAGACGGACTTCTTCGGCGGCAACGCGTCCAGGATCGGCCTGAGCGGCGTGTCCTGCCTGGGCAACGAGACGTCGCTGTCGCTGTGCCAGCACGACGCGCTGGCCGAGGGCAGCAAGGGCCTCGGCCACGAGGACTGCCCCGGCAAGCGGGACAACGTCGCCGGCGTCGTGTGCACGCGCAGTGAGTGTCCCGGGTTCGCTTACCACTTTCTCTCCTTTTCGGCGCCCTGCATGTTTTCCGCTTCCGCCAGAAATCGCCGACCTGATGTTCGACTTCGAGGAGCTGACGCGCTCCGCGCACCTGGAGGACCGGCAGCTGTTCTTCCTGCAGTGCGCCATGGAGGAGAACTGCCTGGCGTCCTCGGCGTACAGGCTGAAGCAGGAGGACCCGGCCAACTGGCACCTGGAGACGCGGCGCCTGCTGCGCTTCACCGCCAGGATCATCAACGTCGGCAACGAGGACTTCCGGCCCTTCATCCCCAAGCACCTCTGGGAGTGGCACGCCTGCCACATGTGAGTGAGCGGAGCAGTCGCGCAAAGCAGAGCGTCGAGGAATCGAAACAGTGTCACTGACGCCTTGCTGTCTTCCAGGCACTACCACAGCATGGAGGTGTTCGCCACGTTCGACGTGATGGACAGCCGCGGGGTGCGCGTGGCCGAGGGCCACAAGGCGTCCTTCTGCCTGGAGGACAACCAGTGCCTCGGCGGCGTGGAGCCCGTGTACGCGTGCGCCAACTTCGGCGACCAGGGCATCACGGTCAACTGCTCGGACATCTACCGCCACAACATCGACTGCCAGTGGGTGGACATCTCGGACCTGGAGCCCGGCATGTACACGCTCAAGGTGCGCGCCGGCCGAATTAAACACTTTGCCGGGCGGCCGCGCCGGGGAAACGGAGCGAGGCGCGCAAAAGCAGCGGCTTACCCGGATACGACAACGACGCTGTGTCTCGAGTCCAAGTTGGGCGCGCAGCGGACCCGCGCAAGTCTTGGCGCTGCGGCGGCAGTTACGCCCCGAGGGCGGGCTGCAGTGCGGGCTGGAGAGCGCGCCCAGAGCCCGCGCCCAGAGGATAGGCAAATGGCGCAACTTTCACCGTATTGCAGCAAAGTCGATAAACGGCCCGGAGAGCACGCCCGTGCCCGTCCTGGAGACTGACTCCGAGAGTCCTTTCCGTCGCTCTGTCTCTCTCGCACCTTCACGTGAGACCCCATGAGTGCGAGAGAGACAGCGCGACGAAAATGACTCTCGGATTCAGTCTGCTGATCCGGGCCGCGCCAAAGCGAGTCGAGTCCGGCGCAGCACCGCGCCTCGGCTCGGCAAAACGCGGCGGACACGCCGTAAAGCCCGTCCCGTGTCGACGAGATTAAACCCAGCGAAAGGCCGCGGGCTGATGAAATTATTTCAGGCCAAGAGCGAAAGCGACAATGGCGGGAATGAACGGGGGCAGCAATAACGGGAAGGCCGCGCGGATGATGACTTTGACGAACGCGCTGCGCGCTGCGCGATGATTGCAGGTGTCGGTGAACCCCGAGTTCAAGGTGGGCGAGATGACGTTCGACAACAACGCGGCCCGCTGCAGCCTGCTGTACACCGAGTCCTTCGCCACGGTCTACAACTGCCGCCACGAGCGCCCCTAGACGGAGTCTCACCGAAACAACTTAAAGTCATGTTTAATGTTTGAAAAAAAAAAAACAATCAAATTTTTAAATTGACCAATAAAACGTGTGATAACGGATGGAGTGATTTTTTTCTCTACCGGAGCGCAGAAGCTTTAGCGTGGCGGGTGGGATGGCTCTGTGTCGGGGTGCGGCAGGCGCATCGCCGCCGGCGGGGCGGGGCGGGGCGTGGCCGAGGGGTGGCCGAGGGCCGCGTTGAAGGCGGCGAGGGTCGCGTTGCCGGACTAATTGCCCCGCTCGACGGGCAGGGCAGGGCCGGGCAGGGCTGTCGTAGGCTGGCCGGGCTGGCCCCGCCGGCAGACCCTGGCCAGGGCCACCAGGGCCGCGAGTGACAGGGAGAGTGCAGCCCCGCAGCCCCGCGCCGCCTCCCCTCGCCGGCGGGGACTCTGGGCGGCCAGAGTAGCGAAGCGCGGGGCGGGGGTCGCCGCATATTGGATTAGCGCAGGGCTTCTTGTTGGCTGAGCGCTGCCGGCCTGGGTCCTGGCCTAGCCCTGCCGCGGCCACCTCAACCAGGCAGGCCTCAGGACGGCGGAACGGACGGCCGAGGCGCGGTGTGGCGGTCTCTCCGTCCGGCCCTCGGACACTAGACTCTCTCGGCCCCCCGGCGGCGTAGTGCGGCGCCGAGCACGCCGTGCACGCCGAGGTGCTGACCACGCCGCGGGCCGGGCAGTGCTGGCAGTGCTGACGCCGATCGGGCCGGTGTTCTAATCAGCGCACCCTCGGGGCGGAGCAAGGAGGGACGGAAGCAGTCGCTGGCTTCCCCCGGGCCCAACTCACTCCGGGTCCAGCCCGGGCCGCTGTGGACCGAACGCCACCGGAAACCAAGAGTGTCCACCTCGTGAAGGCAGCCCGCCCTGACTCCCAGCAGCATGTGCGCCACCTCGTGCACCGCCTCGCGCGCCACGTGGACGCGGCCCGCGGAGTGGCGGCGCGAACGCGGAGGCAGCCCGCCGCACGCCGCCGAGTGCGCGCGTGACGAGTGACTCCGCCGTTTGTGACTGCCATCAAACGTGACCGGACTGTGCGACAGAGTGCGGTGACATGTGTGGCGGCGTGACGGGGAGCGCCGCGATGGCGCTGCAGAGTGACGGCGCGGCGTGACGGCGAGGCGTGACGGCGAGGCGTGACGGCGAGGCGTGACGATGTGGATGCTGCTGCTGGCCCTGCTCGTGCTGCGCGCGGGGCAGTGCGTCGTGCGGGGGCAGTGCCTGGAGGCGGAGGACGGCCTCCAGAAAGACGGCCTCCTGCTGCACGGCGATGCCGTCGTCACAGGTGAGAGAGAAAAAGCCGCCAACAAATTTGATCAATAAGGAGACCATTGCCTTCCCTTTCCTCCAGAGCCTCGACGCACGGCGGCTATCAGTGGCGAGGAAGCCAGTTAGTGTGGAGGGGCGGGGGTGGGGCCCTCCCCACGGGGCACCTGATGTGATGGCTGATGGCGCTGGACGTCCTGATGGGGCGGCGTGGCGCGGCGCGGATCGGAGACCGTTTTCCTCTCGATGGCACTTAGGCCCGGCCCAGTGCCCATACGGTGTAAGCTGGAGGGGGCGGCGGTGGCCCCGCCTGCCCCGCCTGCCCCCGCCTGCCCCCGGCCCCGTAATGAAGTGGTCGACGGCGTGATGGGTTGGCACACCTGTCAGCCGCGCCCCGCCCCGCCCAAAGCCCGCAAGACCCCCAAGACCCCGGCCAGCCTCACGTGTCTGACTGGATCCCCTGCGGAGTGCCCCGCCACGAGGATTATTCTTAGGACTGGAGAACGAGACAGACTTGTGCACTCTGCGAGGGCACCCAGGGTGGGGGGTGGAAGCCCTTGGTTGCGCGCCACGCAGCGCCACGCGCCGCCACGCGCCGCCACGCACACAGGCGTGGCGCGACCCCTTTTAGGCGACGTCACGCCAGAGCCCTCGATCCGTCCGTCGGGTTTACGCGGAAAGGGAAAGGCTGGCGCGGCAGGCCTGGGCAGGGCTGCCAATGCTGTTACCGCTGAGCTTTGAGCCTTATCCGGCGGGACGCGGCGCGGAGCGGAACGCCGCCGACTGCAGAAGCCTTAAACCGACGCGGGCAAACAAGCGATTCCGCTCCCAAACTGCGGTTTCGGTTGCGGCGCGGGCTTCTCGCTGACCGAGGCAGGGCGCTGCGCAGCTGCCGAACGGCCCCGGATGAAAAGGGGGAGGGGGGGGGCACAGCGCAGCACAGCGCCGCCTTTACGGTCGCCAGCGTTATGTAATGCAGCTTTACGGGCCGTTAAACGCAGGGAAGGCGGGCAGGGATGAGATAGAAAGAGCGATGGTGGGGCCGCGGAATCAACCCCCTCCCCCTCCCCTCCCCTCCCCGGCCGGTGCCATCGCGCCATCGAGCTTGCTGTTGCTATCACCCACGCCCAGCCAGGCCAGCCGGCCCAGCCTCCGCCAGGCTCTTCCAGCAGACTCCGGCCCACTCCAGCCCGCTGTTCATTGTGCCCTCCAGCCGCCTCCAGCCGCCTCCAGCCCCTCTCCGGGCCACTCCAGCGAGCTGGAGGCCCCTTTGCGCGGAGCACGCGGAGCGACCTGCCTCTCGGCTGACCTAACCATATTCCCACTCAAGAAATATTGGTAGAAAAATTATGTAAATATTCTACTGAAAAATCCAATTTTGGCCCGTTTTGCTTGATCTTAAAAATGTTCCGTAGGGTTAGAAATATTGAAGCAGACGGTTGCCCTGGCCCTGGCGGTATTTGCCAAGCGTCTTCCCTGCCGTGGCGAAGCAGGTGTGACCGGCGAGCTTGGTTTCCCTGTTGGCAGCCCTGCTGCCCCTGGAGGCGGGGCCCGACTGCGCCGCCGTCGTCCCGCGGGGGCAGCGACTGTCCCTGGCCGCCGTGCACGTCCTGCAGGCACTGCGTCGGCTGCAGCACGTCCCCGACGTGGAAGTGGGTAAGCCGAGCCAACAACACGTTGGTTGACCACAGTGACATCATTGTTGTGTTAGTTCCGAGTGTCTAAGATGTTAATTACAAACTGAGTCCGAGGAGTCGTCTTGCTCTGTCGCTGTCGCAATCATCGCGTCGCGTCGGTGGAGAGAGACGGAGCGACGAGACGATGCGACGCGGTGGTGTGCTGGCCCAGGCCGGCGAGTAAAGCTGAGACTGTACTGCCCCACAGGGCTGCGGATAGTCAACTCGTGTTCCAGCGCGGCCGTCGCTCGCAAGGCCCTGCTCGGCGCCTTCGTGAACCTGGACTGCAAGCGCCGCTACCCCCTGGGTGAGACGCGAGCCCCGCGGGACTGAGGTGGCTGACTTGTTGGCCCCGACCCATGACATGACCCCCCTCACGCTGCCCCTGCCCAGGTGTGCTGACGGGGGAGGCCCTGTCGTCCGCCGAGTCCGTGTCCGAGCTGTGCTCCGGGCTGACGCAGGCCCTGTGGGTGCTGCCCGAGTCCCCGGAGCCGGAGCCGCAGCTCGCCAACGCGCTGGGCACGCTGCTCGCGGCGGGGTCCTGGCCGGCCGCGGACCTGCTCACGTCCAGCGTGCACCAGGATGGCGACGAGGAGGACGGCGAGCACCACCTGGACGCGGCGGAGCTGCTGGCCGACCAGGCCCTGGAGAACGCCCGCCTGCGCGGGGTGTGCGCGCGCCGCGGCCACGCGCCGGACGGCTTCGCGTGGTCGGGGCCCACGTCGCGGGCGCGCGTGCTGGTGGGCGTGGAGGCCGCGCTGCGCCGGATGCTGCGCGACCACGTGCTGGTCCCCGTGGAGGCGCCCACGCCGCAGCTCATCCTGGCGCCGCCGGACGGCGTCTGGTCCGGGGCCACGCCGCTGCCGCGCGACGCCCTGCTGCTGGTGCCCGACGTGACGCCGCTGCGCGCCATGCTGTCGCGCCTCAGCGAGCACAAGGCCGCCAACGCGACGGACGCCGTGCTGCTGCCCGAGCCGGAGGAGGTGGCGGCCGCCGTCGGGATGAGCGACTTCCTGGGCGTGGGCCGCGCGCTGCTGCGGGCCGCCGACCTCCTCAAGGAGGGCCTCAGCGCGTTCTGCGGCGCCAAGGCCAAGGCCGACGTCGCGGAGCGCCGGCGACGAGCTGAGCCCGTGGACGCCGTGGACTCGACCGAACAGTGTACGTCACGACCCGGATGACCCGGGAGAGGTGCTAGAGGTGCTCGATGGCGGCTGCGGGGCGCGGCGGTCCCTATCGCGGAGACGTACGGTGACAATGGATTAGGGGTGGGAGGGGAGGCGAGGGGGAGTCTGAAAGGCCACAGGAAATAAGGTACGGAAAATACGACGTCCGATCCAGGCCAGGAGCATGGAAGCAGGAGCGTGTGAGAGAGGAGAGGGAAGCACCTAAGTCACCGAGCTGCACTCACTGCAGAGGGGTAAGAAAAGAGAGAGAAAGAGCTGTAGTCAATAAGGCGGATCCCCTTTGAAGGTAAATTTGAATAAAGCATAGATTCTATGCTGAGGAGCAAGGAGCACGGTAGAAGGTATGCCCTAACTTTGGTCTTGTTTTCTCCTGTGTTCTGCAGCCCCCGAAGAACACTCCACCAGTGCATCCGATGAGTCAGAGACCGAGGACGCGGAGCCCGCAGAGCCGATGGAGGTGCTGGAGGCCGTCGAGACCGTCGAGGCCGTGGAGGTCGTGGAGGACATGGGCGACGTCTGCGGCCGCATGCCCAAGTCGGCCGCCCTGCTGGAGGAGTTCGGCGAGGCCGTGCCCGCGCTGGCGGAGGACGCGGTGCAGCGCCTGCTGGAGGTGCGGCAGGACGAGGTGGCCTCCAGGGCGGCGGCCTCGGCCACCTTCCTGCTGCTGCGTTCTCCGGGCCCCGGGCGCCCGCTCCTGCCGCTGGCGCACTACCGCGGCGGCATCTGGACCATCGCTGACGACGCCCTCACCAAGGTGCCTGGACCTGGTGTATTTCGGCGCGTCCCTTAGACCAGCGGTTCCCAACCTTTTTCGGTTCGCAACCCCAAATTTGATACAAAAAATCTCATTCAACGAACGTTAATGAAAGCAGATGATCCATCGCGTTTCATAACTGCTGTGATAGCCGAGAGGTTGGAGACGTGGGATCGAGTTGCCGCAGGCCGGCGTTCGAATACCAGCGTCACAAAAGTTTTTTCGACTTGCTATCCTAAGGGTAGTGGTTCGAGGCCATGAGAGCGGAGCCGTGTGCAACAGGCCCACATGCCGGAGGTTCGACTCCTAACAAATATTTCCATTTAATTTTACTGCCTCACCCAGTGCGGTTGAAACCCGTGAACGTGAGCCCACTCCGTGAATGGGACGTGGTGGTACAGGGAGTAGAGGCGTCGGTTCGCAATGTTAGGGTCGGCGGTTCGACTCCCCCAACTTCTTGCGAAATTTTGACCTGGTCGGTCGAGTCCTGTTGCGTCAAGAACCCACCTCACGCCAGCACCCTCATCATGGGCCGTGGTGGCCGAGAGCGTAAAGTCGTGTGATCCCGATGGCGGGGTCCGGGGATCGAATCCCATCATCTCATTACATTTTTCGACCGCCTTCCTCCCACTGCAACTCAAACCCGTCGTCCAACACGCTGCCAGACGTACAAGCGTGATAGCGTAGTGGTCAGAGTCACATTCACCTGGCCACTCCGCTGTGGGTGTCTAAAAAGCAATCCGCTTCGGCGGGTTGGCCTCGGCACTGGAGCGATGGAGTATTTGATCCATCAATCCAGACCATCCGGTGTGTGGTTGCGGGTGGTGCCTCCTTGACTCGTCGGGGAGGCGATGATAAGTCCTTTGAAGCTGGCCTAAAACGCTGTATGTTCGGTACGGGAGCGCCGGACAGTGGGGGTACCATGGGGTACACAACCAACCCTACGAAAACAAGAAGCTCCCACCAAACCTCTTCTCTGTCTGAGTCTCTCTCTGTCTCTCTGTCGTCTCACTCTACGTCCCGCCCCTCAAAGAGCTTCGTACTGGGTGCTCTCACCCAGCTGCCTGAGCTTTGGGGTCCTACTGGGTCCCCCGGCGAACGCTTAGAGTCGCTGACGGGATTAACCCCAGGTACCTGATAGCACCGGTTCCCATCCCGAACACCGAAGTAAAGCAGGAGGCCTCCCCATTAAGACTGGGGAGGGGGTGTAGAGTTCAAATTTTTTCTTTTCCCTTTCAAATTTCTTGGTTAACCTTGGGGTCGTGACCCCAAGGTTGGGAACCGCTGCCTTAGACAGACCGTCGTTGCACCACTTTGGGCTTTTGGTACTAATCTCCTTTCATCCCTTAGGCCGATGTGGAGGTCGTGGACTGCCCGCTGCTGCTGGCCAGCGGGCAGGTCGAGTGGGTGCGGGAGGCGTGGGTGGCCACCGTGCTGACCGTCGCCGTCCTGGGCACCATGGCGGCCACGGCGGTCGCCTTCTTCATCGCGTCCAGGATCCTCGCCGGGGATATCCTGGAAGGCTCGGCCGTAAGTTTAATCCTTGAACTGAATTCCGTATAAGAAGTGGGGAAGTTGAACCTGACCGCGGGTGTTGCACAGACGCTGTCGCTGCTGCTGCTGCTGTCGCTGCTGGTGGCGTACGGGAGCGCGCTGCCGTACTGCGTGCGGGGCGGCGGCGTGGACGGCGAGGGCGGGCTGGCGCTGTGCGGGCTGCGGCTGCTGGCCGCGCCGCTGGCACACTCACTGCTGCTGGCCGTGATGCTCGGGCGCGCCCTCATGCTGGCCGCGTGCGACCACGACGGCGGCCTGCTGTCGCACGTGTCGGGGCCGCTGCAGGCCGCGCTCTGCTTCTTCACGGTGGCCGTGCAGGTGGCGCTGAGTGTGCAGCTGGCTGTGCTGCTCACGCCCGCCGAGTGCGCCTGGCTGTCCGGGCCGCGCTTCCTGCTGCTGCTCGCCTACGACATGCTGCTGCTGGTGCTGCTGGCCGCCACCGCGCCCTTCATCTGCACCTCCAGGAGGAACTACCGCGAGGGTGAGTGCCGCCAGTTTGGCGCTCCGGCGCTCCGGCGCTCAGCGCCTGCGAAGGAGCGGGTAGGCAGTGCCGCAACGCACGGGTGCTCGGCGGGCCGGCCTGCCTCCATTTGCCATTACCACTACGGACTGGATGCGCTGACCCTCCCCTCTCCGTTGCAGGGATGTTCTTCGCGGCGACCACGGCGGTGCTGGTGGCGGTGTGGCTGGCCTGGCTGTGCCTGTACGCCGTGGGCGGGCACGCGTGGCGCGACGCGGCGGTGGGCGGCGGCGTGACGGCGTGCGCCACCGCCGTACTGTTGGGCGTGTTCATACCCAGGACCTACCTCATGGCGGGCGCCATGGTCCGCGACAAGCTGGCCGCCCAGCTGCCCGCCCTGGCCAGGGACGCGTCCATCACGGACCTGGCCTTCCGGGAGGCGGCGCGCGGCGCCACGCTGGGCAGCGTGGGGGCGGGCGTGGGCGTGGGGCCGGGCACGGCGCTCTACGACAGCGTGTCCCTGTCCGGCGGTGGTGGCGGCTCCGTCGGCTCCAGACGGCCGGGCCTGCCGCGCGCCGCGAGCCCCAACGTCTACTCCGACAGGCACGCCAGCCGCACAAGGCCCACCACGCCGCTCACCCCCGAGAACACCTACGCGCGCTACGAGGTGCCGTCGCCGCACAAGGTGACCCGGTTCTGAAGCGCGCCGCCCTAGTTAATAAAGTATGGAAATTCTTCGACCTGGTGCCTGTCCACCCCTTTCCACACCCCCTGTGTGGTCGCGCGGCCCGGCCGATAGGGGAGGTACACGATGCAGCGGGGCAGCAGGGCAGCGGGGGCAGTCGACCACGAAATGAATAATGAATCGAATCGCAGCCCTTATTGGATCGGGGCGCCCAGATGCGGCTTTTGTCTGTGGGCTGGTCGGGCTGGTCGGGCTGGTCGGGCTGGTCGGGCTGGTCGGGTTGGTTCCGGCCGGAGCTCATCGGCAGACCTAGCCTCGCGCCGGGCCGCAGGCCGCAGCTGAGCTGAGGCGTTCCGCTCTTATCACCCCCGCGGCTCTGAAGGCCGCGCCAAGGCCGCCAAGGCCACCAAGACCTCCGCCACGCGCCGCCAGAGGTACATTACCGAGCCAATCCGCCTCTGTTTCCCTTCCAGAATGGCCTTCTCGAGTTGCAGCCGGAGCGGCCTCATCCCTCGCCGGCAATCCTTCCGGCGAGCCTCCGCGCCAGGGTAAATAAACCTGGTGAAAATAACCTTTCATTCCGCCGGGCTGCCGCTGCTACGCTGGAAGCGCGCCGAAGCCAAGTACTTCGCCGCCACTCCAAACCGCATACTTCCTCAGGGAGGCCCGGGAAACGGATGGGACGCAGATCGCACGCTGACGGCCCGACGGGGGAAAGACTCAAGAGGAGAGATACGCGCTCACGCGGAGACTTAAGAAGTGGGATCAGTGGCAGCCGAGGCTCTCACGTGGGAGGAAGCGGGGAGCGAAATCAAGTCCGTTCTGGATCGGGAGGGGCGGGGGTGGAGTGTTTGCCTGGTTTGCCGCGCTTCATCGTGTCGCCTCGAGGAAAACACAGAATAAGTCTCCGCGTCGTCGTCTCGTCGTCGTCCCCCGGGAGTCCGCGCTCCGCTCCGCGGGGATTAAGGGAAGGCAGACTGTTTATTCCGCACTCCCGCACCGGGACGGCGGGGCTGCCATGGCAAGCCAGGGCCTCGATAAACACGTTCGCAGTGCAGCTGCACCGAGAGGCCACGCTTCGAGCCTCGCTTGCGGCAGGTCAAGGCGAAGCACGCCGTCTCCTCCAAGCGGGCGTGCTATCACACCTTCACAGAGCCGCGACAATCACAGTGCCTTGACTGGTGCGTCCGGGATGTCTGTTGACGCCAACAACCGCCACCGCCTGGGCGAGTCGCACAAGGAAAGGCAAATAAAGGAGAGGCGGAGAAAAATAAAGAACATTCCAAAGTGCCACACCAAGTGAAACTGCATGTCGATAAAAGTTGGTGTAGTTACGTTATAGGCGGCGCGCGTGCATGCGTGTCTGTGTGTGTGTGCGCGCCAAAGTTGCCGACTACACGGTGATGGCTTTCCTCGCGGCGCGGCTGGCGCGGCTGGTGCGGCTGCGTCCGAGCACACAGTGCAGCACACAGCGCTGCACACTCCAATACACACGCGGCGGCGCGGCGGAGTAAACGCCTCGCGCGACCAAGGCGGCGGCAGGGCGGGGGAGGGGGCGAGTTTGTTTTAGTTGGACCGAAGCAACCCAGGCGGGCGAGCATGCCCCGGCGGAGCAGCCCGGGCAGGAGCAGGCAGAAGTTGTTCTTGCGGGAGAAGGCGGTGCACGACGGGCCGGGCGGGATGGCAAACAAGGCAGTCATACGCCACGGCCACCGCATCCTGCGGTACGTCTCACGCAGAAAAGAAGAAGAAGAAGAAGACGATGAAGAAGAAGAAGCTAGGAGGAGGAAGAGGTGGCTGGAGGACTTCCGACTCGCGAGTCCGCGGCGGTACAGATCGCAGTGACTCGCGAGATTGATATTATTCCGCTCTTCACGGGGAGCCAGCATGCTGACTGCGAACAGGGCTTTCGTCGCTCCGCCTCCCTCGCACTCACGGGGCGCCGCGTAGGGGTGCGAGAGAGGCGGAGCGACGAGGCTGCAGGCCGCGCTCTGTTTATTGCCGATGATGGGCATGCCCATGCCGCCCATGCTGGCAGACGGCGGATATTGCTTCCCGTCCGGGACGCGGCGACGCGGCGCCGATAGGCAGCAAGGCGGCCAACTTGAGGCAGGAAAGGAATGGGAAATGGCGGGGCGTCGCCGGGGCGTTGCGAGGGGAGGGCGTCGGGGCCGCAGGTGGCCATCAGGCGGGCGCGGCGGGGCGTGGCGGGCTGCGGTCTGGGCCGTGCGCGCTAGAGCGTGCCGCCGAGAGTGTGTGGTGGAGATAACACGCTGCGTCCTGCGTGGCGGGGCGTGGCGGGGCGGGGTGGGGCGGGGCGCGCAATGACACCCTCCCTCTCCCCCCAGCCGCACGTCACCATTGCCAACCTCTCGGTACGCAATGCATGTCCACTGCGTGACCGACCACCACTGCAATACCATGCCTTGGATGTCGTCGCCGGGGAGCTCGACGCGCTGGCCTGACGGCCGCTAGCGGTGTGCGTCCGCGGGCGCGGCCACGGCGGGCTGCACGTCGCTGGCTCGGACAGGTGCGTTGAGTCACTCGCGTGACGAGTGGAGGCACCGCACACGACACTGTTGGGGGGGCGCCGTCACTGCCGTCGCTCCGGCGTGCTGCCCTTGCCCCGGGCGCGCGGCACCATGCGGCACGTTGGTCACCCTGCCGCGGGGTCGCGGCTGCTCGGGGCGCTGGGCTCCGGGCGCAGGCTTCGTCCCCAGGGGCGCCTGGCAGTCAGTCCTCCGGGGGCCGCAGCGTCGTCGCGAGGCTCCAACGACCGCTCCGAGACGGGACGCGGACGTGGCGGCCGAGCAGAGATTTGAGTTTGTCGATTTGGCCACTTAGTGTGGTGGTCGATTTGAGGGATTTGAGGCCGGCGTTGCCCGGGCATGCCGTTGGCGCCGCAAACCCGTGGGCCTGTTTGCCTGGTTGCCTCCTCGCCTGGAGCGTGCAACAGCTGCGGCCGTTTCGGTGAGTACCGCCATGCCGTGCGCGGCTGCCCCGGCTGCGCGGCCCGGGGCCTGCCTCGGCCAGGGCCAGGCCTTTGATGTCGGCGGCCTGCTCCATAAAGATGGCGGCCCGAAAAATGGGAAAACGCAGCATGAACGACAAAGCATTTCCATTTAAAAAGGTTGAAGGGTTCGGGGCCCTGTGAGACGCAGACGCCGCAGGCCCCGGTGGCGCCCGGGTCAACATGATGGGGTTCCTGCGCGCGCTGCAGGAGGACAAGCCCCGCGGCGTGCTTCTGGCCTTGGTGTACGTGTCGCTGCTGCTGGACAACATGCTCCTCACCGTCGTCGGTAAGCTGTTTGTTTTAAGAGCGCTCGACGCGCCTTTGCCTCATTCTGTTTCTGCTGCGACCGGTTTTTCAATCAACGGCCACCGCCGAACATGTGCTGTCGATGCTCCGCGCCTCCCTGCCGGAGGCCACTTGGATTCGTTTTAGAGGCCGCGCCCCGCGGCCCCAATTCTCCGACAAGTTCACTGAGTCGCGAAATTAACACCACAGTGTCGTCGATACACCGTGCCGCGCAGGCGACAGAGCCCTGCCGCGCGCGGCACGGGGTATCGGCGTGTCCAACCGGCGCGTCTGACGGCTTGCTGCTTGCAGTGCCCGTCATCCCCGACTACCTGGTGACGTCGGAGGGACTGGTGCTGGCGCCCGTGCCGCAGCACCCCTTCCCCCTGACCGCGGGGCTGCTGGGCGGCAAGGCCGGCGGCAACGCCCGCGGCAACGCCACGGACCGGACGTAAGACGAGCAAAGCCTCGTGGTTTGGATTCCGTTCCTGAGGTGGAATTTTCTCTCTGTATCTCTCAGCACACTCCGTTCTTGCCCTAGGTTGCCGAACGACGCCGAGGCCGCAGCAGCCACCAGCACGACGTTGTCTACTTTCGCCGCCACCCCCGGTAAACAAGGACGCCGCGCGCGGCCTTGGCGCGGCCGCCCTACAGCGAGGGGTAGCGGCGCGCGGGGAGTATTGACAGTGTCCTTGCTTCCAGAGCGGCCCGGCGACGACGGCTCGGGGGAGGGCGGCCGCGTGGGGCTGCTGCTGTCGTCCAAGGCGTGGGTGCAGCTCGCCGCCAACCCCGTGGTGGGGGCGCTGACGGCCACCCTCGGCACGCGCCTGCCCCTGCTGGCGGGCAGCGTCAACCTGGTGCTGGCGTCCATGCGTGCGTATGCCAAGCCGCCTTCCCCTTCATGTCGTCCCTCAGGAAGGACAACGATTCCCGCTTTGGGAAAAAGCCGCCCGGGGTGCGTCGGCCCGGGGCCAGGTGGCGGACACGGCGGCACACTGGCCGTGTTTTCCCTTCTTTGCCGCTCCAGTCCGAGCAGCAGACGCATTCCGAGAGTCGTTTTCGTCGCTCTGTCTCGCTCGCACTCACGGGGCGTCCCGTACAGGTGCGAGAGAGCCAGAGCGACGACTCTCGGAATCAGTCTGCAGTGGAGCGGCCCGCCGTCGCTTCCCTTTCAGCACGGCCCTGCCGCGGGCCCCTCCCTTTGGGCCCACACTCTCATTCCAGGAACGTGACATCACGTTGAAACGAACGGGACAAAATGTCACGTTCGTTTGAGCATTGTGTCACATTCGTTTGGGTGTGAATTGGCCAAAAATCAGCTTGTTCACATTCAAACGAACGTGACACAATGCTCAAACGAACGTGACATTTTGTCACGTTCGTTTCAACGTGATGTCACGTTCCTGGAATGAGAGTGCACCCAACAGAAATACTCTACGATTGATCATTGAAATTTTCGTGTTGTCGAGTATAAATCAGCCCAGACTCAAAGCTGCGAGGGCGAGCATTACGTTCACCTTCCCGGTGTCGTGCTTCCGTTTCAGTGTTCGCTCTGGGCGAGTCTTACGCGGGGCTCTTCATCGCCAGGAGCCTGCAGGGCGTGGCGTCCGCCTGCATCGGCGTGGCAGGTAAACACGTTTCCCTCTTCAAATTAGAATAGAACAATCTGGTGACATCAGCCCTGTGTGACACCGTCTGACACCGCCTGCGTCGTCCGCAGGGATGTGCCTGGTGGCCGAGCAGTTCCCGGAGGAGTCGGAGCGGTCGCGCGCGCTGGGCCTGGTGCTGGGCGCCATCGCGCTGGGCGTGCTGCTGGGCTACCCGCTGGGCAGCGTGGCCTACGAGTTCCTCGGCAAGCCGGCGCCCTTCCTCGTCGTGTGCTCGCTGGCCTTCGTCCTGGCGCGTGAGTTATCGGCGCGACTCTCGCACTCGAGCGGCGCCACGCCCGGGTGCGAGAGAGCGGCGCAACACGGCTCCGCAGCCGCCACGTCCGTCCGCGGCACGGCCAGGCACACTGTAGCAGGCCTCCAACTCCGGCAGTGCTGCGGCACTTCCAGCACGGCCTTGGTCACTTCGGCCCTTCGGTCACTTGGACTCGGAACAGCCCCCTCCCCCGATAAAGTCGGCAGCTTGCCGCCCTTTCGTTGCCGGCCTAGAACAGCGCGGGGCCGCCTGCGCCATGTGGCTTGCAGTGCGCGGGGCGCGGCGGCGGTACGCCACGCCACGGCCGCGCGGGGTGCGGTGCGCGCGGTGCGTTGTGCGCCGCAAATCATGAGTAATGGGACATGTTCTGCTCGGCGAGCTCGCCTCCCCCTTCCCCCTCCCCCCGGCCTCCGCGGCCGCAGCCCTTCATTAATGTGCACGCCGCACCGCGCTAACTCCGTGCCTGTTCGGCCTGTTCGCAGTGATGCAGTTGCTGCTCCTGGACGTGCGGAACTCAGCCTCCTCCCAGGTAACTACGAGTAACTAAGAATAACCAAGGGTAACTACGAGTAACTACGAATGGCGGCTCTGCTCCGCGCCGCCGCGACGGCTGCGCGCTGCGCGTTGCGCGTCCGGGACGGCCAGGTGCCCCTCGCCACAAACAGCGGGGGAAGCCGCGCACGAAACGGAGCTTCGCCGGATTCAAGTTGGGCCTGGGCCGCCGAGATGCACGCCCCGCCCCGCCCCGCCCCGCCCCGCCCCGCCCGCCCGCCCCGCCACTCCGCCCTGCAGCTCGTTGCTGCTCTGCTCCTTATTGCCGCCAACAAACTTCGGGCCGTGCGGCGGGGCGGGGCGGGGCGGGGCGGGGCGGGGCGGGGCGGGGCGGGCGGTAGGGGTGCGCGGCGCTCCGTCTGAGAGCCGACCGAGTCGTCTTGTAAATCGGGGCTTACCGCTTCCCTGAAGGCGCCGCTAAGCCGCAGGAGTGCCCCGCCCACCTCGCCCCGCCCCTCACTGCTTTACCTTCAAGTTTAAGGGGCATTTAGAAAGGACGCGGCGGCCCGGCCCGGCCCGGCCCGCGTCGGCCAAGTCAGTGGAGTCAGTGCGGCCGCCTCGAGGCTGTTTGCGCGGTGTTCGGCGACTTGGCAACTACGCCGCGCTGTGCCGGCTGTGCCCGTCCGCCTCGGGGAGGGTCGAGTATCGGTATCAGGGTATCACGGCGCCGCCGTCGCAGATTCCTATCGGGTGGCATGCCAATACACCGTACCGGGAATCTGCGCGCGCGCCGCGTACCGAATGAGTTGAGCTCCGCGCGCACAGTGGGCAAGACCGATGAAGGAGGTCGAAACCCCGGACGCGTTTCGAGCTCCAGAGTCGCTAGATGGGACTCGAACCGAACGTGTGACCACACCTATGGATTGCTATCCGAACGAGGAATCCATTGGTGGGGTCACACGCTCGGTTTGTGTCCTGTTTAGCGACTCTGGAGGTCAAAACGCGTCTTGAGTTTTGGCCGCCCGCACCGGACTTCTGGCCGACTGTGCCGCGGCGCGCCTCTCCAACCTCTCCGATGTGCGCAGCCCGGCGCCACCCCCGCGGCCCCCGCGCTGCCCACGCGGTGGCGCGCGCTCGCCTCGGACTGGGCGGTCTTGCTGTCGGCCGGCACCATCCTGCTGTCGTCCTCGTGCCTCGCCATCCTGGAGCCCTGTCTGCCCATCTGGCTCAAGGCCTCCATCCGGCCCGAGGTACGTACGTGCGACACAATGTTTTCCCATCAAGATAATTCGCTTTTTTTGCAGCGCCGCCGACGGAGGACGCATGTGTGTGTGTGTGTGTGTGTGTGTGTGTCACTCGCGCTGTTTCTGTGCCCGACGGCCCGACGCCTTCATCTCTGCTCCCCGCCGTGACACGCCGACACGCGGTCCCATTCGGCCCGCCGTGTGTACCGAGGAGCCGAGGGGCCGAGGGAGGACGCCCCCGGCTTGCGTGCCGCCCCGCCCCCGCCGCCGCTCGCAAGGAGATACTCTCTCTCAACTTTTGACACATCGATCTGTAAGCCGGCAAAGTTATTCCTCGCGCTGGTTGGCATGCGGGGCGTGACGGCCGTGACGTGCGCGTCACGCGCAGACACACACGCACACATTCGCAACGCACACAGTGTCTCGTTCCCAGCTACAAGTTGGCCGTCACCCGGGCGTGGTTCTCTCACACTTCCCCCGAGACGTCACGAGACTTTATCACAGACTACGTCACAGACTTCGTCACGGGATTGGTCACAGAGTTGGGTTCATCCGAGCAAGGTACACACAGAACGGGCGGCTCTCGACTCGCTCCCGGTACGCCGACATGCACGGCAGAGAGGATTTGCGGCCAAGTTTTCTGGCCGGAGCCCCGGGGGCCGCCTGCACGGCCTGCACGTATAGACGTAGGACGAGAGCGAGTTGTTCTTGCTGCAAGACCGCCACATTACTTGATAACCGCTCCTCCAATATTGCTCTTGTATACTCTGCGCGGCGCAGTTTCGGGGAGTTCTTCGGGGAAGTGGGTTCGAATCGCGCCAGCCTTCAGAGCCTGCTTCAGCCAGCCCGTGTTCCAACTTGCGTCAGGATCCAGGCGACCGCCTCTTGCCGAGATCTGCATACTGCGCGCCTCCAGGGAAAGGGAAAGAGGCGAGGTACCCGGGTTCGAGCCCGACCATCGGCTGGCACTCCGACCATCGCACCCTGAGCACCGTGCGACAGCTCGGTTATCTGTGCCTAAGCTGAAAGCCAAGCGGTCCTGCTGGAACAAGTCGTCCTCTGCTGTCGCCCGCGGCCATCTTAGACACACGTCTGGCCTCTTGTCGCCCTGAGCGGGCCCCTCCAGGTGCCTTCAGGTGCCTCCAGGTCCCCGCAGGCCCCTCGGGTTCCTCCGCCTGGCGTCCTAGCGCGCAGACCCATCACAGGGCCATCACGGCACTCGGCCGGGCCCTCGGCAGGGCCCTTCAGAGGTCCCTCATGCAGCCGGCGGGGCCCTTGATTCCGCCAGGGACGCCCGAAGGTGGAAGGGGCGCAGGAACGGGCTGTCCAAACATCCGAGCCTAGCGGTGTGCAACGCAGTGTAGCTTCGGGCCGTGGCCCTGCCCGCCCTGCCCGCCCTGCCCCCGGGGGGTAGGCCGGGTGCTCCGGGTGCGGTGGAGCCGCTGGAGCCCGGCCTGGAGGATGCCTGGTCCTGAAAGGAATATGACAGGGGCTGGCGGCCCGGGGCGGGGCGGGGCGGGGTTAGCCACAAGGGCACATCACCACCCTTCACCCCGCAGTACTAAAACTTTCATGCACTACCCGCCTCACGGGTCGGCGGGCCGGCGGGCCCCACCCCCTCATGATGTAACGCCTTGGCGCCTCTCGCTGCTGTTGCTGTACTTGGCCTGCTCCGCGGCTCCGCGTGTGTTGCCAGAAGTGGCAGATGGGCACCGTCTTCCTGCCGGACTCGGTGGGCTACCTGCTCGGCACGCACCTGCTGGGCGAGCCGGCGCTGTGGCTGGGCCGCTGGAGGGTGGCCGCCGCCGCCCTCATGCTGCTCGGCGTGTCCGCTGCCCTGGTGAGCATCCTCCGTCACTCCGTCTCTGTCTCACCCGTGGCACGTCCCGTAGGGGTGCGACAGAGACGGAGCGGAGCGCCGTGGAGGTGGGCAGCCCCGCGACCCCGGCCTGCGCGGCGGGCGTGCCTGCCTCCACGGCGTCCCCGGCTGCCGGGCGTCCGGGGCGGGACCGACGGGACGCAGGTGCGTGAATGTGATTGGCCCTTTGGCGTGCTTCGCCTCGCTGCAGGTGTGCTCGGCGCGAAACCTCTGGCAGTTGGTGCTGCCGCACTTCGGCCTGGGGCTGGGCGTCGGCGCCGTGGACGCGGCCCTGGTGCCCCTGCTGGCCTACCTGGTGGACACGCGCCACGGCGCTGGCTACGGCGCGGTGTACGCCTTGCAGCAGACCGCCGTCAGCCTGGCCTACGCCTTGGGTGAGAACCAAGTTGAAGATTAAAAATTAAAAAATATCAGTGTCTGAACCCATGACTCCTGTTTTGACAGGACCGATGCTGGGCGGCGCGCTGATGCGGGTCGTGGGCTTCCCCTGGCTGATGCGCGTGCTGGGCGCGCTGTGTCTCCTCTGCAGCCCCCTGCTCGCCCTGCTGGCCCGCCTCGACCTGCCGGACAAGCTGCCGCAGGTCAGGAAAAAAAGAAAAAGAAATATTCTCCTCGTCCAGAGAGAGAGAGAGAGAGAGAGAGAGAGAGAGAGAGAGAGAGAGAGAGAGAGAGAGAGAGAGAGAGAGAGAGAGAGAGAGAGAGAGAGAGAGAGAGAGAGAGAGAGAGAGAGAGAGAGAGAGAGAGAGAGAGAGAGAGAGAGAGAGAGAGAGAGAGAGTTATGCGCCCTGACACAATCTGCGACCCGTCCAAGGGCTTCTCTCGCCGACCGTGGGCACGATAAATTTGGAAGCCGCCGGCCCTTGGAGCCCTTGGCAGCTCCACGAGACGTTAATGTGCTTGCTGCAGCCACGCCACGCCACGCCACGCCACGCCACGCCGCCTGGAGGTCAAGCTGTTCCGCTATCTCGCCCCGCTCCGCCAAGCCTCGCCCCGCCCCGCCAAGACTAGCCAAGACTAGCCAAGCTCTGCCCTGGCCGCCCTGCTCGACGATGATGGAAAGGGAGCGGATGAAAAAGTCCTTGAGCGGAAGCGGCCGAAATAACAGGAGAAAAACGGGGGGCTCACGTTAGGCCGACTACCTCACACAGTGCCGCAGATCCATCTTGGCAAACGAGTGAAAACGCGAGAACAAGGAGCCGAGCGGGGATTTGAACCCGACACCTCAGTCTCGGCGATCGAGTGACCTGCCCGCGGACATGTCGGTCTCGTGGCCGCGCCGCATGGAACTCGCGGGGAGGCGAGCGGAACTCATGCTCTGTTCGTCTGCTAATTGTGCAACCCGAGCGCGGCGCGCAGAGCGTTGGCCTCTCGTGTGCCGCCCCGCCCCGCCACCCGAACGGAACGGAAAGTCATTAAGTCCAGCGGGGCCATCTCCGCACTGCTCCGCGCCCCCTTGTCGCAGTCCGACCCCCAAGGTGACGTCGCAAGAACAAAAACGAAAAGCAAAATCTGCCACTGTCAGGTTGGCGATGCGTCGGATGGTCGGATCCCTCTTCGCGTTCGCGCGCGCCGCGCCTTTTCGGGATTGTCTCCCGCGTGTCAGCCCACTGCGAGGCGAGGCGAGCCATTGTTTTGTCGCACGGTCCTGCATCGCTCCGGGCTGGGGGTCGGCTGGTCGGCCAGAGGGGGAAGAGGAGGAGGAGGAGGAGGAGAGAATCCCCAGGGTGAACAACGCTGCGGTGCGGTTAGTGCGGTCAGCGCAGCGCGGTTGAAACTTTTTATAAGGACCTGAGTGGTCAGTTAGGAAGAGGCTACGGCTGCTTTGGGCTTCTCTATACAACAGTGGACTAACCAACTCGGGTACACAGTGGGCAAGAAAACCGGTGGAGTTGGGCAAAACTCAAGACGCGTTTTGAGCTAAACAAGACTCGAACCGAACGTGTGGCCCCACCAATGGATTTCTCTACGAACGAGAAATCCATTGGTGGGGTCACACGTCCTGTTCGAGTCCCGAGAGAGAGACAGAGAGAGAGAGGAACTCGGAAGAACAGCGTTGTTCGTAATGATCCCTGGCAGACCGCCTTGCACTGCCTGCCTGCCAGCGTGAGTGATTGTGCCACGCACAGTGTGGTAGTCGCGCCAAGCGTGCGCCTGCGCCCGCCCGCGCCCCGAGACAGGCGTGACGACGGCCAGGGCGGCAGGGCGGCAGGGCGGCGTGATTTGCACCCCGTCACCGCGCGCGCGAACAGCGCGTGAAGCTTCCGCGAAACAAAGCAAAACGAGGCAGGGCGCCAAAACAAGTAGAAAACGGTGCGCCAGGCCCCCTAGGGCGTCATCATCAACGTGCCGCTTCGCGAGTGTGTGAATAATGTGTGTGTGTGTGCGTGCGTGTGGATATTGCAACGGCTCTGTCTGCAGGGGAGCGCCAAAAAATAAAGCCGAAACAGCAAGGAAAGCAGTGTGGCGAGCACCGGGGTCCGCTGCACGGGTGCTCTGCTCGCCGCGGCCAAACACAAAGCTCGAATCGAATATCGATATTTGACGGTGTTTTTGTTTCCCTGCTCCGCAGCGCCGCCGCTCGCTGGCCAGCCAGGCCGTGGTCAACTACCAGAGCGGGGACGCGCCTCCCCGGGCGCACCGCACCGCGTACGCTCGCTTCGGCGACTCGGACGACTCGGACTGACGGCAACGTCAACTCCACGCCGAGGCCAACGACGCCGAGGGCGAGGCTGCTGCAGCGACGGGGTGCAGTGCACTGCTGGAGGCCTACCTGGGCGCGGTGCTGGGCGCGCGGCGGCAGGTGTGGCACGGCCGGCCGCTGGGATTACTGTAGAGCGTTGTGTGTGCACACCGTGCACGCCGTCCGCTTGCATTGCGCTAAGCGCTCCAGTGTGCGTGTGTGTGCGTGTGTGTGAGTGCTGCGTGTTTGCAGTGTTCGGCATTGCACGCCTCCGGCCTTCCATGTTTTCGGTTTTGCTCTCGACGTTGTTCGCTCTTGGCTGCGCGTTTGCTGTGCGTAATTTGTTGTCTTTGTTGTTGTTTTTGTCCTTTCTGACCTGAATGTGGCCCTCGGCGCTGCGCTGGCTGTGCTGCGCGGCGGCGGCCCTCCACGGCGGTGTGGTGCACGGCGTCCGCCCCGTGACGCCAGCGGCCTGAGAGTCGTATTCGTCGCTCTGTCTCTCTCGCACTCATGGGGCTTTCCCGACAGGTGCGAGAGAGACAGAGCGACGAAAGCGACTCTCGGAATCGGTCTGCAGTTCACTGATGCTCGCCGTTCCGGCTCCAACGTCGCCCTGTGGTTCTTAAATTGAGAGTAACGGTGCGCGCAACGAGCTCAGATCCCTCGACGCCTGTGAAGATGAAGCTCCTAATGTATCATAAAGCGCCTCGATTGAGTAGCTCTACCTTCTTGCTACCGTTCCAGTCCACCGTCTCTGGCCGTGTGTTCCTTTCTCACCAGTGCGTTCGTGGGCGACTTCCTTTGTCTTTTCTTCTTATCCGATTTAGTACTGTGCACCAAGATGAGCGCACCGCCATTGTAATTACAAACGATATTCGTCATGTTACTTATCGACGTGATAGCGAATAAATGCGATATCTCTCCGACTCAGTGTTTTTGTTCTCTTACTCTCCCGCGTTTCCACCTATCGAATTCTGAATCTCATCCGCTGATTACTAGAGTTGTTCTGTTCTTAGTATTCATAATATTCGTAGATAAACCCTATCATATTGTGAGTGATTATCCCTTTCGGGACCTCCAAAATTATATTTTACGACAGTTCCACATAAATCGCGGAATAAGTCTCTTGGTCTTTCTGTTTCTTTCTCTCTTTCACACACGAAGGATCCCGCGAGAGGAGCGAGAGAGACAGAGCGACGGAACAGTGGTGCATCGCAACGGCGGCGTGCTTAGCGCTAATCCTGGCGGTGCAGCCATGCAGGGGATGGCATGAGCATGACGACACGTCGCGTACAAGCAGATTAATCCGTGTCATGTGAGCCGGGGCGCGGCGTGGCGGGGCGGGGTGGGGCGGGGCGGGGCAGGGCCGCCACCCCCCTCCCCCAGGACGCGCCGGGCATGCCGTGGCGCGTCTCCTCGGTCGCCTCGCCTCAAGCTCACGCGGAACTGCGGCACTTAGCCGGGATGGGGACTCCTCCTGGAAATTAGGCCCCGCCCCGCCCCGCCCCGCCCCGCATCTCGAGCCGCCCCTTCCCTTGGCCTGGATCCGGCCCTAGTCTGCCCTAGGCTGCCCTAGACCCCCAGCGGAAGGCGATGCCCCCCCCCTTTCCCCCCGCCGCGGGACCGTGCTGGACCGGGCGGGTCCATGCTTCCTGGGTCCCTTTGCCACCTTGGCCCGGCCCCCGGCCCCCGGCCCCGCCCCGGGAGTGAGGACCCCAGTGCGAACGGGCAGGGCCGGGCAGGGCTGATTCCGAGCGTCGCTCTCTCTCCCTCGCACCCCGACGGGACTGACGGGACGACCCGCGAGTGCGAGAGAGACAGCGCGAAGAGAGCAGCCCGGAATGAGCCCCCTTTCCCTGCAGATAAGGCCAGCGCCACGGTAGATTGGGCGCCGGAAAGCTGCATTCGTTGCCAGGCGACGCCATCGGCAGCCCTTCGCAGTGCTGCGCCACTGTGACGCGCGACGCGGCGTGACGCTGCAGGAGCAGAAGACGGGGAGGAAACGGAGTTGGCAGAGCGGCTTTACGACGGCAAGGCGCGCGCTGCACATACAGTGCACCGTTCAGCGCGCCTCTCGTAAGGCCCATGTTTAAGAACCCATCCCTTGCAGATCCCTAGGATTTTAATGGATCCACTGAGACTTACGGGGATCCTGTAAGACTTGACTGCATCCGCTTCGTCTTTGCCGGGTTCGCTGCTTCACGAAGCCAAAAGGCATCGGCGAGCCTTGCGTGAAGTGGAGATGCGTGAAGCGGGGAGCGGCAGACCGCCGAGTCGCTAGTCGCTCGCTTTGACATCGCCGAGGTGCCTTTGGGCCCCGCTTTGGCTTCGCTGCTCCGATGTCAGCATGCTGCGTCCGAAACGGTGCTTCATCGCTCTGTCTCTCCTCCTCGCACCCTTCGGGTCGCTCCCCGAGTGCGACGGAGGCAGCGCGACGGAGGCGCTGCTCGGAGACAGTCCACTGGGAGAGGCTGCAGCGCTAAGCCCGGGCCCTCTCCAGGAAGACGCCCGGAACGTCTTCCGAGCGGTGCAGGCGTGCGCGGACTGCTTTGTGGCGGGGCGGTGCGACGCGGTGCGACGCCGGCGGCGAGGCAGGGTCGTCGGAGCGCCGCGCTACAATGTCGTGGGCCGGGCCGGGGCGGGGCGGGGCGGCCGGGCCCCAGTGCGCAGCTAGCTCCTTCGCTCCTGAGCGCTGGGATTCCAGATTCCAGGTCGGACGCCGCTGGGACGCCGCTGGGACGCCGCTGGGACGCCGACCACGCACTCGACAACCTCATCACAGCGCCGGCCTAGCGGCGCGGCGCACTCTTCCAAAGTTCGGCCTGGACCCTGCGCTCCGGAGAGAGCGAGAGGGATAGAGAAATCAAGACAGAGAAAGAGGAAAAAATTATCGTGAAGTTGGCCGCCGCGAAAAGAAGAAGAATGAAAGAGTCGTCAAGTTCTGCGAGAAACTCAAATCTATTTTATTTGTTATGCACTCAGACGGAAAACAAGGGAGGGCGGTGGAGGCCGCGCCGGTCCGGCGGCGGTGGAGGCCTCGGCCTCGGCCGAGCCAGTCTTGTAGCGAGGGTGAGTCACGGCCAATTTCAAAAACATAAACTAATTTGTTTCCGGGCGGCCCGGCGGAGAGAGAAAGAGAGGGTGGTGCGGGGTGCTTGGCTGGCTTGGCCTACAGGAAGATTTGGCGGCGGAGGGGGAGGGGGCATCCGAAGGTGCTGCAATGCAGCGGTGAGCATTGCCGGCTATAAAACATGGCGAGATAACACCCTGACGCCCGGGACGGAGGAGGAAGGGGGAGGCCACCTCAGAGACGCGCCGACGCAAGCGGCCGCCGCGATGCTGGCGGTGCCGGCCGCGCTGGCTGCGCTCCCCGGGGTGCTCGGCGTGGGGCTGAATTAAGGGTGCGCGAGGGCTGGGCTGGGGCTAGGCGGGGCTGACCGCTGCGGCCGCTGCGGCCGGGATGGCTGGCGTGGTGCTTGGTGGCGCAGAGCAGAAAGAAAGCGCTCACACTTTGGCGACCAGGGCGGCCAGGGCGGCCAGTGCAGGGTGGGGTCTCCGTGGTCTCCACCGTGGGGCTGCAGGGCGCAGGGCTGCAGGGGTGGGGGTTATACACACGGACCTGGCGGGTGGGGTGGCGGAGCGCGGAGCGGTCTCGGTGGGGATGGGGTCGCGGGGGGCTCTGGCGCTGGTGGTGGGGAGCTGGCCCGGCTTCTGGCGCGGGCCGGGCCTGGGCGACACGGCGCTGGGGGCGCGCGCGGGGTGGGTGCGAGGCGGACCCAGTACCCCGGCGGACACAGCTTGGGCAGCACGTGCGGACGAGCGCCCCGTGCCGCGCCAAGCCGCGACCCGACCAACGCACCGCGCCGTCCCGCGCACCACCGCGCCGTGCCGCGCTCCCCGACGCCACCAAGTCGACCCCCGCGGAGCCGTGCCGGGTGGCGGTCGCGTCGAGGGTGTCGCGCGGTTGGCAGCGTGCGTCAGTGCGTGTCTGTGTGTGAGAGTGCGTGTGTCTGTGTGAGTGACGCCGGGTTGGCTGGCATTGCCGCGCCGGTGGACTACCGCAAGCCAGCAGGCCACGGAGGCCGTCCTCACGCCCGCAGCAGTGCAGCAGCGCAGCAGCACGGTGAGTGGCGGACCGGCCTTCCGCCCCCTGGCCCCTCCGACGACGTGCTCGGCCTGCACAGCCTGCTCGCCGGTTCAACGCCCCCAGCCGGGCGGCCGGTCCGGGGTGCTGCGTGCTGCCGTCCTGGTGGACCACGCGGGCACACCGTGTACAGTGCGCCGCAGTGTACGCCCCCGCGACGACGCGCCACAGAAAAACAAAAAACACGCCGCGGACGCCACTCCGCGGACGTGGCGGTGTGGGGTAGGTCGGCGTGCGGCGCCAAGCAGCGGCGTTTCCCCTGCCTCCCCAGCCAGAGCGGCGGAGCACCGCAAGCCCTGGATCACGCACGTCATCACACACGTTGCGCGGAGCCCCGCCACCGCCGCCGAGTGGCATCGAAGTAGGGTCCTTAAGCACCGCGTCGTCGCCGTCGTCGCGACGCGAGGTAACAGTGCCTCGTCGTGATGGCTCGGGCGCCGGCTCGACTGGCGCTGCGGGCCTCGTCCATTACGCCGCCGTCAGCGAGGCGGCAGCGCGGCGTCCGCGGCCCCCACGTGCCGGCCGGTCAGCGTGTCGCATTCGAACCGATCGTGTGACGCCACCACCAATGGACTCCTCGTACGGAGAGCAATCCGCTGGTGGGGTCACACGTTCGGTTCGAGTCCCATTTAGCGACTCCGGAGCCCCTGTGGGGCCTGCGGCTTCGGAGGAGCGGTAGCGAGGTGTCGCCGCTGTGGTGTGCCCCCGCCGCCCCGCCGCCCCGCCGCCTCGCTGTCGGAATGCGGCCCGCCCATCAACCCTGCAATACCGCGCCGCGCCGCGCCACGCCGGCCGGGACTGCGGGCCGCATCAGGTTTTGTTGGGGTGCCAGAGCACTGCCGGGGCGGCCGGGACGGGGTCGCCCCCACACCGGAAATTATATGCAGTCCCCAAGTTTGGCAATATCCCCGGCCCGTTGAGCCCCGCCACGCCCCGCCACGCCCTGTCACTCACGCGCCGCACAATATCAGCGGGGAATTCAAGCGCCCCTGCAGTACAGTCGCGCGCGACGATTTCACGGCCCCCTCTTTTAGGACTATTAACTGTTCCATCTAATTCCCCGCCGCCCCCCTCATGAACTCGCCCGGCTGGCAGCGCGCCAAACGCTGGCGGCGTCCTTGCAGTGCCTTGCAGTCGCCCACGCCGCCCGGCGACAACGGCGACACGCGGCGCGGCGAGCGAGGGTATTGCGAAGGGGAGGGACAAATCGGCCGCTTTTTTGCCTTCGCCCCGAATGGAGCCGAGTCGCTGCAGTGGCTGCCCCCTCTCGGGCACACGCGGCGCCGCGCGCTCGGCACGACAACAAAAAACAACATCGACAAAAAAATGGGGACACGGGACAATTATCCGCCTCGCACGCCTTTTCCGTCTTGTTGCCGCGTCCCCTTTGCCGTCATCCAGTGTCGCACCGTGTCCGGGGATGACGGGACATGTCGGCTCGCACTCACACACACACACACACACACACACACACAACGACACACACCTGGACACGTGCACGGAGACCTGACCGTAATGAGGCCTGTGGGGTAACTCTTCGTGCGCCAGCAGTACGGTCGGAGAACGCCAAGAAAGCCGCCAGAAAGCACCAAACACGCAGCCGAGGGCCGCTTGGTCGCGTGGGGGCACCTCGCCCCGCACCCCGCCCCACCGCGCGGCGGGTGGCCACAGTGTAGCAGCCACAAGGCCAGGAAGGCCTCGCAAAATTTCCTCCTCGATCGGCCAATTATTGCTTCGGGGAACTGTGGCGAAAAACGGGGCCGTAAGTTGGTGTTGGCGTTGGTGACGTCAGCCGGCGTCTGCGTGGCCCGGCGGGGCCTGCGGAGCGCCGCGGAGCCTGTGAGCGTGTAAAGTTGGACGGGCCGGGGGGCGACTCGGTGGAAGAGCGCCAAGCCATGGGCCAAGCGGAGCGAGCGAGAGGGAAGGAAAGAGAAATTAGAAGCGAGAGGGAAGCGAGCAAGACACGGCCTGTAAGAAGTTTGTCGCTTTGAAGTCGCCTATCAGGCCTCATTGCCGCCACGGCCACGGCCTCGGCCACCACGGCCCGCACCCCTTCCGCGCCCCGGCCCTTCTTTAACTGGCGACCCGCATCAGAGGGCCGGCAGGGCAGCAGCGCCCTAACGACGACTTCCAAAACCATTTTCGTGTTCGCTTCGGCTCGCTTCGGCTGCCATTGGCAGCACGACGCGCGACGCGGCCGCCGAACTGCGATCACCCCTCTCTCCCCCAACTGCAATGTGACGCTTGCATCGCTGAACCCCGGTTCCCGTCTGCTGCAGGTCTGATTGCGGGACGCGCCCTGCACTGTCCCCGGCCCGCCTCCCGAATCAAAGGCCGAGCTAGGATCGCATGCATCAAAGGGGAAATGCCCGAGTTCGCGACCCAATTTTTATGCAGTTATTCAAATTGGATTACCTCGGGCCCGAAGAGCGCACTGCCTGGGAACTGCGAAAGGGGCGCACTAACGGAGACGAGGCGGGCGGCGGGGGCGGCGGGGGCGGCGGGGGCGGCGGGGGCGGGGCGGGGGCGGCGGGGGGGGGGCGGGGGACAAAGGAAGGGGAATCAGGCAGAGACTTCCCTCACCTGCGCGCCTGCCTCACTCAGAGGCATACGTCTGCGAATAACGAAATCACGGCGCGCTGCACAAAAAGGCGGGCCGGCGAGCGGACGGACGGACAGACAGGCCGCGGCGGAACAATAATAGTGCTGTGCATTGTATTGGGGCATTGGGACAGGACCCGCGGCGTTATTTGTCCAGTGCCGCGACAAAAGCCGAACAGCACGGCGGGGCATGGCGGTAGCGGTCGCCAATATCTCTGCTCATGTTCCGCTTCGGTTGGTTTGACTCGACGCAGCCAGTCCGGCGGAGCGGCAGTCCGGCGGACGGCGACTCGCATTTCACTCGCACTCCGCATGCATTTGACCAAAGCGCGCCCAATGCAAATATTATTTGAAAAAACAGTCGTCGCGCGGAAGGGTTAAGTTCGCTTCGTTTTGTTTGCGCGGGAGAGGGA